GAGCTTGGTTATGGGTCGAAAGATGAACAACTAGCCCTTGTTGAAGAAGTATTGAGTAGTAGGACGTAAATCTAGGAAATTTGAGGAAATTTGTGGACGATGTACTGGTTGGGAATATTTGTAGCGTCGAGCACAAAAGAAAATCGACCGAAGCAATTGCGGAGGGGGCGTGCCATCATGAAGACGTTGTCGACATCATAGCTCTGACTTGCTCTCGGCCTTGGCAACGCACATGACAGCATCAAAACAAGTCTCTTATCTCTTTCCCCCCCCCCCCTTTCCTCACAACTTCACCACTTCACGTCAACGAGTCTATTTATTGAAGTTATCTGTATTTCTCATATTCGTCATGGCTTCTGGTGATGTGAACTACTCCAACACGGGCAGTAAGGTACGCAACTCTGGAAGCGCCGGATCCGAAATCACGTCAATCGCACACATTCTAACGAGAATTGCAGTATTGCTCTCCTTTTCTTTCACATACTCGGTTGCCGTGGCGCAGACTGACCTTGACCTCGCGGTTCAGGCACCAGCAATGTGGTCACCAAGGGTAATTGGCGACACCGGAACTGTGTGGAGGATGATAACCTGAGTGAATTCGTCTAACCGGTTCTTCAATAGGCCCCGTTGTCGATAACCTCAAGTCCGAGGCATCCCGCACCAGTGGTGAGCTACGCGACTTGAAAAACTCGCGGGTGACCCCTTCCACCACCACCGCGGATGGTCAACCGCTGACCCGTATGTCACGAGACCGCTTCTATCGGGCAGCCAGATGCTAATTCTGCCTTAGACTACCACTCCTTGCTGTACAGCCTTCTGAGCGTGAGTCGCGAAAGCTCCTTTACTGCCATACTGTTCTAACCAACCTGTCTATACAGTGGGAACAACCTCGTGCGACCGCCGTTTCCTTCGCCAGCGTGATTGGATTTATCTTTGCCGCCCGTTATCTTCCTCTTCTCCGCTGGGCCTTCAAGATTTTGTACATGTCGCTTGGATGTGAGTTGGTCGCGTGATCCACAATCGGTGGAATGATCCGTTGACAATGATGTATAGTGACCGCCACCGTTGAGATTGCAGGCCAAATTATCCTCAAGAAGGGTATCACCAGTGGATTCCGCCCTCGCCGTTACTACACCATTCCCAAGGAGACCGTTGAGGCTGTGCTGGAGGATCTGGAGCAGCTTGTGGACTTCTTCCTGATTGAATTCCAGCGCATTCTGTTCGCCGAGAATGTTCTCCACACCGTTGCGGTATGTTCGAAACCACCAGCAACCAATCTGACTTGAAATTTGGAACTGATGGATATAGGCTTTCACTGCTGCTTTCACCGGCTACTGGCTGATCCGCTTCGTTCCCCTCTGGGGCCTCGCTGTGATCGCCGTCACCACCACTTATTTCGCTCCTCTCGTCTACATCAGTAACCGCGAGATCATTGATGCGCAGATCAGCAACCTCCAGGAGATTATCAACTCCCAGACCAACCAGCTGAAGGACTTGGCTGGCGAGCGTACTTCCCAGGCGACCGGCTTGATGAAGCAGTACGTTGGTGAATACAGCTCCAAGGCCCAGGAGTACATCGGCTCCCGCCGCTCCACATCCCCTGAGATGTCCAAGGTCCCTACCCCCGTCAAGGCCGAGGAGCCCATTCCCGAGTCCGTCATTGCCCCAGTTACCGAGCCTCTGATCAAGCAAGAGGACTTCCCCGAGGCCCCCAAGGTCGCACCCGTGGCCCAGGCTGTCGAGTCCGTTGAGCCCACAGAGCAGGCTGCAGAGCAGACTGAGCGTGAGCCCCTCCTGGCTGTTTAAATTGGCATTTCTGTCACCACAGGTCATCTCTGTGACCACGCATGCCAGCTAGGCTGTTAGAACAGCGACAGTCAAACATGCTTGGTGTGTGAATATTCTTATGCCGTCACTGGTCTAATTGGATATGCCGAATGGCACGCTGGATTGGTTTCGAGTTAATATCTTCGTTTGAGTTCTTGGAATATATCCTAAGCTCAGAACGCCACATCCTTGTGTCGACGAACCAAAAATTATGCAGGATTCTTGAGCGATGAGCTTTCCATGTCTCTTGTTGTCCCTTTCTTCTTTCTTCATCCCCATTTCCAACGTATTGTTATCTGTCTATTCTCTTCTACACCCCTTGTCCATGTTCTTTCTCGGGTTCATATTGTTTCTAATGAAAGTACATCCACATAAATTCATGATTTCGACGCCCATAGATCCGATCAAGATAACCCTGCAGTGTACCGGTCGTCGAGCCTCGCGCAGGGACCTCGCTGACTACCTAGTGATGCATGTGTACGACTTCAAGAAACAGTCTCTTCTTTGGGAGAAACGGAGACCGCAAGGCCCTCAATCCAAGCCCACTTGGGCATTTGTTCACATCTGAAGTCGTTCAACAGTAAGTATTGGGAGCGTGGCAGGCGTCGAGTTTCATCCCGGCCCACTCGCTTGGCTTCTTATTCGCCACATCGCGATTGGGACCGGCCTGTGACGGTTCTGTTTCCTTGCCATTGTATTTACCCCCAAACTGGAAGACTTGCCCTGTTCAGTCGTGCTCGGAACTGTGTTTCCTTTCCTGTCACTCCCAGCTACCCCGGATTCGAGGCCTGTGGTACATATCTCGAGTGTTGCCTGATATCTGCGATTGGCTGATGAGGTTCTTGGAGGAGATGGTATGTGTTGAGACTAGATTGTAGTCTGGGTCCGGCGGGTTGAGGATTGGACCTTTTTGTGATGACCTTGAATTCTGTCAGAGCGTGGGTCCAGTATCGAGCATGGAGCCTTTATACCGATATGATGCTCCTTCATATGCCTGTTATCCAGACTTTGTCGTGCCTATTATCTCGAGATCTCGACTATGCCCTCACAATGGTGACCGTAAAGTGAGGAAATGAGTCCCTATCCTTTCCTTTGATAGAAACGTGAAAGCAAATTTCAAGGACAGCCTGAAAGAGACGTCGCCACTAGATGACTTGATGAAGAGATGAAGAGGAAGAACCATCTGAAAAGGCCTAAACACCCAGGAGCAGCATCCCAATTGAGACATGGCTTCTCGCCCCTTTTCCAGAAGCCCGGGATCTAAGACGCGTCGCAGATGAAGGACACGCATGCCCGGGTTTACCGCTCTTTGGTACTCAATAGAACAGCAAGAGTGTGTCTTAGACATTGGAAACCCGGCCTCCTTCCTGAACTCTCGGTCTCGTCGGTTGGGAAGCAGTGCAGACCGACGTCGATGGGATGGAGCCATATTCGCGAAAATTAGCCCGGTTGGGATTTGGTTGAAGCTCTAGCCCTCAAGCTTTCCAGACTCTGGCCAAATTGCATAGCGTCCTGTCGGACACTATATGCACCGTTATTATGTCGTGTTCTGCATCTGCTGCTTCAGCCCGGGACCCATTGGCGGAGGAGGCCCTTGTACCTGTTAAATGTCTACTACAGACTGCATGGGCTAAGTGGGTATAATAGGGGGTTTCGAAACGGACTGAAAACGAAGCCGGTATGGCCTTATCATATAAACTGACGATGGATGATAGAATAGGAAAGAAACAGACAAAAAAGTGGGCTCTAACCGCCACCAACGTGTCGGACTTCTGCAGAGAAGCATGCATAGAAAGTTCTTTGATTCCTATACCGCCAGAGTATTATGTCTCTGACGAATGTACCAGACTTGCTCCAACAGTGGAACCGATTAAATCTTCAAAAATGGTAGGTTATAGGACTATAATCTACGATAAACTGGAGACTGTTCTAAAGAGAGCGAATAAGATCAACCTCTTGGGTAGGGTTGATGGCTTGACAGCAAGCCATGAAACTATCTCCAATTTACTCCTGCACACCAAATGATCTATATTAGGAAGCAGGCTTGATAGAAGCGTAGGGTAAACCAGCTATAGAAGCATCTATCAACTTTCTCAGCGTCTTTGATCCTGTCAGAAGTTTATCTCCGCAACACAGCGTCCCTCACATGCACTTACAGGTGAAGGACTCGCCAGCGGACAATGTGAGTTCCCGTTATACAAGGAGTAGATTCCCTGCAGCTTGCCGTGTGGTCTCAGACCTCTTTGATCCCGTTGAGCCATGGGGTATGTAGCGCATTGGGTCTTCCCATTGGGCCATTGGTTCGCCATCCTAATCCTCCGGTTGCTACAGCACCCTTGCTCCAGTACTTCTGGTACCAAGTTCGATCTGACATGGGTGCTTCGACAAGATTCTCGTTCTTTTCTGTAGGAACAACATGATAGGACGGTTGAGTTTTACCCCGGGATATTAGGGCCACAAGGCAAGATCCATGAGATACATTATCTGTAGCTCTTGTGCAGACTGCCGTAATGAGCTGTTTGCATGCACTGGATGCATCTCTCTCCAAAGAGAGTCCAGGGAATCCACATGGTGCTAATGGTCCCTGAAACGGCTGACTGCCATGCTTCTTTGATTTCTGTGCTTGGGTAGTCGCAGCAAGTGAAACAGGCAGTCCCTCGAAGGATGAGAGACGTAGGTCTCAAATATTCAGTTGCTCTGCCAGCAGTATCAATGGGAATGACACGATGCACACTGCATTGCGGTCAGTCCAAAGTCGAAGATCATTGGGATGTCTCCCATTGCTCCAACCAGAGACAGACAGCCTGTGGACTCGTCCAACTTGAGGCCCACGGAGGTAAAGTACCGGTGAAGCCACTTGCATGAGGGTCAGACACTCTCCCGAGTGCTCTGATATTCACCGCTGTCCTTCTCCTCGAGCCGTATACATGCCAAAAACAGCAAACACCTGTACTCACCCAAGCACTGCGGAACAAACCTTCGAACAAAGGTGACGGATTGTCTTGCTTTACTTTGTTACTCTGTTCAAGTTTGACTCTTTGAATCTTCTGGAAAACGCGATTTGTTCCTGGGGATTTAATTTGCTTCCGCTGCCCCTACTTCTGCTTCCTTCCCCGACCACTTTCTCTTCTTCTTTCTTGCTTTCCACTCTATAGCCCTTGATCATTTCATTCATGATTCCCATCAATTCCCTTCTGAACAACGAGATTGAGCCTGAGCGGTCTCACCGTGTTTCTACCTTACAGAAGCGGCCGAGGATGGCTAAAGATGCCCCGATCTTTCGCCCGGGTAAGATCCAGGGCGAGTGTCGCTATCCTCCCCACGAGGATCGGGATGAGGAGCTAGTGAGACTCCATGAAGAGTTCAAGATGAAGCCCATCGGGTCTATTGCCAAGTTCCCTCGTCATATCCCCTATGCCAGTGACAAGAAGACCTTCCAAGAGAAGACTGGCCGTGATAGCTTTCATGGTATTCAATCTGCCACTTACCGATACTTCCTGCTATCTAATGCTAACTTGTCTAGTCTTTCAATACACCTTCAAATTGCCCAGCGAAGAAAGGGAGTGGGCTGTGATGTGGGACTACAACATCGGCATTGTCCGAATCACGCACTTGTTCAAATGCAATGGCTACTCCAAGGCAAGTCTATCCACACAGAACTATTAGCTCTGGATCCTTACGATTATAGACTACTCCAGCCAAGATGCTAAACGTCAACCCAGGTCTCCGCGAGATCTGCCACAGCATCACCGGCGGTGCCCTCTCGGCTCAAGGTACGATCTACAACCCACACACTTCCAGTCGATATACCCTAATATAATACGCAACCAACACTTTTTCCCTCGTTATATAGGCTACTGGATGCCTTTCGAGGCCGCGAAAGCCCTAGCAGTAACCTTCTGCTGGAATATCCGCTATGCCCTAACTCCACTGTTCGGCAACGACTTCCCAGCCATGTGCATCCACCCCAACGACCGAAAGAACTTCGGACGCATGGTCGTTCCACCAGGGGTCATTCGACGCGCCACAGAAACCGCGATGCACTACCGCTCTCTGGAGGCGTGCAACAACATCGTTCACCCGCTCACGCCCCCAAACCGCCATCTTCCTTCCATGACCCACCACCTCCTCCATGGTCCGGAGAGATTGATCAGAAAGATTGAGTCGGATGGTGATGATACTCTTAGTCTGAGGTTCCCACCGCCTAAGATCCCTCGTCATAATTATGCGGACAGTGTTGCTAATGTTAGCAGCGCGAGGGACTCTTCTCTGGAGGCATACTGCAACTCACCTAAGAGCGCGACGTCTTTGTCGAGCTTCACGCCTATCAATCCTCCCCGCTCACATACTATCCCTTTCTTGCAGCCTAAAAACATCATCGCTGCGATCTCTAATACAATGCGCCCTGATCAAGTCGCTGAAGGGATTAGCGACGAAAGTGATACGGGAAGTGAAGGATCGTCGAACATGTATTCCACACCAAACTGTCCTTCCATGGATGAGATGATGGACATCCAAAGGCCCGGTGAGGTTGATGGTATGCCTTCAGACATGGACACCAGGCTGAGCGACTCCGATGATCTCACCGACTCGGACGAGGAGTGGGCTGAGGATGATGCCGATGATGAGGACTACCGAGGTCCAGCTGCTAAGAGGGAGGATGGTGCATCTCCGAATACAAAGTCTGTATCTCGCACTTCAAAATTGAAGAACCCAAGCCGCAAGTCTCGCGCTTTGCGTCCTCGTTCGTCGCCTCATTTCTATCATGAGGTCAAGGCTGCTGAGGCTTTGCTCCATCTGCATAAGAATGAGTTGGAGACTAGCGAGCTTGATACTGAGATAGAGGATGTCAGCTCCTCTTTTAGCTTTGTTACTCAAAATGGGCCCAAGAACGATCGTAAGCGGCGTCGTGCCTCTTATTGATTCATCGAGCTATGGTCTTGATCCCTTTTCAGAATGGCTTCGAGCTGGATGCTCCTATGTGATGGTTGGCTCTATAATTTTATGACTTGACGATTTGCTGGATGTCCAAAGTGTGTGTGGTCGAGTCGGCTGGAATCGACTCGTTCCGCATGTGTGTATGTGTTGGAAATTCGGCGGACCTTGGCTTCTTTTGTGTGGGTTTGAAGCAATATGTCTGAGACGGAGCTATTTGTTTGAATCATGACTGGGTACGGTAGACTGGATGGCGTTAGGGTGGATGTCAATCGAAATAGTTCCCATTTATCGTCTCCAAAGCAGTAAATTCCTTGCTCGAAGTGACCGGTTTGCTTGTTACCAGTGCGTTTACAAAGCAATGGGGAATAAAAATTAGATCATGTTCATTTCTGATACGCTAGCTGGCTCTCCATAGAATATCAAAGTAAGATATCAGTGTAACTAAAACAGAAAAACGAAAAGAATAAAAGAAAACATATTGGAGAGCACAACAAGGAGAGAAATGGAAGGTCCCAAACTAGGTATTTGCGGTTGGTGGTTTATTCAAAGCTTAGTCGCTCTCATCTTCCTCCTCAAAGTCATCGGCCGATGCCTCCTCACTATCATCGTCGATGACGTAGCTCTTCTTCTGAGTGGTAGCGGTACGACGAGACGGTCTGGCAGCAGCACCGCGACGAGGAGCAGGAGCGGGTTCGTCGTCATCATCATCTGACACATTCACATTGACCTTGCCGGCCGGTGAGTCCAGAATATCGTTCGCCATGGCATCGATATCATCCTCGGAATAGTCATCTGCAAGCTTCTTCGACTTGGCTTGTTTCGAAGCATAGGCCTTGGCTGCCGGTGACAAAGCGGAAGCCTTAGGACCGGCCTTAGGGGCAGGCTTGGGGGCTGCCGCTGCATCCTTCTTGGGACGACCACGGGCCTTTGGCGCCGCTGTGGCAGCCGCGGCCTTTGGAGCAGCCTTGGCTTTAGGAGCGGCCTTGCTCTTGGCAGTTGGCTTGACCGGTTCCTCGTCCTCATCATCATTCTCCTCGTCGAAGTTGTCAGCCCTCACATCCTTGGGCTTCACCTGGATAGAGCGCCTTGGGGAGTTCTGAGGAATGAGCCTGCTGTAGTCGGTCTCATCTGGGTCGAAGTCATCATTGGCCTTGGAAACTCTGGCAGCAGCGGTCCTCTGACTAGCACTGCTTTCGGAACGGGGCCGCTCAGAGAAGAGCTGACGAGAATCCGCGGCAGAGTCAGCACCAATGCCCTTGACCATCTGGCTGACATCGCCGAGAAGATCGTCACCATTGTCACTGTCAGAATCGCTGGGAGCCGAGTACTTCACAGGTTTGCGAGCACGAGCAGCGGGCTTGGTTGCCTCGCTCTTGGCAATTTCCAAGAAATCGTCATCCGAGTCCTCATCAACATTAGGTTTCGGCTTAGGTCCTCGTTTTGCGGCTGGCTTAGCTGCTGATTTGGCAGCAGGTTTGGGCTTGGGAGGGTCAACGTCATCAACGTCCATTGGGTCATCGGCTGGTTGAGTCGAGGCTCTCGAAGCATGGGGAACATCGTCAATATCGATGAAATCATCCTCTTCTTTAGGCTGAGACTTGGGCTTCGAAGCGGCACGGCTCTTCTTGGGAAGAACTTCCATATCGATATCGAAATCATCATCTGAACCAACCGCAGGGGATGCGCTTGGCTTAGATGAGGATTTGTTGAGGAAATTCATCAAGCTATTGGTTTGCGGCTCCTTTTTCTTAGCCGCCGCCGCCTTCTTAGTCTTAGGAGCCCCAAAGTCTTCATCGTCGGGGTCATCGCCATTGGCGGCCTTGCGCTTGCGGGCTGTGGCAGCTCGGCCGCCTCCAGTAGCCAGCTTGCTCGAGGCACGACGGCCCAAGCTAGCCATCTTGCGCGAACGACGGTCCTCATCCTCAAGCTGGAAGCGCCACTCGTTGATGAAGTCATCCAGATCACGTCTCCAGATGTCCTCCTTGGACAACTTGATGAGGGCATCAACTTCAGTCTCCCTGTCGCCAATCTGACGGCGCAGCTTCTCCACGCGCTCCTGGGTCAAAGACCACATAGGCATTCCCAAAAGGTAGTCGAAGGAGTTGGAGAGAACCTGAACTTCGGCTTCATCCGACTCTTCCTCCTCATCTCCTTCAACGACTGGCTCATCTTCGCCCATCTTGGCGGCCTCAGCCACCTTGGCGATTGGCTTGAAGCCCTTTTCCTTCAGCTCGCTGATCAGGACAGGCTTCTTCTTCTTAGAAATGACCAATTTTCCATCGATGATTTCCTGCACGAAGCGAGCTTGGTTGCTGAGCTTTTCCAGTTCTCTTTGGAGATCGTTCAGCTGGTATTGCTTGCGCTTCTCGTAGTACTTGAGGCGAATGTGGAAGAATTCCTTGAGAATATCATCGACAGAGGCGTACTTGGTGATGCGACCTTCAGGATCAAAGGCGACAAGGTTGCTGGTGGCAATGGACTTGGTCAACTTGAACTTTTCCTCCAATCCTTCGGAAAGGGCGAGCTTCATGTGCTTTTCATCAAGCTGGATCACAAAGTGAACCTTGGTGTGGGTGTTGTAGTCCTTATAATCTTTGATGAAAGATGGCACCTTTTCGGCCTTGATAATGTCCTCCAGCTTGTCCTTGAAATCTTGAGTCCAGGTTCGAATGGGCAATTCGGTGATCTCAACCTCCTTGTCTCCGGATTCTCTGATGATACCGCTGAACTTGTAGCGATCGCCACCCAGTGCCACGACCTCGCCTGTGAAGCCACGGAACCAGGGCTGCATGGGCTCGGGGGTCTCACCATCCATGAGGCGCCTCAAGTTGCTCACAATGTCTTCAGGGTTGTAGTTAGGAATGGTTGAACTCCAACCAGTACCAATACCATCGGCACCGTTGACCAAAATGAGCGGGACCACAGGCATGAAAACTTCAGGCTCAATCTTCTTACCATCGTCCTCACCATACACAAGCAAGGGCTCATCCGCGGTATGGAAGATCTTTCGCGCAAATGGCGACAAGCGAGTGTAGATGTAACGAGCACTGGCACAATCGCCACCACCCTGAAGTCGACTACCAAAGTTTCCACTAGGCTCCAGACAATTGACGTTGTTGGAGCCTACAAAAGTCTGAGCAAGACCAACAATTGTCTGCTGGAGGGACACATCACCGTGGTGGTAGGCTGTCATTCCAGAGACGTGACCTGCCAATTCAACGACTTTCATATCCTTCTTCAGATTGCGACGGAAACAGGTGTAAAGCACCTTACGCTGACCGGGCTTCAGACCATCAACGACAGATGGAATGGAACGCATGTTGTCCGCCATACTGAAAAGAATCAGTTCCTTGTTGATGAAGTCGGTGTATGTAATCTTCGACACCGAGTGGTCCAAGTATGTGCCAGGCTTGTATTGACGGAGCCACTCTTTACGCTCATCGGCCTTCTTCTTGGAGAATGCCAGCTCAATAAGCCCGGGCTCGTCGGCTTGCATCGTGTGGAACTCCTTGAGATGGCGGTCGAGATCCCGGAAGTAGACCTGGGCATCCTCTGTGGTGCTAGTTCCCAGACCCTTGTAGTACTTGTGTTCCCAGCCACGTTCGTGTTTATGAAGTTCGTGCCATTCTTCATATTCGGGCATTGTGAAGAAGGACTTCAGCTTGGTAGGGTTCTTCGGGTCACCCTTCCAAACCTTGATAATGGGTGTAATGAATTCAATCAGAAATTCGGGAATCTTCAACAAGCTGGGGAATTGCGCCTGAAGGAAGTTGATGAGCAAACCCTTGATATGACTACCGTCGTGATCCTGATCAGTCATGATCATGAGATGGCCATATCGCAAACCCTTGGTTTCGGTGTACTCCTTCTTGTGCTGCAGACCAATGAAGTTTTTGATGTTTTGAATCTCTGCGTTCTTCGAAATCTGGTCGAAAGAAGCATCGCGAACGTTAAGCAACTTTCCGCGCAAGGGGAAAACACCGAACAAGTCAGGTCCAACGACTGCTCTTCCTGCCATAGCCAAACCCTTGGCAGATTCACCCTCAGTCAGGATCAGCGTACAGTGGTGGCCTTCCCTAGTGCCGGCCTTGTTGGCATCGACCAGCTTAGGGTTGTTCATACGTGAGCGGCGGCCTGTGTCACCCTTTTTCAAAATCTGATCGGCCTTTTGCTCTGCAAAGTGCAGGATGTTCGACATGACCTCGGTCTTGAGAACCTTTTTATAGAAGTCTTCCTCGAGAACACACTTGCTACCAAATTGACTTGTCTTAGTAGTCAATTGTTCCTTGGTCTGCGAGTTGAAGGCGGGATTCACAATCAGGGCTTTCACGAAGATGAAGATATGGTTCCGAATCTGTGCTGACTTGAGAGTGGCACCTGTCTTGTTCCGCTTCTTCACCTGGTCAGCCAGGCGGTTACAGATTTGGTCTGCGATGTAATTGACATGGGTTCCACCAGATGTTGTCGCAATGGAGTTGACGAAAGAAACCTGCTGGAATGAACCATCTGATACAGCAAAACCAATCTCCCACCGAGGGTCTGGGCTGCAGGTAATGATCTCATCCTTTGAGGGAGCGCCCTCATCGCCGCGCTCCTTGCGAATGGCTTTAGTGTACATTTCCATGTACTTGCGGAAGTTGCGAATGGGGATGCGTGTGCCGTTCAATTTGACAGCAACATTGGCGGTACCTGCCAAATCGTAGACTCGACGCTTAACAAGAGCTTCGAAGTCATCGTCGATGCCTTCCATGCCGAATTTCGCAAAATCGGGCTTGAAGGTGACCTTGGTGTAGTCGTCACCTTTGGCATCGGTAATCTTTGCCTTGCCCATCTTTGTCATGTTCTGCGTCCATGTCTGCTTGTACTTCTTCTTTTGGCGCGAGTCTTGGGTCTCTAGTGAGAACTCGGTGGAGAAAACATTACAAAGCTTGGCACCGAAACCGTTACGACCACCAGTCACCTTCTGCTGACTATCGTCGTAGTTGGATGATGTGAGCAAGTGGCCGAAAATGAGCTCGGGGACGTAGATCTTCTCCTTGGAGTGAATCTCGATGGGAATTCCACGTCCGTTGTTCCACACACTGATCTCACCGGCTTCGCGATCAATGGTGATTCGCATTTCGCTCATGCTCGAGTCGTTTTGCTTGTTATCGGCGGCATTGACAACAATTTCGTCGAAGATCTTGTAGAGACCAGGGACAAAGGAGACTTCGCGGTTTTCCATGACCTCAGTCACGGAGTTGTAAACCCACATTTGCTGGGTGGTGCGTTCGGTCGAACCGATATATGTATCGGGACGTTTGATGATATGTTCGAGCTGGGTAAGCTGTGAAGATATTTCGTATTAGCATTCGACCTCGATAATGTTGATGCGATGGCAGCGCGGCTTACTTTCTGGTACTTCTCTGATGCATCGCCGTTCTTGCTATCGCTGGGCGCGTCACCCCCGTGAGACTCATTTTCGACGTCAGCGAGCGGCTTCGAGCCAGCTCGCTTGGGGGCGGCTGCTTTCTTGGCTTTAGGGGGAGTGTCCATGAGTAGAGAATCGGCATCGGACATTTGCGCGTCGGACATCTCGTCCTCGCTGTCAGCCTTGGCCTTCTTCTTAGCAGCAGCTGGTTTGGCAGCTGGCTTAGCTTTAAGTGTGGTCTGAGTAGACTTTTTGGCGGCGGGCTTAGCGGCAGCTGCTTTCTTGGGGGCTGCTTTCGCTTTGGGTTTCTGAGACATGTAAGGTCAGCGAGAGAAGGCGCCTGAAGCATATTTGATGCGGTTCTTACAGGCGCAGGCTCAGGAACGAAGTCGGAGCTACCTCCCTCGTCCTCGAAGACCGAGTCCTCCATCAGAGAGTCATCCATGATGGGAGGATAGGTAAGCTGTAAGAAGATTAGTGGAAAAGGATTGCGCCTATTAAAGGCTTGGGATCGGTTGAAACGAATGACAACGCCAGATAAACAAACTTAAATGACGAATCATTCAAGACCCGACATACTCTGAGAGCAGGTGAAGAAGTGAGGAATGCAGAGGGGAAGCGCCGTAATGTTGTTTTTTGCCTGAAACGCGACTTCCCCGACTATCAAAGCGGTGTACACTTTCTGACCACTCGGATCATCATTCTTCCTCACCGCCTGCAAACATGGCCCAAATAGGCAATTCCCAAACAAACGACACGAGTTCTGCTTCCCCTCACACCCTGATCCTTGTCAAACTTTGTAGCTTGACGATCTATCAGATAATACTTTTTTAAAAAATTCAATTCATTTAGGTGAAGGCTGATCTTTCTATGCGAAATCTGTCAAATCCCATTTTCGACCGCATTCGGCGCCAATCGAGCTATCAGTGTCTACATATAGTTTGGCGCGCGCTCTGAGAATCAATTGACTCCACTAACGTGCTAGAATCGATAGTTAACAGGAAAAATGGTAGGTCATGAGACAGAGAGCTCTTTTATATAGATGTTTGAAGCCTGATCGGTTTAAAATGACTTTGGTGGTCACTACATAAACAAGTCCAATGCATCTGAGGTACGCTTGCAACCGGGCCCCAACTACCATTGATCCCTCGGTGGGATTAGAATACCGCCATAAAAGAGCCCTTGATGTCACAAAATACGATACAATGAAGTTTTTCGATGTAAGTAACCAGAGCTTTAATGCGGATCAAGCCGTTTTCGGCCGGACGTGCAAGGGCACTCAACTTCCTCTATTTATATTTCACGCCTGCCTCGTACTCAAAGCTCCATAGCTGACCAGAGTAAGGAAACTGTGCCCATTGGGCAAGTACTGTGTATTGATAGGCCCAGCCGCGGGGTTTTGTGCATAACATATAGCCCTTGCATGGTTCCAAACCTCATTCGAACCGGGATATTTACAGTGACTTGCACTGAAACGACTTAATTACATAGTTTGATAAGAATTAAGCAAGGGGACATCCTTTATTATGTCAAGTAATGAAGCCATAGTGAGAACACATTAGGAGTCAGCCAAGTATACATTTTGTGATATGACAGTGCCTATCCCTGAAAGCTAAAAGATGGGTATACCAACAAACTAAGCAAGATATTGCTCGAAATTGAGAGACAATTTGCACTGATTACTTTTCATTACTAGTTCGTCTACAATAGAAATTACAATAGAAAAATCTCAAAGTTTCTAAGTGGGCTCGAAAAACCTGGCGCTGACAGGCGGACCGCAGGGACCACAGGATGATCCACAGACCAAAGGCTCGGAAGTGTGAATGGAATTTGGCTCTCAGGTTATATGCAGACTCAAATCCGACGAGACCTGACGCTGGCCAGCCTCGATAGTACTAGTTCTCCTGTCCCAGTGACATCCAGTAAATTAAGGTGAAACGGTGGCGCGTAATTCCAGTACAGGAGTAACTTCGCGGTCCACCAATGATGAGCAAGAGATATACTACTGACCAATGGAATTGGATCAAAATTACATTGATAACCCCTGGTGTAATTCAAATACCGTAGTATCAGGGGAAACACAAACAATAGTTCGAGTGCAGGGTGCAGGTCATAGGCAGAGACGTGATAATAGTCCGAAAAAGAGGACACATCTTAGAGCAATGGCCCCTAGCCTACCTACAGTACTACACTATTTGTATATTGTTCCTGTACTCTGTAGTTCAAATTAACGTGGGGTGAAGATCCATGGAACGTCAACGGAAGAGGGAACGGGAGTATACATGGGCAATAAGTAGAAGGAAACAGTCCGTAGCATAGACGTCAATAGAATAGTAACAATAATATAAAAACTAGTAAAACAGTCGGTGTAAGAGGATCGACGGGGCCGAGACTTCAGGAGGGGAAAGCTAAAGGGGCTAAAGTGGATTTGCTCTCCTGACTCCCTTTTCCTTTCTCCAGCCTCTTGTGTGGATTAAGACTGTGAACTGTCGCCTCGACTCTATTTGTGCTCCAGTCAAAAGCCCAGTTATGCAGTGGATGCCTGCGCTTGTGTCCCGCATCCAAATCTAACCTACTTACGCGCCATCTACACGATGTCCACTATGGAAGAGCCAGTATCCCCCGGTTCGCACCCGTTGAACCACGATTCAATGGTCACCGTCTCTCTATCCGATATCCAGTCCAGTTCCGAACATACACAACCCGATTGGCGCAACCTCGACATTCCTCCCACGCCAGTGGAGGCAAGCCACATGGAGGAGAGCGACTCTTTTGGCCCGGAAATCCAGGACGGAAGGACAACCCCCATCCCCGAGGACAGTATGCCGACACCTGACGCAAACGGAGACAAACAATTGGAGGAAGGATTTAACGACGTGAATTGGGAGAATCTGGACAAGACTGAAGAGCAAGAACCGCGCGGGGAAGGGTCCGACGATGTGGGTTGACAGTTGCGAAAGGTGGAATGAGGGCACTGACATTCTTTCTAGTCCACCGCCCTCCTCCTCGCTCGACTCGAACAAGAGAACAACGCGTTAGCAACGAACCCCAAATCAGGCATTACCAATGTTCCACACAAGACGCATCAGCGGCAATCCCGCTCCGAGTCGCTGCACCAGATCAAGCGGCTCATCAAGGACCCAACGCGTGCTGAGCTGCGATATTCCCAGCTGCCTCCTCCCCCGATGACCGAGTTGGAATTCTGGGCTGCTTTGGTGGCTGATTACCATCAGACGGCTCAGCGCTTGCCGACTTTGACTTCGAATAAGATCCAAGGAGGTGTTCCCCCACCACTGCGAGGAGTGGTATGGCCGAGCCTAGCAGGTGCTCGCGACCCGAACCTTTTGGAAGAGTTCCAGCGACTACAAGGAGAAAGTAGTCCGTACGATGGGCTGATCGGCAAGGACATTGGTCGCAGCTTCCCCAACGTGGAGATGTTCCGCGATCCCAATGGCGAGGGCCAGCAGATGCTTGCCCGAGTATTGAGATGTTTCAGTCTTTATGATACTAAGATTGGTTATTGCCAAGGGCTTGGATTTGTGGTTGGCCCTCTGCTCATGCATATGACAGATGCTGAGGCCTTTTGTGTTTTGGTCCGGTAAGTTCTTGCGATGGAAGACGACGGAAATTGGCCAGGGGATACTGACTCGAGTATAGTCTCATGGACCACTATAACCTCCGAACATGTTACCTTCCCGATCTCTCTGGTCTTCATCTTCATGTCTACCAATTCCAGAATCTCCTCGCGCGTCATCGACCTGGTCTCTTTGAACACCTGGAAGCACTGCATGTTGAGCCGGTCTACGTATCACAGTGGTTCTTGTCATTCTTCGCGGTGGCATGTCCACTACCAATGCTCCTCCGAATTTACGACGTCATCTTCCTGGAAGGTGCTTGTGAGACTCTCATGCGAGTTGCGCTTTCTTTGATGCAGCGTAACGAGAAGAGAATCCTCGCTTGCACCGAGTTCGAGGATGTGATGCAATTGCTATTGTCTCGAAGCTTGTGGGACACGTAAGTCTTTGTGATCGCACAAACAAAGAACTATACTGACTCGTGAAACAGATACGCGTTCAATGCAGATGACTTGGTCAACGACTTTGTTTCTCTCACTTCTCTCGTGACAAACGAGAGCCTTCAAACTCTTGAGGCCAGTTACAACCAGTCCCAGGGCAACCCCACTGGAATCTCCTTCCCCCAAATGCAGGCCACAGCTTCTGGATTCCTTGGGCGACTATGGGCTGGCTCTTCCAACTCTCACCAATCAGTCAAATCACTCAACCCGAACTCGAGTCCGACACGTCCTAACAGTACCATTCGTCGCTCCACCTCTAAACAAAGCCTCACCTCCACTCTTAACTCGGTCGAGACTACCTCTGACGCAAGTACTGCTCCTACTGAGCTTTCAACTGCTACAACAGGCACTGATGGCAAATCGCGTGTCAAATCCAACATGTCCTCACATCACAAGGACCGCGACCTTCATACTCAGATTGAAGACCTGTTAATGGCACTAAGCGATTTACAACGCCAACAAGCCGATTTGACACGTGAATTACAACAGGAGAGAGAGGACCGTGAAGAAGATCATGCCCTGGCCAAGGAAATGTTGAGTCTCATTCAAGAGATGCCGGCTGAAACGCCGACAGAACTTATCAACAAGGCCAAGACACGCTTCGAACCTAGCGTGCCAAGGCGTATTTCCATCACCCAAACGAAGCTCCAACTAAATGACGATGTCACCCGATGGAAGGAAATGCACGAGGTGGAAGCCGGCCGTTGCTTGGACCTGACCCGTCGCATCGACGACTTCGAAAAAGAGAACTCGTCCTTGAAAGAACAATTACGAGAAGCCCGAGGCCGGATTCAGGATGGCTATCGCGATCGACAGCGACTCGAGCGCATGAACCGGGAACTACGCACCCTCAAAACACCCACCGCAGCTTCCACGACACCACCAGATACGTCTCCTACTGACTATGGAGAGGCACACTCCCCGACGAATGGCCTGCGTGAGCTCAAGCTCACCCGCACCAACTCCACGAAGAGCCCAACCTACAGCAAACGATCCAGTAGCCTGGGTCTTCAAAAGGTGCTGGCAACCGAAAACAACGGACCGGCCGGCGAAGAGGCCTTGCTCATGGAGTTAGTCACGTCCAAGACAGCGGAGGCAGTTGCGAAGCAGGAGCTTGAAGAAGTGAAGAGCAAGCTGGAGTCATTAAAAAAGATGATCACCCCAGCCCAGGCGGCGAAGTTAGAGCATCGCCAGTCCTTCATTGGACTTTCACCGTCACGAATGAGCATCTCTAAAGCGGCCACCGAACCAGCAAAGCAAGTGATGACACCCCCTGTTGCCAACACCGGTGGAGGGGGCTTTTTCAGTGGATGGGGCCGACGGGCCAACAATGAAGCCCCGTAATGATAGCTGTTGGAAATACGTGTAAACATATTGAATGCTTGTTTGGAACAAGCAGATACCCATTACAATCGGTTGTCATATTGGAACGCTGGAGTGAATTTAGGAGCTGGTTAATTCTGTATCTGAGTACATAGCGATATATCCCCTTTTGAGAGCACATACCTTGCTATTTGATGAATGCATAGATTTAATTGCAAGAAAAATAGCACCTTAAGACAAAAATACCACCGAGCTATCGTATTTGCTGATCCGGCACTTCTCGGAAGCCGCCGAACACGTTGAACCGCCACAGCGATCGTCAATGGACACGAAGTAAAGTAAATGTTAACTCGATCTGTCTCTCTTTATATCATTGGAAGCCCCTTTTTATCGACAAAGAACCACACGCAGAAACCACTTGTCTCGGCAGGACCCAACATGCATTATCTACAGCCTGCGATTGGCCCGATCAGCTCAATAGCCCTGAAGAACCAGGCTCCAGCGTGAAGCCGAGCCAAGCCGCTACGCCTCGCGCGAAAAGTGGGAGAGAAAAATAGAAAAATGGTCAGATTCCCCGATTATCTCGCATATTCATGTCTCTTTTGCCGTGATGGACTTTCCCGTGGCGCTGCGGGGTCTGTTCAGCTCTCCAAGGCGCCGTTTTGCTGCTGCTGCTGCGCTTTTGCTGCTTGTGTTTTTGATTGTGCCTTACTATAGAGAGCAGGGTATTGCTATCGTGCCATTACGCGCCCAATTGATTGAGTAACTGCTTACCCCGTATTCTTGTTCTTCTTTTTCTCGGCGCTTTCTGACTTTGTTAGACCTATAGAGATTCCTGTTGAGCCGTTTCCAAGCGATTATGCCAGCCAGCAGCCTATTAATTCATCGCGGGTCATTAATGACCCCTATCCGGACTATGATAGTCCGCAATGGATCTCTGCGTCGAAAGGAGCGTATCAGCCTTGCACTGGGCCCCACGGCCGACTCCTCAGCCGTAAAGATGAAGATACCATGATGAGTGGTTACCACTGGAATACATCAGGTGTGACAGCATACAAGGAAGGCTGTTCAGAAGGCAACTAATCGTCAATGTAGATTTCCCTACGCCCATTTTCGGATCGTACGAGGCATGGAATCTCGATCGGAGCCTTTGCGCCGATCGCTATTCCCGATATAGTCCTTATGGATATACGGAAAGAAATAAGACGTCCCGAACGCACGATTGGCATAGTCGATCATTTCGATCTGGCGAAGCGGCCGAGATCGACTGGCAGCACGTCGACTGGGCCCAATTACAGCAAGAATGTCTGCAGCGCAATGCCCTTCGGTATAGTACGACTGAGCCCAATAACAAGACTATTTGGGGTCTTTACAAGTCTCTCGATCCGGCGATGCAGCAGACGACCCTTGCGGAATCATCTCTGAAGCACTTGGAGGAATCACGAAAAGCTGCTCAGCCGAAACCAGAGCCTCGCACGGCTGTTATTTTGCGCTCGTGGATTGGGATGCAGTATACTGAGAATGATTTGTTCAACATTCGATCGATGATCATGGAGCTGTCTCTCTACTCGGGCGGAGAGTATGAGGTGGTTCTTCTGGTAGACTGTCAAGACAAGGACTTACCCAACAAGGGCGATCATGCCGCCTGGACCGCATTCAAAGAGAATCATTTGCCCCAAGAACTGCGAGGTTTGGCAGTCTTCTTCAATGACAAAATGCTCCAGGACTGGTATCCCGACATTGATGTCCATGTGTATGTATTCTCTGGGGAAAAGAGAGAAAGAGAGACTAGTCCCACTGACTCCCTACTAGAGCGATATTGCAGTACTTCCAGCCCACACAGATCTTCTCCCAGCTGCACCCCCAGTACGATTACATCTGGCAGTTTGAAATGGATGCACGGTATACTGGCAATATGTACGACCTCTTGCACCAGGCAACCGAGTTTGCCAAAAAACAACCTCGGAAGTATCTGTGGGAACGTAACTCCTACTTCTATATGCCAGCCGTGCACGGCACCTGGGAAGACTTCAACAAAAAGATAGATCTGGAAATGCCCGGCCATGACAGTGTCTGGGGCCCTCACCCTGCCAAGGGAATCGAAATCGATGGGCAGGCTCCTTTGCCGCCTTATCCCCACCCAGAAGAGGAGTCCGGCATATGGGGCGTAGGTGAAGAAGCCGAACTCATCACTTGGCTGCCCCATTTCGATCCGACTGGGACAGACTGGCCCTTCCGAGACCGGGTCTTCAATTTCCCTCAGGAGCAAGAGACACCTCGTCGAGCCGCTGTTGTTGCTATGTCCCGTGTATCTGCGCGACTACTTCGCGTTTTGCATCAGGATAAGGTGAGACTGGGAGTTGGGCTCGCTTCTGAGATGTCGCCTATCTCTTGGGCTTTGTATTATGGTCTCAAGGCTGTACAGATCCCTCATCCGATATACCATGAGGACCGATGGGACGCACCGCAATTGAACTACCGTGCCAATCCGGGTGAGCCTGGAAAAGTTAACGCTGGGATCGACAGTATCTGGAGCTGGGACAGGCATAACGACATCATTTACAATACGACCTTTATGTTCAACTCGAGGTTTTCAGAGAAGTTGTATAGAGCCTGGATGGGCTTTGATGGCGCTGAAGAGGTACGTACGCTGCCTTGGACCCAGTGCCCGTTTTTCTAACTGTCGACAGTGGGAAAAAGAGAACAGTCGACTCTGTCTTCCCCCTATTTTCCTACATCCCGTCAAGAACCTGCAAGCAAAAGGCAAAGCGGGATAAGTGGAGACGGACGATAGTTGAGAATAATCGAAATGGTCGTGATAGAAGGCGGGTAGTGCGATGCTGCATCAGGGTCCCATATAGCTGCGAAAATTGCTCCAGATTTCTGAGATCGCTGCAATTGTGGAACAATTGTGTGCCATGTATGGTTCAAGTGAATGAAATACGCTTTAAAGCTAACCATCTTCATATAGGCAAGAACGAAGATGTCAGGCCCGCCAAATTAGGTTAAATTAAGAGATGCGAAATTGTCGTATGTGGTCGGTTTTCATGGCCAGATTTCAAAGGGCCTCGGCTTGGTGGCGAAACCAATTTTTACGATCTCAGCGGGGCTTTTATCAGATGCGTTGCTCAGTAATCATGTCATTAAGAAAACCGACATTTTCGAGGCAGCAGAAGGGTTGAAACGGCAGCAAACGGCAGCTGAGGCCGGTATGGTCCCAGTGTAAATCCTGCCAAACATGCTCACATGAGCCAAATGAACTAAATCTGCAGAACATTCGTCCTTTCTACATCACTTCGTTAGCTTCACAATTAAGTTTAATTTTTAGATCGGAGGCGCTGGATCATCCCACTTCCAAGGTTGAAAAACCTACACATGAGGCTCTAGGCCTGAAGAGCTTAGCGTTGTGAGTGTTCGCGAACACTGTTCAGCAGTTAAGGCTGACAGGGTCCACGGAACGAGGCGGGGACAACTGATCTGTGCCTATCATCTTGATGGGGATCTCGCGTGGTACCCCCGATTCTATGTAGTTCCGTAGGGTTTTCACCGAGATTAGGGCACGTTTCACTTGACCCTACCTTTGGGAATGGAGAAATGGAACATCGACTACTGAATGTCCCTCCAAAAGTACAAAGGGGATTGAGACCGACGGCGCGGCGAGCTAAATCATAGTTGCGGTGGTTTCCTATTGGGGTTAGGTGTGTATCAGAGTAAAACTACTATAACAGAACCGGCCCCTGCTCCGGCTCTGGACATTTTTAATTCAATCTTTAGAGGTTCCTCTTCCTTCATTCACTATGAAGTTCCTCCTGTTTTTCACTCTTTTAACCCTACTGGTCGTGAGCCTGCACGCGGCTGAGACCACCACATTCCCTTCTTGCGCCGTATGTATACTTCAACAAACTCAAATTTGTGGCTGACACTGACCTGTCCTAGCTTGAGTGCAACACAGCATTGTTCTCAGGATGCTCGCTGACCAGCAATACGACATGCTTTTGCGAGAGTGACACGCGTCCGACCGCGCTGCTGAACTGTGTGGAGAGCAAGTGCACGACTAAGGAGTATTTTAGTGAGTTTCACCAGTGTTTGATCATCTATTGCATAATTTAGCTCTAACGGTCCCAGCCACCAGACGGCTCTACGAACAGAAATGTGATATCACGCCCCTCCAAGGCCCTTCGCTCGTCCAGGGCGGAACTATGGTGCCTCTTGTTCTCGCCACGTTTTTCTTCGTGGCGCGAATGATCGCCAAGAGCAGCGGCCTAGCTGGTGGCTGGGGATGGGATGATTATACGATCATCGTTTCTTTCGTGCGTACCGCTCTTCATGTTTTGCGGTGCGATATTAACCGTCTTGTAGGTTCTCGGCATTGCCATTTTCGTCCTGAATATTTACAGTAAGCCTACTCTCATGATGAATTTGACAAGAGATGCCAATCAAATACTGCAGTGGTGAAATTTGGCTTCGGTCGGAATATTTGGGATGTCCCATTTGACGACATTACCATGTTCTACAAGGTTCGTTCCCCCTCCCCCCTGCAGAGTCATTACCAAGCTAATCAATGCAGTGTTTCCAAGGTCTCGCCGTGATGTATAAAATCCAAATCTCTCTCGCCAAGATCTCGGTTTGTCTGTTCATGCTGCGAATTTTCCAAGCTCGCAAGTTCCGTTATATGTCCTATGCACTCATGGGTCTCAACGCCGCTACCGGCATCACTTGGGCCTGTGTGGATTCATTTCGTTGCTTGCCTACGTATTTGACATGGACTGGCTGGATGAATGAGGAGCAAGGAAAGTGTATTGACTTTATCACTTCCATTCTCATCAACTGTCTGGTCAACATCTTTCTTGACTCAATCTTGATTGTCATGCCCGTGTATGAAGTGATCAAGTTGCAGTTGCCCTTGAAGAAGAAGCTGACTGTGGCACTGATGTTTGTCGTTGGTTCAGTGTAGGCGTCAACCCTTCCCTTTCATCGGATGACCTTCTAGCAACATTGCTGACCATTACTATATATAGTCTTACCATCATCGCTATTATTCGAGTCGTCGTCTTCTGGAACAACCGCTGGGGTGCTAACCAGACTCTTGGTCTATACCCACTCATTCGCTGGTCAGTCATCGAAACTCAGATTTCCGTCCTGTGTGCCTGTCTCCCTGCATTCAGAGCCCTCATCGGTCGGTGGTTCCCTGCTCTTCTGGGAGGCTCCAAGGGCCGAACATATCCTTCAAACACGGAGGAGTATACCAGGCAAACCGACGGCAACAGCAAAATCAACAAGTCTGTCACCTACTCGGTGAACTATGCCGCGCGCTCAGACACAAACAGCGAGGTGGAGTTGGTGGATATGGATGCGAAGTACGCTCGATGATGTTCAAAGTCATGACATCCCTTTTCTTCTTTCTTTCAAGAAAAGTATTGTACCATCAAGAAATCTATCTAATATGACAAGAAACCTTCAATACAACCGGATCAAACATCGATTATGAGCAAATACTACAGTCGCGGTATGGCAATCTATCACATTCACCGGCCAATACCAAATCTACCAGCAGTTGGTTGTACAAAACAAGCATTTTTGCCTACAATGGATCGAATTAGCCGCGATGTATATGTGGTGAACAACCTTAGTCACGTACACGATATCCAGCTACTAAGTAGGTCAAGGTATAGAAATGTTGACACCCCGCGGCTATTTTCTTTTGTATCATAAAAGGATTTAGAGACAATCAGAAAAAAAAAAAAAAAAAAAAAAAAAAAAAATAAGTAGCAGTATCAATTCCAACACGTACTATAAGCCCCACTGTTCTTCTTTCAACTCGGGGAAGAAAGCACGTAAAAACTCTCCGGTGATCGGATCATACGGGAAATGCATGTCACTTGCACTGCCGCCATGCGTACCTGGCGCAGATGAAAGTTCAGACCCCAATAAATCTGCAAGATTTGAATTAATGCCACCCCAGCTTGCGATAGAGTCTTCCTGGGAATGGGTTTGTGATGGAGGTTGATCATCGTGGGCGGACAATGTCCCGGGTTCAACTGTTTTATCACGCTGCCCAAGCAAGGAAGAGTATGCAGAGTCAACTTCTGATTTGATCTGCTGCTCGTTTGGGCGAAATGGTAAATTGCTACTGTAGTATCCCAGCCTCAACGCCAGCCGAGAAAGTGCACCCTCACATAGTTGCCATGCACGATGCGCTGCAATGCTATGTCCAGACATTGCGTAAAGCCATTGTACAGACTTCCCCCCCAACTTCATAAGACTGTTTTCCTTTTCTGGAATATGGACGCAGCCAAATGACAGTTCCAAAATGATCACAGTCGCTGTCTGCATGATGTAGTGAAGCATACACCACCATGGACAGGTTTGATAGATGTAGGTTGTGTCTGGCTCATCTGGCAATAAATCAAGCATGTGCATCGCGGAATCCAGAGTCGACACGCTCATACGGTATGTGAAGCCATGAATATCGTCTTCTTTGTTCTGTGTGGTATGTCGGCAAAGGCACGGCCGACCAAGCATGATTTGTGTGCTGTAGTAGTGGAATGCCAAGCTGGTTTTCGCCCGTTGGGCTTCACTGTTCTCTTCTTCCAGGTGAGTGAATTTCAGCGCTGGCGGAAGATTTGATAACCAACTATCGACGGTCGTCTCAAGATGGTTGATACGGCCCTTGATCTCTTCCCATGACAGCATCGCACACTCGACGGAGTAAACCCGGTTCAAAATTTCTTGAGTTAAGGCCGTGAGATCGCACTGGTATAGAAAGTAAACCGCCGCCCCGGCAGGTAGGGATCGAAGCCATGAGCGCCCTAGTAGTGTATCCTTGGTTGGCTTGCTGTCCATTTGCAGTAGACAAGGGCTCGTCATTGCTCTGTTCAGGCGTTGTTCTCTCACTTCGAGATTTTCGAGCAACCGAATAGCTGAGGGCTCCAGCAATTGATCTTCATCCAAAGGAAGTGGCAATTGAGAGCTGAATGTCTTGAACGAGATCGCTGTTTTCCGGCCAGTCATCAAACCCAGCTTGTGCTCGACTGTAAACAGACACCACCAAATTCGACAATGTAACTCTTTGGTGTGACCTGAAATTGAATGACTTTCATTCTTCAGGTTGATACCGAGAGAGATTGCGGATCGGACTGCCAGAACTGAGATCCTCCACGCCCTGTGTCTGCATTTAGACTTGCTTCGCCGAAAGAGTCAGAATGTCATACCTGTTAATCTGGTTTATAGACAGCAGATGAAATGCGATCAAACCCTCTACTTGCACCTGTTGAAGGTCCGGATGTCGAAATAGGTTATCGCCGCCCATGCCAAACATTCTAGCACGGGTCATATAAAGGAGGTGATCTCGGGCAGACCCTGGCCCTGCTATACCAGTATTACAAGAGATATTTGAGGCTATCGCAAAGACCATGTTGAGCACTGCCATCCACCTATCGCTTGGCAGATGGGTTCTGTCAAAAAAGTTCCTGTACTGGACCGAGAACTGAGTCCGGTTAATGATGGGGTACTGTGGGTGAACCATGAGCAGATAAGTTTCAAACAGACGATCTGCCACCTCTCGTGGAGGTACCCAATACATTTGTACTGCCTCCGGGACATCGATGCTCAAGTCATCGAGATGATAATTAATGGTATGCGGAGGAATTCGGTCACCGGAGAGGCGATCATCGTCAGGTGTTGACTTTAGCGATTGCTGTTCTTCTTCCTTTAGCCGCTTGAGCCATGTAATTTCTGAGCTTTTACCCAAGAATCCAGTGGCACGAGAATTTTCAGTTCGGTTAATGTCATCTTCAACCCGGTCCACTGCCTCTAGTGATCCGATGGAGGAAGGAGAACTGGACCGATCGGGCTTACCCTGGTCCTGGAATAAGTCAAGGGGTGTTGCATTGGAAGCATAACCTGAATCTGGATCGTACTAGTCAAAAAGTCAGACAAGGTATTGGTTCCAGTGCAGCCTTTTCGGCGTGGACCCCAAACCTTCTGTAATAGATCCCTGATGCGCTTAGCAGGGGAGCCGGGAAGATCCCTGATCTCACTCAACATGGACTCATATTCTCGCACTTTGGTCGACAGCTCTTTGATTTGCCTAGCATTGGGCTTTGGTTCAGCTTCAAGAAAGGGAGAAGGGTGGATATACGGATGCATATTTTCAGTGCAATTGTTAGGTAGTGAGATTACCTTTTTTTCTTTTTCACGCGATGTCAACGGATATAAACATTCGATATTGAATTCTCGACATTGTCTGCAAGCCGGGACATCGCCAGTGCATTTTATTTTCCGCTGGTGACACGCTTCACATGCCCGTGGGACTCGGTTGCCAGAGGGTCGTGGGGCCACGAATCGTTGTCGAGGAATTGCAACCTTCATCAGGATAAACACGAGTTAATGAGTGCCTCCAAATCAAGCAAGAAGTTCGGCTTGGAAAGTGAAGTGCATATGGTGCCTGTGGCAAATGATGTCATGCAGCTGATAGACATGACATCACACTTCTACACAGTGAGAGAGAGAGAGAGAGAGTTCAGCTATTGAAAAACACTTAAATTATGTATATGTGATACTGCAGGTTCATTATTTGACTTTTCTCTCCTCTCCAAACAGAGCTGTAGCTGCAAGTCCTGCCCTGGTAATAACGAATAGAGTAGTGTGAACTTAGGTCCTAGTACCGCAATGATTGCCTTAGTGCTTAGCAGATTCTATGAATGATTAGTCTTGTGTCCGGTGAGTGACCGAGCCATACTGATTTGCTTACCCTTGTTCACATCTGCCTTTGTATCATGGGATTTCTCGTCTTTCTTGTCGACAATTGCATCTTTCGCAGCGCTGGCACGGGTACTCAGATTGGCATCCGAATCCTTGGCGACGTTTTTGTTGGCCTCCTTAGAAGTCTGGGCGCCTTTGCCCTGGACAGTCTCAGAGACGTAGTTGGCAGCATCCTAATGCTCCTCTGGTCAGTATACAGGAGAAGGTTCTTGGGTATCGGTTATGTTCGCTAACCTTGACAGTGTCCATCGTGAAATAACAACCGGGTCGTATCCTTGATTGATAGTAAGATGAATGATTCGTATGTTGATTGTATGATACTTGAACACGCTCCCAAGTTCTTGAGGTTGGAGCTCTTCATCTTTATAAAGGTAACCAAGCTTTCTTACGTCACCATTTCGTGATCCACACTGAGCACAACTTGATCATATGATATGATATTGACTCAACCAGAGCAAGATTCAACGAGCGATCAAGATTTTCGTATAGAATATATCCAAAAGTTGGAAGTGGCGTTTTGGACAGTATGGGGGCCACGGACACCAGTTGTCGTAACCTGGCTGAACCTGGCCGAACTTGGCATTTTTGAGTGCCTGCCATAGTTTAGATATGTAGAATTCCAGCCAGTTCACTTTGATGTGATGTAAGATGGATCTGGTGACCAGAAAAAGATGGATTCTACCGCTCAACGCTGTAGCATTGCATACCCTTTGCTCTATTCGCCTTTTAAAATTCAACCGATAAGTAAGGCCTAGCACGAGATCTTACCCGCAACTGTTTGATCGATTTATCATAATTGAAGCAATGTTTTCCTGGATCAGTGGGCCTTTGGAATGTTCCATGTGGACAGATCTAGCATGGAACTCTGCCGCCGGCATCGCGATCCGATAAATGGTTGTACATTGCAGTCAAAACATCCCTGCTCCTAGATCATGTTATAGAAGCTGCTTGATGATACCTTGATTTTGGTCCTTGGCATGACCTCACCAATATAACTACCCTGTTCTTGTATCTATTTGCCTACCAACCCTTTTACGCCTATCATGAAGCTCATGCAACAGTTCAAATATTCATCATAACCCGAGACTAGCGTCAATACTAATTTAGCATTGAAAGATACGATGGCTAATTTGATCGATACACTGCGGCCTTGCAAATTTGTTGAACACATCTACGTTGTCTTTTGAATTACTCCCTAGCCCTAGGAAACATGTCTATGATGAAGTCCGTCCGCTTTCACGGACCGGGGGATGTCCGTGTCGACGATGTGAAAGAGCCAAGTTGCGGACAAGGTCAAGTCAAAGTCCGTTTGATCCGTCCATTCACAACTTCGGCTAATGCGAAACTAGATGCGGCCGACCTATGCTGGCATCTGTGGCTCTGGTAAGCTTACTAGTTTAGCCAAAGGCCTGTTATTTGTGGAATGTTCTTCTTACAATGGACAGACTTGCATGAGTATGTCAGTGGACCGATGTTGATTCCTCGGCAACCACACCAGATCACTGGCTCTAAATACCCGGTATCTATGGGACATGAGTTTGCGGGCATCATCGAAGAAGTTGGCGAGGGTGTGTCGCATGTTGTTGCTGGTCAGCGTGCTGCTGTTCGTCCCACGATCTTCGATAGAACTTGCCCCCCTTGCAAGCAGGGATATAACCACTGCTGCGAGAATATTGGCTTTATAGGGCTGAGTGGTACGCAATAAGTTATCGTTTACTAAACATGCATTGATCCCAGGCTCACGCGTTCAATTTTCAAGGGTATGGTGGAGGGATGTCCGAAAAGATTGTGGCGCCGGCAGACCATTTCTACGCAATACCGGAAACGGTCTCATTGGAAGCGGCCTCATTTATTGAGCCGCTTGCTGTTGCCTGGCACGCAGTCAAAATTTCCCTGTTTAAACCTGGGGACTCGGTACTTATTGTGGGCGGTGGTCCGATTGGACTTGGCGTATTACAAGTCCTGAAGCTCCAAGGCGCCAGCAATATCATTGTGACAGAACTTATGGATAGTCGCAAAGATCTCTGTCTATACTACGGCGCAACAAACATTATCGATCCAAGGGAAACGAATGTCGCGCAGAAGACGCGAGAGCTAACCGGTGGAGTCGGCGCAGACATCATCTTCGATACAGCTGGTGTGGAGAGGGCACTCCTGGATGCCATTCCAGCATGTCGTACCCAAGGCACAATAGTCAATATTGCCGTATGGGAGAAACGCCCATCCTTCCCCGTAAATCAGTTGATGTACAATGAGATCCGTTATGTGGGTGCAGCATTGTACGACGAGGCGTCTTTCCTGGAAACAATTCAAGCCTTCAGCGATGGTAAATTGCGCAATGCCAGGCCCTTTGGGGGGGGGGTTGATCACTGTTATAGGATCATCTGACACAAACTTAGGCCACCTCAACCCCGAGGCAATGATCACTGCACGGGTTCCCCTCGACGAAGTGGTGGAAAAAGGATTCAATGCTTTGTTAGAGCATCGCGATCGGCACTGCAAGATTTTGGTGGAAGTACAGTCTTAATGGGGTGGTAGTTCAAGGGACGCGACGGAGAGGGATTATGATGTATGTCTTTTCCATAAGGATTAAGCTTAACTAGACCAAATCTGGGTCTGAAAAGGTGTTCCATCCCGTCTCGCTATTTCCGAGTCAATTGATACGTCTTTCTCAGGCTGGGATAACTCACGCCAGGCGTTGGGTCACGACTGTTAGCTACTGTGAGCCAACTGATCCACACGATCAGCTTGTTTCCATTTCATCAAAAGAAATGGCCTTGGAATCCGACTCTACACTTGATCTGTCGTGATAAGCTAGAATCTCCGAGTATATGACCGTTCTCCAGTCATTAGTTGGGAGATCTGCTTCGCAGTAATCCCAATTACATTTCTCCACCGCAGTAGGTTCGTCCCCCGCATCATGGTAAGGCGAAAGATAGTCCGATTGGAGAGCTTCTTCTGCCGAACAGCGCTTTTCTGAATCAATTCGAAGCATTTTCTCGAGTAAAGGAACGGCTAGATGAACATTAATTGGGAATAAGTCTTCATGAATACATGATAACGTACCATGCTTGTTAGTGCTAAGAATGACTTTTATGAGAGGCTTTTTTGGTTGCTTTGGCAAAGAGTGAATAAATCTCAAGGTCTAAGACAGTTAGCTTAACGCAAATACTATGAAGATAGAAAGACTTACGTTTTCACTGCTCACGTTTGCAATGACGTCTTCTGGTGGGCTTCCAAGTAGCTCTGTGATTACGCAGTACTGATCAATATGATCTTTTCCCGGGAACAGTGGCCGATGGATAATCATCTCAGCGAAAATGCAACCTGCACTCCAGATATCGACTTTCTCGGTATAGCGCTTCCAGGTAAGCATGATCTCCGGAGCTCTGTAAAACCTAGTAGAAACGTAGCCGGTCATGCTTGAGTCTTGAGTACGTGCCAAGCCAAAGTCGCAGATTTTAAGGTCGCAGTTCTCGTTGATCAAGATGTTGCTCGGTTTAAGATCGCGGTGTACGATACCCGCTGAATGTACATATTTGAGTCCGCGCTAGTTTCGATTTAGCATTGTGATTGATCAAGTTGCAGGTGGGAGACTTGCCATGATCTGATAAACGAAAAGCTGAGTGAATTGGTCGTCGACCTTCTTGGTCTTTAACAGAGTGTGGAGATCCGTTGCCATAAGATCCGTCACGAGATAGCTTTTCGTTGTTAGCTGTGCTCAGTGTAAAATAGTTGAGAGAGAGGAGATATACATCTGTTCGGTGGGGGAAATAAATATGTCTCGCAAATTGATAATCTTTTCCTCGGTAAGTCATGATTCAAGCACAAGGTTGGGCGACAAACATTGTCATGTTCGAGCTCGATAAGCAATTTAACCTCGCGGAACATGTGCTTCGCAACTTCTGCTGTCCTAAATGGATCGCAAAGTTTCTTGACCGCGACCGTTTGATTTAAGAGATGGTCTCTTGCTGAGCTATAGTAGGAGGGCTGATTAGAACATATATGTCGTAATCGGATCTGACAGCATACCAGACGAGGCCAGATATACCCATGCCAATAGGCTCCAACTGGTCATATCTATCTCATATTTAGCAGTTATCTGTTTGCCCGCGTAAAGGCGCCAACCTCTTGGTGGTTTCAAATACCGAGCCCATGATATTCCTACGAGTAAACGGGGCCAGCGACGGGCCCGCCTCGGGCGAGAAGCGACTCACATCAAACATGTTCAAAATAGTGGCCTTTGCAATATCTAAAAGTGATTGGAAAGGACTTCTTAGAACAAAATGAGGACTTTTACCGCCATAGTGCTGAGTACTGAAGTAAATAATACAGCGGAAAAGAACTCCGTCAGATCTCAGCAACATTATTCCTTGCAGTCATGTGGTGGCAAAAAAGTGTGACATCAGCCATTCTGGTCACCCAGTGCAATATAGTCTAATAGCCAGTAAGACATTCAACATCGGAAGCCTGGAATACCTTCAGGTATCAAACCGCCCCACTGCGTAAATTGCCTCACATGATTGGTGGTTGGTTTTTCCGAACCAGTCGAGATCCTACATGCATCTCCTTGACAGCCGCAAACGAAAGAGACTCGTCCAATTGTCTCGTTCATAGGTTGCCGGGACGCTTGCCTCGGTTAGGGTCGACAAACAATTAAGTCCCACGAACATTATGATGGCTAATTTCAAATTGTAGTGCATCATGTATTGAGTGAACATATACTCTTAGATATGTCTTCTAGCCTAGCGAAAGCCAGGTTACATGTCAGGTAGATCAATGCGACAGTCAAAGAGTTCAGCGCAAGTCACTGTGTCGCGTACAAAGAAGGCTGGAGAGGCGATAGGCAGGTCTGAACTCGCCTTTTCTGGCCTATCGAAACCAGAAGGGCGCAACAAGCTCGACCCCAGTATGTTCTGCGTCATTTTTGCGAGCTGCAGGTTGATTTGATGATCGCCGCATCTTGCGTGCGCAAAAACTCCGTTTTTAAGCCGCCAGATTTCCTCTCTTAATTTGTTGACCTCGGCTAAGAGTGTTTCCCGCTTTTTCGTCTCTTTGCATAAAATATGTTGGATTTGCTCGTGCTGTTGCTTCTTCTTCAGGCGGCTTCTGTTTGCAGCAACGCGATTACGTTCCAGATACCGGGCCCTCTCTGGGGTGACGTCTTGGGGTACCTGAATCTTTGAACCGCGCCGCTGCTTGTTGGGTTCCACAGATGGCTCTGATTCAGGATTTGATGGGAGATTCACAGCCGTTTTGCTGCCTTGTTTTTTTTCCAAGGCTGCGGGGAGAAGACCGTCGTTATTGCGTGTGAGATGGGAAGCATTCGGCCAGACTGTAGCTGCCGGGTTCACGAATTGCGTGTCTGGTTCCAGAGACCTGATGGTGATCGGGAGCTCAAGCATTGTAGGCATCGTGCGCGACGTGGCTTCCAAAATGAAATGTCAAGTCCTGTACTTGAAGAGGGAGAGGGCAGAAGCACTCAATCATGGGTCTTATAAGAATCGCGAACTAACGCTCCACAAGTCACGCCTCAGATCGAGGGGATAGAGTACCAGAATCCGGATCATGATGTCGATAGCTCAGGATCTCCGCAGGGCGGGATCTGTAGCCACCGCAGATCACCGACAACAGGTCAAAGAACCGCCAAATACCTGCATTGGCGACCTTGGCCAAGGCTCGCACCGAGATACCACCAATAAAGCAAAGATTTTCTGGGTTTCACTTCTTGTACAAATTCTATTACTATTATCACTTCAAGGATGATGTATGAGACTTACAGCTATTAATTAAAACATCTAATAAGAGCTGCAGGCAATGATATACCCATACGGCTCTGTCGGCAATTGAACTCCGTTCTAATCTGTGTCTTCAATATCATTTCTTTTTGTATTGAAACAAGCCATCGGTGGTTGAGGATGGGGAAGCAACAGAATTAAAGTACACTAGATGACCACACCAAGAACGAAGGTGCTGACTCGGACAAGAAAGCATGCAGGATACGAAATTTAAGCTGCAAAGATATGCTACGGTAACGGAAAGGAATATAAACGGCAGCACTGTGATTCAACATACTCTCACTGCACATAAGAATACCCTCAACCCATCCTTGGTAAGTGAACACTCACTTCAGAGGACACTTTGTCCTCGAACTCTCCATTGGTCTCACAGCGCCGCGGCGTCGTCGTCGTCGTCGTCGACCTCTTCATCTAACCGGTGCTCAGTGTGGATGGGAGTCTGCTGCTCCTCATGATCCTGCACGGCCTCTATCTTGTGTTGAACGCGAGTGAATTGCACGCGAGCGGAAGTCCCGCTGATGCCAAGCATTTTGCCAACAGCGAAGACCATATAGTGGGATTGTACAGCAGATAAAGTGTAGAGCAAATGTAAGAAAAGAAAGCAGCAGTGTCAGTTCCCCACCAGGCACCATGATACAGGACCTCAGTTCCTTCTTGTAAACGGGCATTCAGCCCTAATGTCTGTAAGACTCAGAATTGAGCGACTTCAGCGTCCTCAGACTCCTCTTTCACCTTGTCCTGCTCGGCACTCGCGCCCTCAGGCTGGTTGTTGTCCTCAGGTTCGGTCTTGACGGTGCGCTTCTGCTCCTCCTCCATGGCATCCAACTTGGTCTTCAGACGCGCGAAGCGCATGCGAGCGGCATTGGGTTTGATGCCAAGGACTTGAGCAACGGCAGGAAAGTCAATCTACATTTGAGTAATATCAGATACTTCATCTTTCATCATGTATTGGCGAGATTTTGCACTTACCCGCATGCTTGCACTTTGGCAACAAGACCAGAGAAAGAGGAGGTCCCTGTCGATGCTGCCGCTGCTGGGATTCGAGGTCTTGCTGGGAGTACTTCGGGCAGAAGAGGACTTGGTGACTTGCTTGTGGGTGGCAGTCTTGGCCATCTTTTCGTTTGTGAAGAAAAGCGTAAAAGAATCTTGGAGAAAATATTTGAAATGGGTAGAAGACCGTGGTTGAAGAGATGAAGCTTCTTGGTATGGAAGTTCGAAAGATGTTCAGTTGGGGGAAAAAGGAAAGAGAGAAGCGACGAGGACGAAGATGGGATTGAAATCTTATATGCGGAGTTCACGACGCTGAGGGCTGTCAAACGCAATACCAATCCCATGAACGCAAGTAAGACATAAATAAAAACAGACTGCAAACAGGTTCGTGAAACGGGGATTATCAACGTGTGCATAGTGCTAGAAGAACTAGACTACGTCTACAAACCTCGAAGTATATTTACCATTTCATGCATTGTTATGGCCCATATGATATTATCACTACGCAAGACTTCATGCAGTCACACCCTTAATTATGACTTTGATAACGCTCTCCTTTCCCTGCCGCACGAGTTCAAAGGCCTCCTCGGCCTGCTCAAACTTGTATCGATCAGTGATAAGTCGCTTCACATCAATCTTGCCACTAGAAATAAGATCAACGGCTGTTGAGTAGCATCCGGCTGTGTACCGGATGGAGCCTCTGATGGTCAAGTCACGAATGCAGGCAGTGGTGATGGGGAAGACGATATTCTAAGCGCAAAGTGAGAAATCATCCACAAAAGTAAGAGCAAGCATGAACTCACCTCTTTCCCCATTCCAGCTTGCACGTAGGTACCTCCTTTCTTGGTCAAGTGCACTCCTGTCTGGATACATGCCTCCGCTCCAGTAGCTTCAAGTACTACGTCTGGGCCTTCACCCAAATCAAACTGCTCTTTCATGATCCGTGCCAGCTCTTCGCTCCAAGCACAGTTGTCCTTGCCCTCTGGCTTAGGGGGTGGCACAAACACATCGTCAGCACCAAATGTGCTTGCAAACTCTGCGCGTGACTGGCTGATATCCACGCCGATCACTTTCCGAGCCGAGTATGCCTTGCTCACTGCCTGACAGAGCAGACCGATGGGCCCGCATCCAAACACGACGACCGTCTAATTTGGTCTGACATTGCCCACTTTGGTAATCTGCACTGCGACTGCGACTGGCTCGACCAGCGCACCCTCTTCAAAGTCCATGTGTGATGCCAGCGGATAGCAGAAGTCAGCCTGAGTGATGTAGTATTTGGAGAGAGTTCCATCGTGAGGTGGAGTAGCCGCAAAGACTGTGTCTGGACACAAATTGTATGAGCCACTCCGACAATATTCACAACTAGGGTATCGTCAGTCCAGGGATATGAGAAAGGAGGCATGATGGCGCTTACTGTCGGCATGGGACGCCTGGCTCGATCGCGACACGATCTCCAACTTGGAGCTTCTTCACTGCAGGTCCAACCTCTACAACTGTGCCCGAGCTTTCGTGTCCGAGAACAATCGGAGATTCAAGGACGAAGTCTGCATATCGTCAGTCTTTTTTTGGTCAATCATTGGCAGTACTCACCTCCAATTCGTCCACGCTGCCAGTAGTGGACATCACTTCCACAGATTCCAGTCTGCGCAATCTGGACTCTCACGTCCCACGGATCTTTCAGAGTTGGAACTGACCGGTCCTCCAAAACAACATCCTTGACAGCTCGAAGGACGAAGGACGGGTTGGTTTGCTGTTCCATCATTTGGTCTGTAAGCCAAACTTGGACTTTCTTGAGCTGCAAGAAGCACCGCGGGAGGACTGCCTTTTACATGATTGCTTGACTGTACTTTGCAGATGTATGCCCCGCCGTATGACGCTTCTCCCCACGCGGGGCACCCGCTCCGCTGACGGATGATCCACTCCGCCCCAAATGCCCAGTCTTTTTTGTACCTCAAAGTTGTCTGATTTCTTTACTAGTTCTATTTACTGGTGTATTGATTTCGAATACAGTGTCATATTATACGAGTACCTCGAGTGACCGAGAGATTCGAGCGCGTGGAAGCAGCTGGCAATAAGTCAATAAGGTATAGACTTTCACGTCTAGAAGTAGAGTATTGTTGTTGTAAAATGCTTCAGTTTTCATTTCACTACAACACCATCACTCTATCGACAAGTGTATCTCCCATCAATCACAATAGCACAACCCGTTGTGTATATGCTAGCATCACTTGCAATGTACAGATAACACCCTTCAGTTCTCGAGGTCTGCATCCAGCTTCAAAGGCGTGAGACTATACCATCTTTCCTTTATTTCAAATGGAAAATCCCCGCTTATTGTAGTGTCAACATAGTCAGGGCTCACGCAATTGACATGGGCCAAGTCAGCCCATTTTACAGTAGCGCTGGGGCTGGGCGACGGATTCTTTGCTTGTGAATCATGTTGGGCGTGATAACCGAGGATGCAAGGGTAGAAGCCGAATGGATATACTGATCAGAGCCCCGTCCTCCCACCCCTGGGCTCCATATAGATGCCCTAAAGGGGACCCCGGTATTCAGCCGCATTGTTATCGTCTGGATACGGAGACGTTCGTCTGTCAACCCCACCTGGGTCTTGGTGCTGTTCCCCAGGGAAGCTTTCACTGAGCTCCATTTCGGTATTCCAAGTTACGAGTGGCCTGACTTTCGTCTCGGATCCTGTCCGGAACGGACGCAATCAGTTAACCGGACATGGTGATCCGCGCGGGGACAAAGAAAGGCGGCACAGCCCAGAGACAAAGTGAAGTGTCTTAACGTCATGTTGCAGCGAATGGGCCCATCACCCCACGGGGAAGACATGCGATGCAGGTCAGACCTGACCCCCTTCCATCTAGGCCAGGCTAGCTTGTTCTGTCTATGCTGATACACTATTGGCCTCTATCCCTGTATGCCGAGGAGGCAGACCGGATATAGGAGAGTCCTCGTCCCTCGAAAGGATCATCGGGTTCTGATTCCAACCGTTGTATTTTGCCCGGCACCCTTATCATCATGAAAGACCAAGATATCGTTGGCGAGGCTCTTGCTTCTGTCCTGCCCCAATATGATCGTCCTTGGTTGAGAGTACCACATCTTTTGCAACTCAACCTCATTCTCATAATTCCGTTGCTATCGTCAGCGGTGGCTGGATATGATGGTAGCTTGAGGATTCTCCTTTGCCAAAGTATCGGATAGCTCATCTTGAACAGGATCCCTCATGAATGGCCTCCAATCGATTGCCGAATGGAAGGAGTATTTCGGCAATCCATCGGGCTCAGCACTCGGCGTTGTCAACGCAGCCCAATCGATCGGAAGCGTGATCTCGTTGCCCTTGGTAGGAATATTGTCCGATCGTATCGGAAGAAGACTGACTCTGTTATCGGGTGCCATTGTCATTGTCATTGCGTCGATTATCCAGGCTGCATCAGTACAATATGGAATGTTTGTGTTTTCCCGTGTCTTGGTTGGCATTGGCTCCATGCTTGTTGTACAGCCCTCTCCGATGCTTATTACCGAGCTGGCATACCCGACTCATCGTGGTAAGTATACTAGTGCTTTCTGGACCATGTATTATCTGGGTGCTATCCTGGCTTCATGGACAGCGAACGGTACTCAGAAGCACATGGCTTCTTCAGACTGGAGCTGGAGGACCCCGTCCATTGTTCAAGCTGGATTCCCCATTGTTCAGATCTTGCTCTGGTGGTTGGTCCCAGAGTCGCCTCGGTGAGTTGCCTTCAAGATAGCCTTACGAAGAGTATGTTGATATGTAAAATATAGCTGGCTAATTGCAAATGGAAAGAGGGCAGAGGCCGAAAAATTACTCGCTCGTTTTCATACAGCCGGAGACATATCGCACCCTTTGATTCAATTCGAGATGGCCGAGATCGTCCGCACTATCGAAATGGAAAGCCAGGCCGCCGAGACAAAATGGTCGACTCTAATCAAGACTCCAGGCAATCGAAAGCGCGCTTTTATTGCAGTCTGCGTGGGTGCCTTTGCGCAGTGGAACGTGAGTGTCTCTTTGGTTGCACTAGTCTGGTCATCGGCTAATTTTTTCCCGACATAGGGTGTTGCGGTTGTATCATGCTATCTTACACTTGTGCTCGACACAGTTGGAATCAAAGACTCAGATACTCAGACCCTTATCAACGGTCTATTGCAAATATTCAACTTTATTACAGCGGGGAGTGCCGCCCTTCTTGTCGATCGACTTGGTCGTCGGACATTGTTCTTATGGTCAGCAGTAGGCATGCTCGTCTCGTTCGTGATTTGGACTGTATGCTCTGCTGTATTTGATAGTACACAAGACAATGCGTTGGGCTCGACGGTGATTGCATTTGTGTTCATCTTCTACTTCCACTACGACATCGCTTATACTCCGCTTCTCCTGGGGTATCCGACCGAGATATTCCCCTACTCCATTCGCAGCAAGGGCTTGACTGTGGAACTGCTAAGTGTCTACAGCTCACTCATTGTGTTGGCATTTGTGAATCCGATCGCACTTGATAATATTGGGTGGCATTACTACATCTTCTTTTGTTGTTTTGATGTTGTCGTGCTGGTTGTAACTTGGGTTGCTTTCCCGGAGACCAAAGGGTACTCTCTTGAAGAGATTTGCGAGGTCTTTGATGGTCCCTCGCCTGTGACTAGTGGAGTGCTATTCGACAAAGCAGGGGACATTAGCGCAAAACGGGAGCATATCGAGCATGCTGCCTAGTAAGTCTCTTTCATTGGCATATGATGAGGGCCTGTACATATAAATTGTCTCAAAATGTAATGAGAACATCTTTGCTCTGCTCTTTCATCACAACAAACCCTAGCTCAGTCTATAAAAATGGTCTTCTACTCCGGCGGCGATGGAATTCCAAAATACACCTCGAGTCAAGCTTAACGACATGAATCTCCGTCCAGCTCGACCACCTGCACCTGACCATAACAACAGGCAAATCACAAGAAATCCTGGTTTCTGTGTTTAACGTGCAAGTCGGACGACGGCCCCCGCGCGGACAACAGCCTCCGGTCGGAGTTGACCCGATGCGGGGAGCACAACGTAACAGTTCGAGCTTCAAGTTCAGAATTGCTTCTTCATATTCTGGCATTTCAAACACTTGACTGAAGCGCGCCAAAATGGTTCTTTCACAGCCCCCTAATCAGCATGTTATGAAGGCATTCGACCTCACGGGCAAGGTTGCCGTGATCACAGGTACAATACGCATCATTCGGAGAGAGAGAGTCTCTAACAATTTGCAGGAGGAGCTCGTGGAATTGGACTAGAAGTCTCGAAAGCGTTGGCCGAAGCTGGAGCCAATGTAAAATGCCTTTACCCCCTTCGCAAAAAATTGTGGACTAATAGGGGATCAAGGTCGCTCTGATCTATCATACTTCCAAGACCGCCGACACTATCGCAGCTGAGATTGCAAGCACCAACAATGTACGTGCGGCGGCATATCAGGCCAATGTCAGTATTCAATCCGAGATTGAAGCAGCTGTGCAGCAGGTGACGAAGGATTTCGGCAAACTTGATATCATCGTTGTCAACTCCGGTATTGTTTCGTCTATTGCTGCTGAGGACTACACGGTCGATCAGTGGAGCGAGATTATGAAGGTGAACTTGGACGGTGCTTTCTATTCTGCTCAGGCAGCTGGGCGCATTTTTAAGACCCAGGGTTATGGCAATGTTATCTTCACAGCCTCGGTCAGTGCGACTTTGGTTAATGTGCCCCAGAGGCAGGCTGCGGTAGGTGTCCAGTTTATAGTTCCTTTTCTTTTTTTTAAAAAAAAGCTTCTTCTAATTATTTGCAGTATAACGCATCAAAGGCAGGTGTTGTGCAGCTGGCCAAATGCCTGTCCGTTGAATGGGTTGACTACTGCCGAGTCAATTGTATCTCGCCTGGATTCATTGCTACCGACATTCTTGATATCCACCCCGAGCAATGGCGGGAGAAGTGGTTCAGCCTGATCCCTGCTAAGAGGATGGCGGAATGTTACGAGTTGAAAGGGGTGAGTATCTACACGTCTCATTGCAAAATTTACTAACTGTTTCAAGGCCTATGTGTTCTGCGCCTCCGACGCGTCCAGTTATATGACTGGTGCCAACCTTATCATTGATGGTGGATATACCTTGCCTTGATGCGCAAGGTGGTTCTTTAGCCGAAATGAATACCACATTACACCCTGATTATCTAGCTCTATGTCCTAGATCTCTTAGGTTTTCTTATATCCATTGCTCCATAGAGACTGGAAGCAAGAAGCTTCACCACGTACTGCAAATTCTACTCAAAGCCCGGCAGTTGGTTCATCAAGTCCAAAATGGTAGACTCCTGCCGGCAGATTGTTAGCAATGACTGAAACATATTCGCAGAAAAGCAGAAGACTTACATTACCGAATCCATACCGTCTGAATGAGCCATTTCCAATGTTGGCCACATCAATGGGTATAGATTCGCCAGTTGCGTTTGCGGTGACTTCTGTTGGACCCCATCTATCAACAGAAGGATCAAAGTATGATCCACACAGAGAGGGAATAACACCCGGGCAACGAGAGGCCGTCGTGTTTAGCTGCGTCATTGATTCAAGCACATGTATCGCATGGGATATCTGGTCGCGCCAGCTTGTTGCAAGCGCGCATTGTGGGTCGTTGCGAAGACATATGACTGGGATGAGAACTGCCTGGAACAAGAAATACAGTCCATACCAGCAGGCCATCATGCTTCTCTGTTCATGTGTCCAGAAAGAGGATATAAGCTGTACTGACTCTCGCGCTGCATCTAAACAGCGCTGGATTGCAAAATCAATCTCGTTCTCTTGAGCAGTGGATGCTCCTCGTTCTGAGCGGGCCCTCAGGCGCCCTACTAGGAAAGGGCGGTACATTAGGATGCGGAAGTTCCGATATCGCCAACTTACAATAGAATGACACAGTCGAGACTTCGGTGATTGGATGACGTTTTCTTGAAAGAATTTCGGAGTCCTTGCAAGCCAGTGTCCAATCAGTCGATCATCCAACTCGATGAGTTCAGTTGCTGACGGGAATGGTGATGATATGATCCTAGAGTAGATCTGACTCGAGGCCATATGAAAGGTTGCTTGTGCCCGTAGGTGCGTGTAAACGGTGGTCTCGTTAGCGGATTGTGGTGACTTTTTTGTTCCAGAAGTGATGTCCTGGATACAAGTGTCAGATACGTTTGCCTCAAAGTATCCAGAGGGTGAGCTCACACTGTCATGTATGTTCAAGGGAAGTTCAACATCGATCCCATCGTCGGGGAAATCAAGAGGACGCGAGAAGGTGATGATAGCACCAACGTCAAATATATAGAGACAATACCATACCCGTCGCCTCATTTCAATCGTCGGATGATTGGTCTCCCAAGTCGGGAATTCTTTATGCAATCCAATTCCCATTGCGATGCGACGTGCTAGTCCCATGTAGTTTTAGCCAGAGTTCGGCTTATTTCTCTTCTGCATATAATTTGAGGCCAGAGTCAAGGCCTGTACAAGAAGAAGGTTTCCTGTTTCCAGCATGTCGATAGAAAGCCTTGCCTTGGCGGCTTCGAAAAGAGCAAGGTCTGTATCAATCGGTTGGGTTGAAGCAGTGAATACACCCACTGCAGCCAAAACAAATAACAAGACCTGCCAGGCATTACCTGTAGGCCGAGGAATGACCTCCATGAATTGAGCCCGGAATGTGGCCTCGTGGACTATAGGATAATATTGGTGATATAATGAGAAGTATGCATCCACAAATGGTTCTAGCTGAGAGAGAGATGTTAGTGAGAACGGTATGCTAGCAGGCTGCCGCCTTGATCCTTCAGGAGACGGCCTTGAATTGTACTCATGGCTGCTCGATTGGCTGCTCGATTGGCTGCTCGATTGTGTGTCTGTTATTCGAAGTAATGCGGCCCCAGATGCCACACCTATCTCAATGTTAGATAGAACAGGCGATGACGTTCTGGGCCATACCTAAATAACCGCCTTCATTTGAACGAGTAGTAAGACTGGCCATGCCATCTACAAATTTATCGCCAGAAGCTTTTCCCATTCGCTCATCCCATTCAAAGTTACTGGATGATGGGGGAGATTCCAAGGATATGCCCAATGGCCCGAGTGGGCGATATTCAGAGGCCCCCAAGGACTGCCTGCTTGGTGCTCGCCCCAATGAATTCGTGAAATTCATGATAGGCGCATTTCGAGTCCTTCGCGGAGTGTAGTCTTGAGATATGATATTGGGCACAGTCACGGCGTCAGGCCCAGTCCGACCGCCGGACACTAGCCTAGCATTCTGCATATGCTGTGCATCAGAGTCTCTCTGAGAATGCAGCGATGGCTCTTCGGTTTCTCCTGGGTCTGATAAGATATGATGATCTGAGTTTTGCTCATCCGACACAAATCGTTGCAGCAATGCTTTTGTTCGCGCCAGCTCGCTTTCTACTTTGGTCAGGTAGCGCCGAGTCAGAGGCGTTTTGTTCTGCCTTTCATAGATGCACCTCCGCCCAAATTTGTGACATAGAACACATATTGGGACAATTCGATCACACTGCAAATCGGTCAGACTCTATGGAGAGCTTGAAGCTTCTCGGCTGCTTACCTTGGACTTCCTCCGGCGGCATTCCTTGCATACTTGTTCTGCTACGGGGCGCTGGCGGCTTTCTAGATCAGCCCTCGAGCTCTGTGTGGGTGACTCAGTAGCGGACATGAGAGCTCACAAAACTCTGTACATCAGGTGGATGCATCAGTATCTCTCCAAGGTGCGGGGAGCGCAGTTACGAAGAAGCCCGACAGATACCTTAATTTGAAGGCAGAAATTGGCAAACGTAAGTCAAGCAATCAATCAATCAATCAAAGTGCTATTAACCTGTTGGGGCCTATCTGGTATCGAATAGCTATGCAGGCGTAATTTCTTGCTTTTGAATAGCGTAGATAGAAAATAAGACCCTGCCTTTTTGTTCAATCAAACTTCGAAGGCATTGAATACGAACCAGTGGCAGGGTGGGTGGTTGAAGAAGAAACGTCTAATTAAATGACGCGTTTTGGGTGGTGTGTCCAGCTCGGTAGTGAAGTAAGTAAATACTTATTCAACGTTAACGTTAACTAACATGGTTATAGAAAGGGTATTGAGAATAAAATTTGATGGCATTGCCTAACATGAATGCGTTCAAACTTTGTAGACTATGTTTAGTGAGGAATAATGTCGAAATGCCATCCCCATTCGACGTGTGCAGTCAAAACTGCATCCAAGACGCTCCCGTCTCCTGCCTATGGCTTGCATGCTGCCTCCGAGAATCTTACTCGTATTTACTGAGACTTGGGGGCAGGTCTTCAATGTGAGTTCCCCATTCACTCTCGTTGGGCCCAAGCTCGAGCTCCAGGACACCGCCGTCGGCAAAGAAGTCATGGGTGATCCAATTCTTGGTCCATGGCTTGTCATTCCACTTAGCGCTCTGTATGTAAATGGACTTGTAACTGGGATCAAAGTTGATGCTGCGGATAGTAGCAGTCTTGTTGGTGACAGGATTGCGAACGCTGACTTGCTTGAAGTACGGCGGAGTGATCAGGTAAACGTCCTGACCGGCGACTGGCCACAAACCCAACATGCTCAGAACCACGAATGAGCCCATTGCACCACTATCATCGTTGCCAGCAATTCCGGCGACGGTCGTGTTGAATTGAGAGGGAATGTAGGAGTGACTCTGGTTCGCAGAGAGACCGGGTCTTCCAGCATAGTGGTATTGGTAGACGGGCAAGAAGGCCTGTTCGTCACCTAGGTAGAGCAAGCCAGAGTCGTGAAGGTAACGCAGGCGAGAGGTAAAGGAATGAGCACCACCCAGGGTCTTGATTAGAGAGCCCATGTCGTGGGGTGCATAGAAAGTATACATCCACGCACTACCTTCGTATGTTTCGTGGCCATCGGGATTGAGATAACATGATGTGAAGTTCAGCAGCGGACTGCAGAAGATCGGGTCCTGGTAAGCCCACGTCCCGTTCGGATACCGAGGCTGGAGGAAGCCGGTGAAGCCTGTGTCGGCGCCTTTGATGCTTGACGTTTGATCGGGCTTGAAGACGTGGACCCAGTTTCCGGCTCGCATCGTGTACTTCTCATAATCGGCATGGTGACCCATACCCATGGCCATCTCAGCAATGCAAAAGTCGTTGTACGCATATTCCACTGTGCGTGAGACGCTGCGAGTGTGCGTGCCCTTGCCGTAAGGATCAATGTCCTGGAACGGAATGTAACCGAGATTCTTCCAACTGTGAAGACCACCACGCCCTTCAACGTCCCAGTTCGCAGGCTCCACTTCCGCGTCTTTGACTACAGCCTCGTAGGCAGTGTCCCAATCGATGCCTTCGACCTTTTTCAAATACGCATCGGCCATCAGCACATCTGCGTTGGATCCACCTTGTGTGTTGCCCTTGCAAAGTGACATGCGGCAGTCGGGCAGATAGCCCTCGTGTCGATAGATATCAATTAAGCTGCGCAACATGAGAGATTGCGACAGCGGGTCGACCAGCGTCAGTAGTGGGTGAATGCTGCGGAACGAGTCCCAAATGCTAAGCAATTGTTTTGTGAGCAGTTTGTTCATCTGGGTAGAGACTGAGTTGTCTTACCAGTAGTAGCTGTCATAGTATGGCTCGTCACTCTTCCACAGAGGGTTCTCTCCGGTGTAGTCCTGAGGGCTGATCATTGTGCGATACGCTCCGCTCCAAAAGACTTCCTGCAGCTCGGATGAAACTCCTTCGGCGTCCACGGAAATGACCTCCAGCTTCTCCCGCCAAGCAGCCTCGGCCGCTGTAAGGGTGCCTTCAAAGTCGAAGTCAGGCTGCTCTCGCTCTGCGTTGGAGCATGCCTGAGCGGCGCTTATGAAGCTGACACCCACTCGAGCGAGGATAGTGTCATCCTTGGGGCTGTGGAATCTGGCAAACGTGCCAGCTGACACCGTCGAAGACAAGCTGGCTCCAAGCGACAGGCTCGGCCTGCTGAAGTTGACGCCATTTTTAGACCAGGATCCTGTGTCGCGAAGCTCTGCTCCCTTGAAATCAACGCAGAAATATGAGTCATAGCTACCGATTCCAAAGCTTGGGCTGAAAGAACCACTTCCAGAAAGCCGACCAGTTGAGCGGTCGACGTGAGCAGCTCCCTTCGTTCGTGTCTGAGGCAAATCCATCAAATCCACGAGAATGACCGGGCTAAGCGGCTCGCTGGAAGTATTAATGAACTTGAACCGGTACAAAGCGGATCGATTGGTTGTTGTCATCTCTGCGTGAACGCCGTTGGCCAATGAAATACTGAAATAGCCAGGATGAGCATCGGGAGAGCTCCTATTCCAGGCCACCGCTCGATCTGATTGTTGCCATTTGCACTGATTGATATCGTCGCCAGGACAATTTGGTTGCGGGAAAATGGGGAAATTGCCCATCGATGGAGACTAAAAGGATAGGTTAATGAGCCGAAACAATGTAGGATCGAAACACTCTAAAGGTGACTTACGCCTCCAGTTCCAGAGTCGTGCATGTGTGAAAACCCGGTAACAACCTTGGTATCATAAGCGAAACCAGCCTGGTTCTCGCCCGATGTGTCTGCAACGGCCTTGGCCATGCCTGAGATTGTTAGTATTGCGAAAGGAAATTCAATGTTCTTTGGATGATCATACCAAATGGCAACGTCGCGCCTGCAAACACATGGCCTAAGAACGTTGTTAAACTGATTTTCCAAACAAAGTGGTTTTCTAGATACAAAACGAACCTCCATTGGCAGTTCCGATCAAGGGATCGACATATTTCAGTATGTCAAAATTATCTGTCGCGGCTAGAGCACAGGAGGCATAGAGAGCGGTTGTGAAACCAACAAGAACCCGCATAAAGAGGGGATGTTCTGATAGCATGATAGAGTCAAACGTTCCACCGACTTGATCTGCCAACGGCTTCGAAATCCAGAATGAAGACGCGTTGGGAATTTAAGCTACTTATTTACCGATCGGTAATGAGTCGCGGGGGAAGCATTCCCCGGTCGGCATGCAGCCTGCCCTTCGAGGGGCTCCAGGAAAGCGCCATCCAGTCACAACGTAGGCCAAATTAGAATTCTTCACTTCGAACCGAGTCACGTAGCATCGGTTGCGGCCAAAGCAGTGGTGTCACATCTGCACTGCCCTGCAAATACACCCTGCAACGCTTATTTGCGTTCCATCACATGGAGAGGGGCCACGAAGCGGAAAGGACCGCAGGATGCGCAGGCAAGATGCCTAAATAGGCTTTCAATATAGTATTAAATGAGTCGGGTCCCTGGCCGACTGTCGATCATTGAGACCAGGGCGCGGAGCTAAGTCGATTACCCCGAGCTGCGGGGAACGTGACCTTGTCCAGGCGGAATCCGTGATTTCCAAGAGGCTGACCCAGTGAAGGGATTCGATCCGACTTGGCTAAAATTCGATGTAACCGTTCTGCACTCTTTCAAACTAGTTGTGGGGAGGTATACCGGGGTTGACAATAGCAATTTGCGATCGGCCGGTCGGAGTGTCGGCTAAATGTCGGAGGCTCCGTGTTGTCAATATATTTGAATTTCGGTGTGTTGTTGTAAAATCGAACGCGTTCAAACAAGACTCAGGTCGAGGAGAGTGTAGTCCCTCGCCGCGTAAGGCTTGCGCAGTTGCAAATTTTCATCAATCGCAGGTTCAGTCTTGCTTTTAGTCCTCTTGTCATCGTATCATCGACACCTCAGGTTCGACCATATCAAAAGCCCTCAGATCAGGTCAAGGGCAATGCTATCCCATGATTTCCCTCTCGTTTCTGTTGGTGGCCTTGGGCTGCTGTGTGAGAATGCCGAAGGGCTGGCAATGGCCGGCTCTCGTGGTGCAAGGCTGGAATTGAGATATGCTCTGATCTTGGTGTTTTCAGTTTGTAGTCTCAAATGGTCCTCTTTGAGATTCGCCTGGTCCTGGAGCAGCGATCGATATGAGTCAATCTCTTTCATCATTAATCCCAACTGATTCCTGAACTGCGGCAGTTGGCCAAACTGGTCTGTTTGAGCCCCTGGATGGTTGAGATATTCCAGAACCTGGGGATACATTTCTGCAACAGGAGGCAGCTTGTCCGGTGCAAGACCGGAATCACAGTCATCGATCCGGTTTGAGCCGGAGGGTGCCATTCTAGAAAAGCTGGAGCTAGGTCTAGGGGTCCCCGGTGAGCCTTCAGCTCTGATTGAGGTGGATCCGAATGGTGAGTCTTGCTTTTGCGGTGACTGAACACCGGGATTCGTGCCACGAGGGCTACCTGAGGCTGAAGGCGGCAGGGGGAACTGAGGTGGTGCATGATCCCAAGCTCTTTCTCGACAAGATGGGCAGTAGAATGCATTGGCAGAGCGTACAACATCTGCAAGACACGCTGTATGATAGGATCTGCAGCATGTCTGACATCCGATAAGACTATCAGGAAGACGGCACTCGAAACATACTATATTATGAGGCCGTCCAGCACCTGAAAAGAAGTTAGCAGGATAAGCGTTTTCTCGGAGTCAAATGGTAACAAACCAATCCATTCTTGATAGACACGGCCTTGTTCTGGCCTCGATAATACAGGCTGTGTGGAAGAAATCGAGCCCCATCTTATCTGGAAGCTAGCTGGAGATTCATCTTCAATTGATCGAAGCATCGGCGAAGACACATCTCCTTGATTCAGAGATTGAGGCGTTCGTAACATGATTAGTAGTAGGTGAAGGAAGTGAATGACGACATGAAGATGTACAGAAAACGGCCATGATATTCTGCCGGGCGGTGAACACGATCCCGACTTTCGGTCGAAAAACTACCGAGACAAGAGATCACCGCCCTGAGAACTTAATATCAACTCTCGTCTTGGTCATTTTCTCTTGCATGACTTTGGATATGTGAATGGTGGATGAAATCATTGAGCTATTGCATAGGGCACATCCCAATGATTCCAACATTCGAGCACTCATATCGCGATCCTATCACGGAACTTCACAATGCCTGGAGTACCTTCTAACAAGGCTTGCGAGCGTTGCAAGAAAAGACATATCAAGGTCAGCCCAAGGATGTTTCTTGGCTATACTGTGGATGGGCTTTAACTATTCACAGTGTGATGAGACCCGTCCCCACTGTCAGCGGTGCACAACTGCTAGAGTAGAGTGCCCGGGATATATTCAAACCCGCAAGTTTATTGATCAAGGAGCAACGGTAAGGCGCCGCTATGCTCCATATCAAGAGTCTCATCCCAAACCAAGCTCTGGGTCTCATTCTCACAGGGTACGTGAAAGGCAAAGGCCACTTGTCCCCTACCCATTGAAGTAAGTGCTTATCTCTCGCTACAGGCCCCCGCAGAGCCTACGGACTTGATGCCTCAAAATCAGTCACAAGCAACAAATGAACAAATCCAGTCAAACTATCCACATGAGCATGATGGACCTCCTCTTCATCACCAATTGGGAGAGACGAGCTTGGACTCGAACGATGGCCCCATGAACATGGAGATGACTGGTCCCTCTAACAGCCGATCAGAAACTTTCCCAGGGGCCACCCAGCAAGAAGACATCAATGTTTCAAAAAATCCCACTGTTTCTATTCCTACCCCAATTTTTGGGGGTGACCAAAATACTGGATCTGCAAAAACAATCCAAAGCCCAATTTCACCAATGTCTGGCACGAGGGGCTTATCGTCTTTTGAGATGGCTTACCTCGGACTATCCAATGATGTGCCAGATGCTCAAAGGGGGATAACCTCTCAACCCTCATCCCATCGGAGTGAAAAAGAGGAGTTTCAGGATATATTCTCCGAACTAATGACAGGTACTGAACATGAGATCGCCTTCCTCACACGTCATTATTCTGAGGTGTTGGGTCCCTGGTAAGTATATAAGTTTCCGTCTTGTTCCACACAGCATACTAAATTGCAGCCAGGCTGGACCTGACAGATGCTCAAAAGTGGTTCACAGTCTATGTTCCCATACGTGCCATCAACAATCTATCCGTGAAGTACGCTATTTCTGCACTATCCGCCAAGCATCTAGCTCGTGTCAAGGGTATCAAATCTCCCACCGGGGGGATGTATACAAGTCCTGCCACAACCGAAGTCTATCCTAATGACACCCAGGTTGATTGGTATTTAAAAGCTGCCAATTACTACTATCTTGCAGCATCTGATCTGAATAATATCACTTCGGACGGCTACACTGCTGTCTCTAGCTCTGCTGTCTTGGAATCACCGTGCGAGACCGTTGGTCGTTGGTTGAACTCTCGTCAGACTCGGGAAAATTTGAAACCAGCCAGTGATGATGCAAATGACTTGATGCTTGTTCGAAAAACAGAAGAACTCTTGGCTACTTCTATGATTTTGACCATGTACCGTCTTCTAGATGCGAATGGGGATGATTGGCATAAGTAAGTCTACCCGGCAACTTGCTATTTGACTTATACTGACATCAGGGATAGACAATTGTTTGGAATTCGCCCTATGTTCCAGTCTCTTCTCGATAATCATTTACCAACATCTACTTCGTTCTCCCACGGAATCCGGGCTGCATTCTGGAACTTCGCTCGCCAGGACTACCTCGGTTCGTACTTTACCCGATCACCTACACACTTCAACCCCGAGGACCATTCCCTCTGGTGCACGGCCGGTATATCAATTAATGAGAAGAACGAACTCAATGTCATCCCGAACGGATCAAGCTCCTTCACACAAGAAGACCAGGCAGCAAACGGCCTGATCTGGCTCGTGTCAAAGGTAATCAACTTCCTCGCCAAATCGAAGGAATCTCAAATCGCGCAGTGGACAGGCTCCCCACCCGGAACCTCACCTGGAGCTCAAGGCACATCGAACGGCAGCCAATCACCGTATCCCGACACAAGCACCTGGCTCAAGCTCTCTTTCGAATTCCAAACGTGGTTTGATGGTGTCCCTGAGACATTCCGTCCCTCTGTGAGAATCGAGCATCCGAAAGATCTATCAAGACCTGAAGGGCCCCAGCTTCCTTTCCCGGAGATTTTCCATGGCTTGACTACTTGTGCTGCCACTATACAGCATTATCACTTCGGGCGGATCGCGTTGCTTCTCAATCGACCAGCTGATATATTGAGTGCACCGTCTACGGCCTTTGATCGATTGCAGGGGTATAGAGAGGTCACAAAGGAAGTGGAGTTCCGCTCTCGTGAAGTTTGTGGTCTTGCCTTGGGCCGCCCACAAGGTTGCGTGCGGATATTTATGATACCGCTTCTCTATGCTGTTGGACAGTGTCTAGAAAGTCCTGAAGAACATCAGATTATAATTGATTTATTACGAGGCGTGGAGGCTGATCTGGGTTGGGCTACTGAGTATGCTGTTCAGAAACTCCAGGCCTCTTGGAATCAATGAATTGATCAAATCGGGAGAATCATAGAGTACATCTTTATAGACAATGGATATGATCTGGCTTGGTAAATTATAATGTTTAAAGGCTATTACTGTTCTAGACAAGCTGCGGCAAATCAGTGGTGGCAATCACGAGAACCGGGATGGTAGCTGGTAACACGCCCCGATTCTCTCGTCATATATTGAAGCTCGTGGAACTATCGTGGTCCATCGGAAATTAATCCCGAGGAAGTGTGTACCTTGGCTGTGTGGGTGATGACGGTATACTGGCATCAAGCAACCAAGGATGTTTCACATCTCTAGACCAGAACTTTCAATTTAACGCAAGATGATGCATTGGCTTATAGACAATAAAGTCTTTTATATTGGATAAAAAGCATTCCAAGTGACTGTAAAGACCAAAAGACAAAAGGCAAGAGAAAACACGACGAATACCCAAAAAAAAGGAAAGCTTTTCACGCGGAAAACTTTACCACCCATTGTATGCAAAACGCAACAATTCTATGAGCTCTGCCAATGGCTAAACACAACTCTAAATCCACCCTTGCAGTCTATTAACACCCATGACGAGAGTCAGTGGAACATCTGTCCGGCAGGTCAGATCGCGATGACAGATATCGCTCGACAGGATCTGGATCGCCGGAACCACAAGATGATACCTTGCGGCCAGCCGCTTTCCTGTCCGAAGCCAAGGTCTGCGCGAAATGAGACATTTCTCGGATCCGGGGGCCTTTCCAGTAGAAGACGTAGATGGGAATGGTGAAGAGGATGGCCATGAAGCCTAGGAATGTGGATGGCCATTCTAGTTTGTGAACTGTGCCCATATGCTCGTACACTGTGTATTCTAAGTAGGTGCTCTGTTGAAGTTCTCTGTGCACTTACTAGGGAAGGAATACATGGCTGCAATACCAGCGAGAAAGTCGCGTGCAAAGCCGTTGCCTCCTGTTGCTGAGGCGGCGTATGGGCCATATGCTGCGATCATGTAATCGACTGTTGCCATATAAATTGCATACTTCAGAGGAAAAGAAGTCAATAAGCGATCGCACAAGGAAGGCGTTTGGAAATTCACTTACATTGGCAATGGCAATCAAAGATGAAAAGATCATAGGTGCAATCCAATGGACTTGGGGTGGCCCAAGACTCGTCCATGCGAATCCAAACAGACCAATCGATAAAAGTGGCGCCACTATGACAACGTAAGTAATGCAGGTAGACTACTATCTGGTAGAAACTGACTCCATAGCAACCAGTAAAGACGAGCCTCCGGCTGTAGCCCATCAGGATCTCTTTGTTGGATCCTGTAATGCCGACGAATCCATGGCATGAATGAGAAATAGGCAATGAAATATCCGATCAAAAGTCTATAGGCTGTTAGCATGCTCATAGCTGAAGAGTCTTTTTCACTCACGGGAGAAAAGCCAGTCCGGTCGTAATCGTAGTGAAGTTCCATTGCTTGTAAACCGGTGTATAAGACTGCAAGAATGTGAAGATCAGGGAATCACTGAAACCACTAAGAAGCGAGAGACACAGGACAATTGGTTCTCGCAGAAACATGATAAAGGGCCGTACCCAAACCATGAATACCCAGCGGAAAGACATGCGCGTCTTCTTGAGCTCGTTGCCACTCCACACCATTTCCCCATTCTTGCGTCTGTGCCTCGCCTCTCTAGTGATAAGGATGCTGCACCTTGTCTCTGGAACGAACAAGTGCAATATTTGCACGAAGCCACCGAGAATAAGCTGGACCCAGAAATTCCAGTTCCAGTCCAAGAATGTCGCCACGAATCCACCGACAACCGGTGCAATGACTGAGCCTGTCACGGATGATAGCACAATGAAAGCGACAGCATATTGCTGATCTTCTGGCTCCCACATATCCGCGACCATGCCCAGCGTCACTGAGCCACCGGCAGATGAAAGACCACCGAGAATGCGACATACGATAATCGTGCCAAAGTTCGGAGCCAGCGCGCAGGGAATTTGCCAAACGTTGACAAAGAATAAGCTCAATTGCATGATAGGCCATCGGCCAAACTCCTCACTAAAAGGAGCCCAGAACTCGCAGCCAAATGCATAGGCGACGAGGAAACCCATTTGGCCAACGCGAGCCGCTTGCTCTGTGATGCTGAAATGCTTTGCATAAAGAGTGATACTGCTCGCATAGATGCTAGCATTGAAATTCATAGATGTCTGGACTGCGAAGATGACCGAGATGATGGCCCATTTCTTCCACCAGGGAAAGCTGTAGCCTAGCTTGTCGTAACATTCCCACTCCTTCAATTCCGTTTTGGAGTGGCCGTTGACAGTTCCATTCTCGATGTTGTTTGAGCTTCCACTTCCATTGGCTCCACTTCTGCGCCTTTTCTTTTCATGGCTTGGTCTGGGAGTTCCTCCAGGAGAGCGAACGTTGCCGCCGGAACTGGAACTATCTTGCTTCTCCAGATCTGCATTGGCGTTGGAGGGATATTCTTCCTCGGATACCATTGTGAACAGTTTGACGGGAGAAGGCTATATCTTCGAAAGCAAGGCCCAAAAGAAGAGCCATCCTAGATTCCAGAAACAGTGGGGGCATATACCAAGTTAAATGCTTTTCGTCTGTTCACGAGCCAGACATGCTCACGGTAAGGGCCAAAGATGGAGACCTCTGCTATAGATCGAGGCTTGTAGGCATCTCCGATTGGCCCGGAAGCTGCACTCCAGACCAACCAACCTTTACCAAGCTTCTCTTGGCGTGTTTTTGTGTGTGGAGGAGACATCCGGGGCATCATACATGGACGGATCGTCATTATTTATGTTTTCTCCCTCCGCATTCTGGGGATCTAAGAACGGAGGACGACAATAGGTCGCAAACCAAACCCGATGGCCAAGAGAGATTCCTAAATCCAATTTCAGGATCTCACGGGATTTCAAATAGAAACAGAGATGAGATCTGATCATCTAGGGATTGGTCCGCAATAGAGTCCCCAGACTTGTGAGTATGGGGAGTGAGGGGCAATGATCATGACGATTGCGTGAAAAGACTCATAAAGGGGCGATAGCAAGAGGAAATGCCATTTCATTGCATATGAGCATATTCTCAGTCAACATGCTATCAGTTGGTGGGTGTCTGCCGATACATGAAAAAGATTCACCTATAGTAGAAGATGTTGACAGCTAGTTGAACCCCGTCGTCAATGTATCAAGCAATAACTCCATAGTAACGAGGATCACTCTCCACACGATCGGCATGTCACCCACCCCAACTCCCGAGTCAACTCCTTTTCTTAGTATCAAAGTCCCCGAAGATATTCCGGATTCCTCCAGGCAGAATGAATGACGACTCGGCATGTCAGAGCCACTCGGGGAAGACAATCCACGACTCTAAACATGTCCAAGAAACGCCTCTTTGCAGGGAAAGCTTCAAACCCCTCAAACGCGGCAATCTACCGATGGAGGATTGCCGAGAAGGGGCTTGTGGCAAAGATAGGCGACTTAGCATTCCTTTTCGGGAGATTTGAGAGGTTGAGGCTAGGGAAATGGACCGCGCATGTGGGGGAATCCGGGGTTGAGGCGGGTCAACTATGTATATTTCCGCGAAGTATAGTTCAACATGGAGCAATATGTCCCCTATCTGTTGACTAGCTCTCTGCTAGTGGCTGCTTTGATTGATTTGGTCAAAGTCAATGATGCGCCACGCTAACTGTGCGGGGATATCGCCTCTCCTTATACTTCCCTGAGTGTTCCATTGGCTCTCGGTAATTATGAAGTTGACTTTCCCGGCCCAATTCCGCGCTGGCAGGACTGTATCTAAGCTTCATTTGTTTGCCATAAAGCTGCCAGGGCCCCGACTAGGATTAGGCGATATGTGCTCGCTAAAACACAAAGCCGTTTGGGCTGTCCTCTATTACCCAGAACTCCAGAAACCAACTACGATTGAATTGATTCAACATGGAGATGAATTACGATGAACGGGTAAGACTTTCCTGGGAATGACAGTGGTTGATGTTGTTTCGTGGGCTAACAATTCTCCTTCCAGGCCCTTCATCAGTATGTCCACATGCCCCTTATGGTCGCGCCTGCTAACCACAACCAGGCTCGAGGAGGAGCTGGGGACGGTGATATACCCTGGTACCGAGATCATGGCAGATGTTGGCACTCATCACTTTGTGAAATCATCATCCACTTCCGACCGGGTCTTGGTGCCTCAGCCTTCGCAAGATCCTCATGATCCTTTGGTAGGTGATTCTCTTAGCACCCTGATTGGTGCGATGAATAACCGTGGACAATGATTTAGAACTGGAACCGATTCTGGAAGATGAGCGCCATGGCGGTATCAACCTTGACATCGTTTAGTCAAGGCTTCGGTCCGTTGGCGCTGGCTCCTATGTTTCCACAGTTGATGGAAGCGTTCGAATCCGACTTGGCTTCCGTGGTACAATTCACTGGAGTTTGTATTCTGGTTTTGGGCTTCAGTAACTTCTTCTGGTGAGGGTCATATGCATCGCCTCTGATAACGGTCGCTGACACTACTGGTCCAGGATTCCCATTCAAACATCGTATGGACGGCGACCGGTTTTGATCTTCTCGACATTGATTTGTCTGATCAGCAATATCTGGCGAGCGACGGCCACTAGCTATGGAAGCTATATGGGCGCTTGTGTTCTCAATGGGTTTGGTGCTGGTCCTGCTGAGGTATGGTATTGATCCTTCGATTCTGATGAACAATACTAACTTTTCGCTAGACGTCGCAGCCTGAGATCATCACCGACATCATGTTCCTTCATGAGCGTGGCGCTTATAACACAATGTACTTCACGGCCTATTTCGGATCTCTCATGGTAAGATGCCCCCAGCGAAAGGTGTTGACTGTCGCTAAAATCCGCAGGTCGGTCCCATCATCGCTGGCCCCATGGCTGAACATAGTGGCTGGCGCAGTTTCTTCTGGCTGAATGTCGGCCTCTTGGGTCTCACGCTCCTTCTTCAAATTTTCCTCTTCCCTGAGACGAAGTGGCATCGCGCCCATCCAGACGAGGGAGCTCAAGGGCAACAGCCCTCTGTTCTTGCAAAGAAAGAGTCCGAGACAGAGAAGCCGGTAGAAGTAACACAGCATGAGAATGTGAACGCAGAATCGGGCGACCGTGATCCGTATCTGCACAAGGGTACACCGTCGAAGAAGCAGTTCAAGCTCTGGCAACTGGATGGGAACAACATCAAGACCGTGCTGATTGCTTTCTATATTCCATGGAAACTTCTGACCTTTCCCATTGTGGAGTTAGCTGCTTTCGTCGTATCGTGGTCAGCTAGTTGTTTCCTTACGCTGAATCTTACCCAGAGTCAAGCATTCGCAGAGCCGCCATATAACTTCAACAGTCAGACAATTGGGTTCTTCAATTTCGCGATCTTGATCGGGGCCTTCATTGGATTGGCAACCAATGGTCTTTTGTCGGATTGGGTTTCCATGAAGGCCACTCGAAAGAACAGAGGTATTCGAGAACCAGAGATGCGTCTGCCGGCGATGATTCCGTATGTAATTATCTCGATCATTGGCAACTTCATTGTTGCATTCGGATATGAATATAAATGGGACTGGAAGGTAAGTGTTAACTCTTCTGGGGAGGCTCTCAACTAACCTCAATAGGTGATTGTGATCATCGGATATACTGCAGCTGGAATTCAAGTCGCAGCCTTGCCAGCCATCACTAGCACATACGCAGTTGACAGCTATAAGCCTGTGGCAGGCTCGATCTTCGTGTCTATCACTGTTAACAAGAATCTCTGGGGCTACGGCTTCAGTAAATTCATCACCCCCTGGGTGGAAGAGAGCGGGTTTGTCAAGCCTATTATGTTGAACATGACACTGGCAACCCTGTGGTGTCTCTGCGCCATCCCCTTCTACTTCTATGGAAAGAAATTCAGGGGGTGGACTGCCAAGTCTTCGGTGCACAAGATGTAAAGAATCGTGGTCAATTCGGCACATAGTATAAAATGCATATCTTGATCGTTGCCAAGAGGTTGAATGAATTTTCGTGCTGTCATAGCTGGTATCATAAAGACATAAAATGCAACGCCGCTGTCAAATGTTCAATCATCGTCATCGTCGGGGTCATAGAGATCGAGGTCCAGGGTCGCCTTGGGTTTGGGCGCTGGCGCTGGAGCAGAAGGTGCAGGCGCCCGCGGCACTCCAGCGGATGAGCCAGCGTGAGCTGCAGCCTTTGCGGCCTCGCCTGCCTGCTTTGTGCTTTCCGCAGGTTCCACCACTGCTGGTGGTTCTGCGGCACCCCGACCGTCCGCTTCGGCGAGCAATCTTTCCATCTCCTTTTCAGGATCACCACCAGGGGCAAGTTGAATTTGCGCCATCAGTCCCATCCGTATCCGTTCCTCCATCGGGTATGGCAGCATGTAAACCTCGCGTGTGACGTTCGCTGACTCGTCCAGCCACTGCGTCGCGTTTTTGGTGACTGATGCCACTGGCTCTGCGCCATCCTCTGCCGACTGTTCCCCGTTAGTCCCTGACATATTCACATCCTTGTCGCTAGTCTGAGGCCCTGATTCCTGTCGTTTCCCGGATGCGCCCGTTGCAACATCGGCTGCTGCTTCGTGGTTGTATTTGCTGATCCGGCGCGCGAAGTCGAGAATGAGCTTGTAGTCAATCTCTTTGATTCCTCGTAGAACTGCTTGATTGCCTCTAAGCTCGTCGTCGGAGTCGGAGTCAAAATCACTATCGCTGTCACCATTGTCGGCACAAGCTGTGCGAATGGCTTTGTCGAAGCCTTCAATGTCGCTCACGATTCCCTTCACTTGATTTTCTAGTTGCTGTGCTTCAGCCCGTAGTTGCAGGATCTTGGCATGGTTTATTTGGTGCTGGCGAAGGGTTTTAATGGCGGAGGCCAACGCGTCGTCTGCTTCGAGGAGGGCGATGGCCGCCACGGGGGCTCCCGCGGCGGTAGGAGAGGTTGTAAGGCTTGTCAAGAGAGCATTGAGTTTTGATTCGACGTCTGTCAAGGAAGACTGGACGAGCGCATTCATTGTGGATGTGGTGGAGTGCAATCATTGAAGAGAAGATGAGCTTGCGGGAAGCTTTAATGACAGGTCACGTGCAAGTATAGGTGGAAAAGAAGAAACTACATTGAGGCGTTGCAATGAAGCTATTGGAACTTCACTGCATTTGTTTGCTTTGTTTCATCTTTGCTCTGGTTGGAGCGGGGGTATAGCATCGCTTATCTGAACCCCCGACTTTGTTCCTCTTTCAACCATTTGAACATTCACGATGAGTACTACAAGCTTGTCATCCCAAGTGCAATTGAGTCAATGTATGACTCTGCAGCCTCCTCTCTCTCGCCGTGGAAAAGGACCAGGATTGATTCTCATTCGGCCGCTTTCTCACGCCAAATGCCAAGAGGACAACAAGACGCTCGACCCAGAACCCTTGAAGAAATGGGCCGAGGAGAGCTTTATAGTGGCTCAGATTGCTTTGGACAAGTCAAACAACGAGAAATCTCTACTTGAGCTTATCAGGGACGCCGAGCATGCTTTGCTACAACGCCCAGAATGTGACGGCGAGAAGATTGGGTTGATAGGTAAGATGCAAACCATTCTACAAGAACATACACTGACTCATGCTAGTAAATGGATCAAAGGGAGACTATGACCCTCAATTCGAGCAGTCTCTAGAGGATCTGCTAGCTGGAGACACCAAACTAGCCACTGCAATCTTATTCGACTCTTGGGACATCTCCTTCCAGTCGACTCTCTTCCATCTCCCCAAGGACAAGGAGAGCGATGGACACCATATCACGCATATATACCCAGATGTTTCATCTGCCAACTTTGTGATCCCAGGGCATCCCGACTTCAAAATGTCAACAGCAGGAGTGGCCCATACTCGCAGTGCTGCATTCATCAAGAAGCACTTGGGCGGCCCGTACTTTGACCTCGAGAAGATCTGGGATGAGCATACTTACTATGAGTTTGGGGATCGCTCTGTTGAGAAGACGATGGCAACAATGGTTCAGGAGCCTTATGTCAACCATGTCCCTACAGTATGTCAATCCCGAGCAGACCCGGTGCGTCAGTGTACTGATTAGCAAAGTTGACTGGTGGCATTGGACGAGCTCGTCTGAGTCACTTCTATCTCAACCACTTCATCTTCAATAATCCCGATGACACGGCCCTTGAACTCATCAGCCGGACGGTCGGTACAGATCGGATCGTCGACGAGTTTATCTTTTGCTTCACTCATGTGAAGCAGATGGACTGGATGTGAGCTTCCACATCAAATTCAAAACGAGGTTGCTGACACGGTCCTCTAGGATTCCTGGTATCCCCTCTACCGGCAAGCACCTGCGGATTCCCTTCACGTCAGTCGTCAACATCCGCGGCGATCGCTTGTTCCATGAACATATCGCATGGGACCAAGCGACCGTGCTAGTTCAGCTTGGTCTGTTGCCGGAGTATCTGCCATTCCCGTATGCCCTGCCAGATGGATCTGTTCCGGCCCCAGGAAATCGCTTCGAGTATCGCGTCCCAGCAGCCGGTGTCGAGTCTGCGCAGAAACTCGAGAATGAGCATGAAGTGTCCTCGAACCAGATGTTCGAGTATACGATCCGCGAAGTCAAGGATCAATGAAGTTATCCAAGCAACATGAACAGTCAGACGGAGTTAAGAAAGTCACGATTGCCCAGGTGCCCAGAACGCCCAGATGACCCGCTTCAGGCAGCTGGCTATACTTCCAGGATTTGGCCCTTCCGTCATGTTGCAGTAGTAGAATGTACCCCGCAGTCTGTGCCTTTTCCTCCGTTCAGCCACCGGAGTCAACTCCCCATTCAGTGTAGTGCGCATGAGCTATGTGATATGACATTGTTTACCGACTTTTAGAACGACTTTGGAAGCTGATTTTTACTAGATCGGCGAATCGGCAAGGTTCTGCTCCAGCTCTCCGTTGATATCACTGCTGACCGCGTTTAAATCTGCAGGCAACTATTGGCCTCTTGCATCGATCTAGCTGGCCCGTCTCCAGAGTCTCCACATGAGCTTGCGAGGCAATTGGGAGATTGTTTCCGCCCTCCGCCGGCGCTCCACTTAAGATGACATGCGCCTGTTTGTTTTTCATAAGCGAACAGTGAACTTAGTGCATTAGTGCCTGACTCGGATTCCCCGGCTATGCTATAAGAAAATGACCCGAGCTGAGGTACATTGATCTCTTCATTCCTCTACGCTCTTCATCATGGTTGCTGTGTTGTCGCTGCTGACGCTTGCTACAGCAGCTCTGGCTGCGAAGCTGCCCATTGTTGATCTTGGATATGAGCGACACCAGGCTATCTCATTTAATGTATGGATATATCCTTCCTATCTGTTTTTGCTAGTACTGATCCCTTGCAGAGCTCGCATGGCCTGTACAACTTCAGCAATGTCCGCTATGCCGCCCCCCAGTCGGCGACCTGCGCTTCCGTGCTCCTGTACTCCCAACCGAAAACAGAGAACATGTTCAGAATGGCTCGGTAGGCCGTGTGTGCCCTCAGGCAGCTCCGGTCTGGAACACACAAGGCGCGCCGGCATTTCTCTTGGGTTATTTGTACAACCAGACAATCTCAGTGCCCTCCAACGTCTCAGCCTATCAATACAAGCCCACTAAACAGGATCCCCGTACCACTGAGGATTGCTTATTCCTCGATGTGGTTGTTCCGAAGAAAATCTTTGATCGCGGACAGAACAAAACCTCTCGGAAGAACCTCGCACCTGTGCTGGTGTGGATCTACGGTGGTGGGTACGTTGCTGGAGAAAAGAGTAGCTCCGATGCAACTGGGTTGGTTCAGCGCAGTATGGCTGGTGGAGAGCAAGGCCTTGTCTTCGTTTCCTTGAACTATCGAGTAAGTATAATCAAGCCAACTCGAGGTACTACAATGACTAACCTTGTCTAGCTGGGTGCATTTGGCTTCTCTGGCGGTGACAGCATCACTACCAATGGCACTGCCAATGCAGCCCTCCATGACCAACGCTTCGGTCTGGATTGGGTATACAAGAACATCCACTTGTTCGGTGGTGACGCAACCCGAGTCACGGTCATGGGCGAGTCAGCCGGCGGTGGTTCGATCATGCACCAGATTACCGCCTACGGAGGAAGCCGTGGACCTGTTCCCTTCCAGCAAGCTATCCTGCAGAGCCCTGGCTGGGTCCCGACTATCAGTGAGGAACAGCAGGAGGGTACCCTGCAGCAGTTCCTGGGCTATCTGAACGTCAGCACGATTGAAGAAGCCCGCAAGCTGCCATCTGACAAGTTGATTGCGGCCAATGCCTACCAGGTCGCTACTCAGTCCCAATGGGGTCAGTTCACCTACGGACCTACCGTCGACGGAACCTTTGTCCCCGCCCTCCCTGGACAACTGCTGCTCAGCGGCGATTTCGACCACAACCTCAACATTATGGTCGGACACAACGCAGACGAGGGACTTCTGTTCACCTCGCCGGCAAGCGTCAACAGCTCTGGTCTAGCAGAACAGCTCAAGCAACTGTCCACAAGCATTCCCGCAAACGTGACCCAGTCCATCACCGAAGACCTCTATCCCGCCGTCTACAACGGCTCCTACGGATACACGGACTCGGTGGGGCGCACAGCGCTCGTCATCTCCGATCTGATCTTCCAGTGTAACACCGACTACTTCAACCGCGCATACGACAAGCAGACCTACGCCTATGAATTCGCCATTCCGCCCGGGGTTCACGGTCAAGATGTCGGATACACCTTTTACAACAATAACTCTAACGCGAATGGTGCCCTTGGTGCCCTCGGCGCGATCGCGAATGTGACTGTCGCGCTGGCTATGCAGGACTTTTTCACTAGCTTTGCGCAGCATGGTGTGCCCAAGTCGCATTTGGCTCCGCCTTTCCGGCGCCATGGTGAGCGTGCCACTCTTATGGTTCTTGGTAACCATACTATTCAGCCGATGCGGGATCCTACCAGTAACCCGCGCTGCAAGTTCTGGCAGACTGCTCCTTATTATGTCGCATAAGGCGATATCAAGAAAATTATCCATGAGATCTATTTAGCGATCCGTACCTAATCCATGAACCATGATGTGATGATTTCGGGGTTCTTGTACATGTTGGGGCCGGGGGATCTAGATAAAGAGGTTTCAGAGTGCCTGGTTCAATCAACAATTGTACATTTCATTGACGTGATAATGACCATTGAGCCTCCCATGTCTATATACAGTACGCTGGACCCTATCGCGGACGATGTTGGGGCCATCAGTGCTAATTGGGGCCCAAATGCCCAGTACTACCCTGTATCAAGCAACGCACGTGATCGGATTTGGCCGAGTCAGCAGGAACCAAATGTAACAATGAACTGTTCGTCTGAGCTTGACTCCAAAGACAACAAACCTGTCCCGGGCCGAGATTGGGTGGCAAAGCCTTGCAAGTTTAGCCCCGGGGCCGGACTTTAGCCAGCGCCGATCACCTTTGATGGCTGTTTTCAGATCTGGATGTGATATATTTCACCGGGCGGATTGGGGCCTGGATATTCGCTTTATTGGCAGGACAACGCGAACTTAGATGTAAGATTCGACCTGTATCACTGTGCCAAGTACTTGGCTGCTCCTATCGCTAGTTCTCTCCCATTGACGTCCTAAACACTCTACATTCAGGGTCCAATGCAGCTACCATTTAGGTGGACTAATGAAAAGCTAGCGATTTTCCTTCTTCTTTTTTTTTTTTTTTTTTTTTTCTCTTGGTTGGTCACACTTAACCGTATGGGGGCAGTGCTGTCTCTCTGTTGGTTCGGGGGGGCCGCCCCCGTTAAGATCAGGCTCACATATCCGAGCTCGTTAGTGCGCTACTGCTAGTTTCTCCGAGAGGCACGGGCTGTGAGAGAGCTTTGAAATTTTCAACTAATAGTGGCCCTTTTTATAGTAACGGGGGAATGGGGCAACGGGTATCACTATCTTTGTTGCTACTTCGGTGCCTGTTTCACGATATGCACATTACTGTGCTGCAGTACTGTAGCTGGCCCATCATGTTACCCCTTTCCGGGCAGTGCATGTCAGTACGAAAATACGGTAGGCGCATTCGATTGGGGGCCAAATCCAAACTGTACAACCGAGGTGAGGCTCTAGGGCGATCGACAATCAAAGACAGTGGGGATGAAGCAAGTCAAGCCTTGTGAAAGCAATTCAGACTAACAAAACTAGAGTCGAAACCAGACCGGTAAGAATAGATCTGTCAGGCCCAATCAAAGCGGCTGACTGGAGCATGACCCGCTAACCCTCGACGCTAAGCTTTCGACCCTGAAGTTGCTTGAGGTTATTTCTCACGGTTATCACGGAATCCAACTTGATATTTAGGCTCCAATGTTCCACTTCCATTTCCACTTCCACTTCCACTTGTTCCATACTTCTCGGACAGGCAGCCCTTCCAACGTAAGACCCCGAAGCCGTGGGGTCTAAAAGTCTTAGCTTCCCCTCTCGATTCGGCTTGGTTATTTATTGCTCGGCCTTCTTCTCCCTCTATCCTATTTCCTTCTTGTCCTTTTTCTACTCTCCCTCACTCTCTTCACATAAAGTCTTCATCATGCGTCTCCCATGGTTGGCTTTGTGCCTGGCTGTCGCCACCGCGACCCCAATCAAGTCTCACCAACTCCGCCTTCCTTTCGTTCCTTCACCCGACGACCTCGAAACCGGCGTCAAATCACTTCTGGTATGTACCTGCAACAGTATTCAACAAAAAAAAAACCATACATTCTAACAATCACAGTCCCTCGACTGGACCATCAAAGATGGCAGCCTTTATGCCAACAACGACCAAGTCTACCCCCCATCAATAACAATGCAACTCACCGCACCGCTCTACAAAGCATCCCACCCAACCCAGAGTGAAAAGTCCGTGGAATTATCCTACACAATCGACAGTCGTCCCCTCGCCGCAAATAAAGTCGGCTCGGTAGCGGGCATTGTTCGTGTTCGCGTGGAACTCCTCGATCTACATGGCAACCTTGTCTCCCCCGACGCTGCCGTCGTCGATCTTGTCAATTACCAAGATGGTTCTCACCACATTACGCGCATCCGTGTAAAGCCTGCGCGCGGCGGTTTCCAGGCCGATCACTTTGCGCAGAAGAGTCGGCCGTGGGTTGTCAAGTACTGGAAGACGCATGTCGGGTCCTTCTTTGAGGCGAAGACTTCTGTTGCCATTAGTGAGAATGCGAATGATGCGCACTCGACTGAATCGGAGGATCACAGTGAGATCAAGGATGTCTCTGTCGACTCCGACTCCCACTCCAGCGTCAACTCCAAGGAGTCCAACTCGCCTTTCTCTATTTCTTCTTTCTGGGCTGCGCCTACTTCCCCTCATCGCTCTGGTCACCGTCGTCCGGGCCACCATCACCGTCCAAAGAATGCTTTCATGCGCATTGTCCGTCCAATTATCTGGCCTGCTGTTCTGGGGGCAGTCGCCGGTCTCGCGGCTTGCCTGTTCGGCTTCTTCGTCGGATCGCTTCTCATGTCTTTCTCTGCTCGTGTCGGGTGGAGGACCTCTCCTCGTTACTCGCAGGATATCTCTCTTGAAGAGGGTAGTCCTTCTGAAAAGTCGCCCATGGTCCCTCGGATCCATCTGACCGTCCCCGAGTCAGATGTATGACCTACCAGTTTTGATATTGTTTTTCAGCGTTCTTTTGCATCAAATACCTAGCATCACCATGCCATTTCCTTTCCCCTTGTCATGCCTGTTCTACCTCTGTCTCTGTATCTGTATCTATTATCCTCTACCTGATGAGTATCACGTGGAACGGTATACCCAATATCAGTCTCTCAAGTATCACGTGCATTTTCTGCTGTTACTCCAACAAGTAGGCCGGCTGGCCCAATGGCAAGGCGCTTGACTACGAATCAAGAGATTGCAGGTTCGACCCCTGCGTCGGTCAATCACTTTTTGCATTTCCACTGTGTGTGGATGGCAAAGATTTTTTTTGGCTCCACCGAGCCGAGCGGGTCGGGGTTGAGCTGGGTCCCGAACACTCCGTAGGGCGTAGTTGGTTACATTGGACTAGGCATCTTTATTCTTTTAAATTGCATGTCTCAGTGGGTTGTAATATAAGCTTTAATTAACACAAACTAGACAGAGACTACTGTGTAAGGCTTTTAAAGTTTGATCTATAAGAAAGGGAACGCTGGCAATTGGTGACCCACTCGAATCCAATATCTTGTGGCTTCAAAATATGTATCTGCCTAACGGAGTCAAACCACATCACTTGCGTCGAAACCAGATCTTCTCCTCGCCCAACGCCGGCTCTAGATCCAGACCCATGGCGCTCGGAATCCCGGAAGCATCAATACTAAATTCTGCCTTGAAGTATTCACTATACATCCCAATAGACTTTGGCTGGAAGAAGGATGCCACAAAGAACTCCCCACTGGCATGATCAAAGGATAGTATGCCTGCTGTAACACGGTCCAGCAGGTTCGCACCCAGGTGCCCACTCTCAATGTCAACGGTGATATATCCAATCCCGGGATGCTCGTATCGCCCCGCATACTGGTGCAACGGCAGGGAATGGGCGATGGGCGGATCAGGCAGACATGGATAGAGCCGTTTCATTGCTTCGCTCATTGTCTCGGGCATGCGTGATTCTGTTACGTTGCTTGGTCCCATCGTCCGTGGAATCTTGCTCGCTGGTCCACCCGAGATCGAGTCGAGGAGGTGTAGGAATATCTCCACCTCTGCGTGTCGCCCGTTCTGCGTGTTGCTCATCATTGCGAAGCCGCAGCTCTTGTTTGGGAGGAAGCCGACCATGATTCCGAATCCGACCCAGCTGCCGCTGTGCCAGTAGAGTGGTTCGCCACGGTAGCTGTGTATGAACCAGCCTAGCGCGTAGAGTTGGTGTGGTGCTGGTGGTGCGACCAGGTCGCTCATGTCTGTTACTATGGTCCGTGGTTGAATGAGTGCTGCATGGCCTTCTGGTGAGATGGGTCCTTTTTGGTAGATCATTGTTCGGAGCCATTTCGTGTACTCGAGGACATTGCTGACCATTGCCCCGGCGCCTGTCACGGCTACGTCGTTCATATATGGCTCTGCGACGTATTTCTTTGAATCTACGTCCCAGGTGTACCCTCTTGCAAGTCTAGGACTGAGAGTTGGATCTTTGGAGACTTCTTGGACGGAGAAGTATGTGTCGTTCATCCCCAAGGGCTCCAAGATACGTGCTTTGATGATATCGCCGAAAGGTCGGCCTTCAATTTGTTCCAGGGCATGCGATACGGTCATGTACATGTGGTTATTATAGGAAAATGTGCTGCGGGGTGAATATTTCATAGGAAGGTGTCTCAATCTCCGGACTGCCTCACGCAGAGGTCGATCGGGATGTGCCAGGACAAGGCAGGCATCGAAAGTTGATAGTCCTGACCGGTGGGAGAGGGCATCTTCAATCGTTGTATGATTTGTGCTGTAGTCTGTCTCTAACACAAAGTCATCCGGGATGATAGATGCAAGGGGTGTGTCCCAGCGAAGTGGAGACTCATTGTTCTTGCTATCATCGATGGCGAGAGAGACGGCCGCAGAGGCGAAAGCTTTGGTGGTGCTACATGTCGAGAACAGAGTACCAGTGGTCATTTTCCGATCGGGGAATTCCGCGATTCCATATGCCTGATAATAGATGAGCATGAAGAAGTCAATTGGGTGGTGTAACTGATTACCTTTGACCAGGTGCTGGAGCCATGAACTATGGCCATGGTCAGTCCGGGGACTTTCCATTTGTCCATTTGCTGATGCACCAAGACATCGAGCTCTGGCGTCAATGGTGAAGTGGCCTTTCTCATGACCATTTTGAAGCTGAAGCTGAAGCTGGTGAAGGGAGAGAGTTGCGGGGAAGTGATAAGCCCAACTTCTTCTACTGCGGAACCCCGACGGACCACCGTCTTACCATTTCACGCATAACATCCAGCTATTGCTTGGATATTGATACTAAGGTCCTAAGTCCTCTTACATCGAAGACTATTCTTCCCTCAGACTCTACGCTAACGAATCTCTGCAGGGCCTCTCGCCATGTAGAGCCTCCACCGAGGCCCAGAATATGGTCATTGCCATGGGAATCGTTTTTATATTGCTTGCCGGACTATCATTGCGGATAGACAAGATCGGCTGGCGAATGATTTTATGCAGTGACTGATTCCCTTACCTCTTTTTTTTTCCTCTTCTTTGTTCCCGTTCTCTGTTCCCTTCTATTTTCAATGGATGATAATTGAATATCTTCTTCTAGCAATTATTCCTCTCGTGCAAATTATTTTCTCAATGGTCGGTCTCCCGGTCACCCAATACGTCTATATGCGCTCCTTTCGCATCTGGCTCTGAGATATTCGGCAAGTATAAAAACTACTCAGACTGGAGCCCGGGAGTTGCACTTCCTGTGACCTAATTTGCCTCAATCTGGGCAAATTCAGCTTGGCTATCACCAGCGTATATCGTTGAAACCACGCATAATGCCAGGAAATTCACGCCAGAGTCTATGGCTGTGTCTTATGTAGCTGCAACAATTATGGGAACTGTTATCTGCATGATCTCGGCATTTTGCGACCCCCGGATATGGATGTTCTGTCCCAGAAACTGCTTTGAGTGGTTTCGATTGGATTCTTGTCTATGCGTCACAACTTTCGCCTTTCGCTCGTAATGGAGGTCTTCCATTTAAACACCACCTAGGCCACGTCAGCGAAAGGACTAACACGCCCTTTATGCTGCCACTACTCTGCCGATGGGAGTCTTCAGATCCAGCTTCGTGGGCTCTCTGCTGTTGCGAGCAGTATCGTCTCCTCTTAACGTCATTGTCAGTCTGCTTGTGATGGCTCTACCAGATTGTCTGCGGCTCACTGCTGAAAGCCGCTTCGTCCCAGATCCTTTCTATTTAGGAGTTATAAGCAAACCAACACAAGCTTTTGCGTTGATGACACAAGTCCACATGATTATCATGGAAGCATTCCCCACATCATCTGCGTGGACGGCGGCCAATTTCAACTACAAATGGGTTGTTACTCTCGGCACAATCATGGTAGATGCTTCGCCTGTCATTGCTTTCACCTTTTTGAGGGCTATCTGCTAGAAAGGAAAGACACTCATGCTCTCCGTTTACCCAAAATTGGAATTCCCAAAATTTCTGACTCCCAACGAAAACCGACATGGCTCGAGAAACAAACCGAAGGCGAACAAATTTCATAGTTGGAAGGAGGACTGCGATTTGCTCCCGAATCTCCATCGGGAGTAAGTCAAAGGAGTCCAAGGTAAGTGTAGTATTACTTCCAGATTCACTTGCTTTCTTCTTTTTTCCCCTCTTTCTTTCCCCTTTCTTCTTTTTAAGAGAGTTTCTTGCTGCTTGGTTCCCTGAGACGGAGCGTCGCTCTGGAGCATTTCAGAGACGATAAACATATTGGCTTGTCAGCTGTTGACTGGCCAAACTCAAGCATCCATAGATTCATCCGGAAGATCCGCTCTTCCCGTTTCTGGAATGCCATCGAGGCAGATCTAGAAAGCAGATCTAAATTGACTTCATCTTCAAAATGCTTACTTTGGTCCAGCAGATCCCATGAACCACGAAAGCCGCGCGACACGTCAGCGAATTCTGCACGATTTAGGTACCCCAAGGACCGATCGGCGTATCGTCTTCACTAATACTGTCCATTTCATAAAACTCGACAAGCCAGTCATGCTCAGATATAAAGGCATCTGATAATTTGGGTCCCCTTGGCGTCAAATAAACTATAGTCAAGTCGGTTTTTGAGCCACTAGAGAGAAAGCATGGCAAGAATCAAAAAAAGGCTAAACATCGGGTATTCATAATACCATATTGTATAATCCTTCACTAGCTATAGAAAGACTGCATGCGGTCATGAGGTGATGACGAAGACATGCTTTGAACCCGCTTGAAGATGACTGGTGAATAATCAAAATTCGGCTATTTTGAAAAGGGTAAGGTTCTCTTATGAAACTGTGTGTTAATGAAGGTTGTTTTAAATGCGTGTTTTGTTGCCACTTAAGCTGACTCTGGGCCACCACTCATGATTTGTCATCGCTTCTTATGAGGCTCGTCAAAGAATGACAGGGCCAGCAGGCGTGAATCATGAGGGGGAAAGGGTTGTGGGATACTGCGATATCATTGCTCCTGATAATACCCAAAGGACCATGTTAGTGTAACTGTAGATGTGCCAGAAAGGCTGGGGCCCGGTCTAGAGTCAGATGTCTCGGTCAGATCTTGGAGGCAAGGGCGCGAATAGCTGAAATGAGTACAGTTTCGTGATGTCCGAGGGAGCTCCAGCCTCTCGGGATTTCAACATTGGATATTGTGACCGCAGATGTATCATGCGAGCTGATAGGGTGTTGGGCAGGCAAAGCTTGGGCTTCCAAGCTAAATACTGGTTAGAGAAGCTCCGCTGAAGAGCGCTGAGCACATCGGAAATACCCACACGGAGTGTGCTGTGGCTATGTTTGGCTTTAGCCTAGACACAAGCATTGCACTCCTTGTAGCGGGCTTCTTTGGACACGGACATTATCTATAATGCCTAGTCACCGATGTGGACCAGCGGGGCATCACTGGAGCAACAGTACGGCTGAAACGTCTTCAGGCATATGCATGAAAATACCAGAGAGGCGATGGAGACACCTTCATGACAGACATATTGCCAGCCATACCGCTCTTATAGGAGGAAATTTGGATTCCACGTGACACCGTCCAGGTTAGGAAGGTCGGACATCTTTGTTGGACTCCAGAACTTCTTTGTCAAGTCAATCACACCAGTTCAAAATTATCAATGACCTGTAAATTATTACTGACTATTTTGTCCATTGAACCAAGCGATCCCTTGATCCTGATCGCAAAGTCTATCGAAACTAGGAAATTGGATGTTGATCGGCATTTCAAAACCCAACCTCATCGGCCAATTCCACAGGACCGGACTTCCCGTGTTCTATGCAAGGGATATCCCTTTTACATGAAACAAGCCTCCGAACAAATACTGCAGAGACTGTACTGAGAGAGGAAGGTGGCTGGGGGAATGTTTGTGGCTGGGGAGCGGTGACGCGAAGAGACTTTCAATAGTGCGATCGGACTCTCGACGTATCCAGCGACTATTCGGACTAGATCCAAAGAGCCCCCGATTCGGATCTGAGTGTCGATCAGCGCCACCCATGGCCTCTGCCTTGTTTGTTTATTTACCGCAATCTATATTTCTTCGGTGTGACGCCGGTGGCCACAATTGCTGCAAGTAAGACCGTCATGGGTAGTGCCATGATTTTGAAGCGACAAAGTGAATCCTGCAGCCTACAGCTCACAGCCTGCACCATGCACCATGCACCATGCACCATTTGGAATTGGATAATCAGATCGCCTTGTTCCAGGGGAACCCTTGAAAGGCAAATCCCGGGCTCCAATTGAGCCTGATGGGCCCCTGAGTGGCTTGGCCCATTGGATCAGCGAATGAGATCGACATATGGAGATGGGGTGCAAGGTCGATCAATCCCAATTCGAGAGATCAGAGCCAGCTTGTTGATAGCGATGACTTCATGCGATACAAGAATCAGGCCACGGTCCAATCTGCCCACGTTGGTGCGGTAGCGATGCGCCAACTGCTGCCCTGCGAGGCAATCCACACGGCCGATCCTGCATAGTCATTGGGCTCCAATGCGAGCTTCGACCACCGACACTCAATTTCCAGTCCGGGGCAAGTGGCTGTGGCCCGGCTACATGCAGAGTTTGATTCTCAGCTAGAATTTACAGGTCCCATTTATAAAACACTATGTCCTTGCACTCCAGTTCATTTCTGATCCTCCACATTCTTCTTCACTCCTCAACCTTTCATATCCTCTACCTCTAGTCAATCGAGACCTTCTCTCTCCAAACATCACAATGAAGTCCTTCTCTCCCCTTGCCCTGGCCCTGCTGGCCGCCGCCGGCTTCGCTGTCGCCGACCCTTCTGCCTCTGATTGCGCTGTGAGTACTGTCTTTTGGTTACCATAGAGAGAAATGCTGATCGCTTTGTTTATAGCAAATGTGCGTCTCCAACATGAACAACAAGGCCTCTGAGCTTGGCTGCAAAGCTGACGACATGTCCTGCCTTTGCAAGACCGACGACTACAAGTTCGGTATCCGTGACTGCACCAAGCAGGCCTGCCCCAGCGATGACGCTGAGAAGGTTCTCTCCATGGCTGTCGCCAAGTGCCCTGGCGGTGTTGCTGGCTCTGATGCTAGCTCTACTCGGTCCAGCTCCGACTCTGACTCCAGCTCTACTGCCTCTGGCGCCGGTGCTGGCTCTGACTCCACTGGCTCCATGACTGGTACCATGACTAGCTCTATGACCGGTGCTACTGGCGCCGCTGGCTCCATGACCACCGGCTCCATGACCGGTTCCGACATGACTGGTTCTATGACTGGCTCCATGACCGGCTCTGGCGCCTCTGGCTTGACCACCATGACTAGCACCGGCACTGTCTCTGGCTCCATGACCACAATGACTTCCACTGGCACTGTCTCCGGTACTGGTGCCTCTTCCACCGAGACTGGCTCTGGCTCTGGCTCCGATTCCAACTCCGACTCCAACGGCTCCGGCTCTGACTCCTCTGACTCCAGCAGCGGGTCTGACTCTGCCTCCGGCTCTGCTGCTCCTTCCACCAGCACCGGTGCTGCTGCCCCCATGGCCACTGTCGGCAGTGGTGCCATGGGCGCTCTCGGTCTGGTCGCTCTCCTCGCCCTCTAAATTGACAATGTCAATTTGATAATGTCAATTTACATGGAACAGAGTTTTTCTGGTAATCTGTGGGTAATGAATCATGTGTCGCCGTTTGGCTTGTATAGGTACAGGATATGAACCGGGGTCATGATTGGTACAATGTTTCTTATTCTCCTGCTCTTTGGAGCTATTAATCTAATGACCAAATTAATGAATGGAATATGGCATTCTACATGTATACCCCTGTCCATCGTAAGGCTGCGCTATAGATGTAGATCTAGGCACATGACCATGACGTCGGAGCATGTGGATTTCCATGTGATCGCGACCTCGGTGTATATGCTTGTCTTCTCTATGTATGTACTGGTACATTTTTCTATAGCTTCAAAGTAATACTTAAATGTCCACCTGACATCGAATTACACCCACTCCCAAGACGGACATCCGGCATCCTTTATTCCGCGGGGAAACGTGGAGTAGTCGAACTGTGTTTCCCGTTCACCCGAACGCGGCGGTCTCCGACGTAATAAGAGCAGACAGAAGTAGAGAATCTTTTAACTTATATCTTGCAAAATAACCTAGCATATACAGGTAATTCAAGACCAATAGTTGACTCTTTAACTCGCATATCAACGGGAAGCCGGTTTCTCCGCTGCCGAGCCGAGGCACATTACTTTGTCCGGGGAAGCGCTATTCGGCTTCGGTCGTCATTTCTGTCGGATCTTCCATTTCTGGGTCTTCGGTGGATTTGCTGCTCTACCTATTCTCTCTTTTCTCCTTTCTTACTCGAGCCTTCTCTATTTCCACCCTTCTTCTCTTCGCCCCGAACACACAATGTCGACTTCCACTTCTCCCCCGCAACAGCTCAAAGATGAGGTCAAGGTCGCTGAGACCAAGGCCGTGAACCAAACCATTGCGCAGCTACGCTCGCTTGCAGCTGGTGCAGCTGGTGGTCTCTGTGCTGTGGTTGTCGGACATCCCTTTGATCTGGTCAAGGTGCGCTTGCAGACTGCGGAGAAGGGTGTCTACTCGGGTGCTATGGATGTGGTGAAGCGCACAATTGCCCGTGAGGGTCTGTCCAGGGTATGAACTCGATAATTAAAGGGGATTGGAATGTGCGATTAACTGACAGTGCTTTGTAGGGTCTGTATGCCGGTGTCTCTGCGCCCCTCGTCGGTGTCACTCCTATGTGTAAGTGTGCTGGTCTCATATATGCAATTGGTTGAATTCAAGCTAATATACCCTGTCGCATAGTCGCTGTCAGCTTTTGGGTATGTTTTATTAGACCCTGAAGAGCCCGCAATCGCCCGGTCGGAAGCACTACTAACACTGCACCAGGGTTACGATGTGGGCAAGACCCTTGTGAACAAGTTCTCCGTCGTCCCCATCAAGCACGACACTCCCCAGTACTCTATTGCACAGATCTCCGCAGCAGGTTTCTTCTCGGCCATTCCCATGACCCTGATCACCGCGCCCTTTGAGCGTGTCAAGGTCCTTCTCCAGATTCAGGGCCAGAACCCTCCTCCCCCCGGCCAAAAGCCCAAGTACTCCGGCGGTACCGACGTCGTGCGCCAGCTGTACAAGGAGGGTGGTATCCGCAGTGTGTTCCGTGGCAGCGCCATGACGCTGGCTCGTGATGGCCCCGGTTCTGCTGCGTACTTTGCCGCTTACGAGTACATCAAGCGCTCGTTGACCCCCAAGGATGAGAATGGAAACGTTACCGGCGAGCTGTCTCTGTCCGCTGTTCTGTGCGCTGGTGGTGCTGCCGGTATTGCCATGTGGATTCCCGTCTTCCCCGTCGACACCATCAAGTCTCGTCTGCAGAGCGCACCCGGAAAGCCCACTATCGGTGGTACCATCCGGTCAGTCTACGCCAGTGGTGGTTTCAAGGCCTTCTTCCCTGGCTTCGGACCGGCTCTGGCTCGTGCGGTGCCTGCCAACGCTGCCACCTTCCTTGGTGTTGAGCTGGCTCACAAATTCATGAAAAATCTGTTTGACTAGAGGTCAAATAGTGTTTGTAGATACTTTGGTCTTTTGCAGCGTTTTGTGTCCCATCCACGGATGGTGATTTGATCTGGATTGGTTCGCATCTGTATGTTTTAGACGCCCATATTCTATAGAGTCCAATAACTGGGGCGTCACCTATAACATCAAATTGCAATCTAGGTGTATTCAAAGGGCCAGCAAATCATAGGCTATGGAGAATACCCACTTCCACTTTGCCTGAATCATTGAGGCTCAACACCAGGTTTTCCCACTCGGACCCTTCGTATAAAGCTGGGCTTAACAAGCGAGTTCCAGGATTGGCCCCAAGTAACCAAAACTGATCCTTAGCGCTAACGTTGGGGGCCAATCCGGCACAGTCGGGGCCGCTAAAGCCCGATCTAGGGGGTTCTATATTTATACAGCCTCGTCAGTTCTCATTTCTCTGCCATTTGGCCGTGAGTTGCTGTGAAAGAAGAGAAATTATCTACAGTGCTACATCTCGAGTCAAGTATTCTTTCAAGTCGAGTCAGTGCTACCCAGAGTGATGTCAATAGGGTACAAGCCCGATACTTCTTTTTGTATGTGGAACCCGGCAAAGTCTAAGTACCGTCAGAGTACCGTAAGCTCCGGCGCTAGTGGTGTGCTGCCTGCTCTGCCTGCTCTGCTTTGTATTCATAAAGCGCCCGTTCCCCCCGTCTGACTTCCTTTCATCATTATTTTATCTAATTTGCAACATGTCGGCCATCAGCAGTCATATTATGCGCCGGGGCACTGACCTTGCTGCCGCTCACTTGCGGGGGCCTGCGGATAAGCCCAACACTGGGGAGCCCGAGGTTGGAGTGATGATTGTCATTGCCGTCACTGCCGTGGTGTTTGGTCTGATGTTCTGGGCTGTAAGTTGGTATCCATCTTTTGGATGTAATGTTACTGACAATCAATAGATTGAGTATACCTACGGCATGGTGATTGCGACTCTGGCCGCCGTCGAAGATACCAACCCCGATATCTATGTTCGCATTGCTTCCGAGCCCAACCCTATCAAACCCACCGATGAAGACGAACCCGAGATCGGCACTGCCACTCCCCTCAAGCCTATCACCAGCAAGCTGCGTACTACAGTGAAACACTTGCGCTCCCGCGCTGGCTTCTGGTCGCGCTTCCGCGGTGCTGGCATGTTCGTGGCTTACGCTGCTGCTCGTAGCTTCATTGCTGGTCTGATTCCTATCCCTGTTACTTCCTACATTGGCTCCTTCTTTGTTCAGTCCTTCCTGAGCGTTCTGTTCGCCACCTGGCAGATGGCTTGGGTCCACATTGTCATCTCTGAGCCCTCCCCCAAGAGCTTTTACCAGCGTATTCCCAGCTACAAGACTTGGATTAAGATTGCACCTGCCGCTGCTGTGCAGGATATTCTCACTGCCGCTGCTTTCTTCATCCCGCTGGCGATTGCTGAGTTTGCTGGCTGGCTTGACGTTTCCAACAACAATGAAGTGCCGTCCTTGGTGGCCTTGTTCCGTTTCATGGGCGTCCTTGTTGCCCCCGCTATTCTGGCATTCTTGATCTCGATCCCTGCTCGTGTCATCTTTGTTCGTGTGGCTGCTTCTATGCTCCCCGAGGAAGATGAGACTATTGTGCCTTTCGATCGTTCCTTTGGTGGTAAGGTCAACCCTGCTATCACCGGTGGCAGTGGCAAGATTGGTATCGTGGATGCTTGGACTACCTTTGACTGGGCTGCTCGTGTTCGCTTCGCCAAGGTCGTTGGTAAGACCTTTGCCATGGAGGTGGCGCTTGGTATCTTTGCCTCACTTGTGCTCGGTGGCCAGCTCATTTGGGCGATGAAGACTGCCAAGCCTGTCAAGGATAACTCTCCTGCATTCTAAATCGATTCGGGGTATACAATACGATGAGATGTATGAATCTCGACCTGATATGGAGGAAAGGCGAGACATGTCTGCTGGATAAATTTACTTTTACATGACTTTTGAATTATAATTTGCTTATGTATGGATATCCTAAATCGATATGTAACCCATCCCTGGAGTTACGTCGTTGTATCTCGGAGTCTTTTTCACCGCCCTTATCACCCCCCCCCCCCGCTTCGGTTTCACCGCCTTCATTTCTTTTTGCTTCCCCCTCATCTCTCGCCTCTCCCAACCTCGTCATTGGCTTTGAGATTGAACAGCTTCATTTTCCCTGTTCCTTTTTCGCGTGACATCCCTTATACTATGGCGACTTCTCCTGCAGGCCGCATGCTGGGCCGCCAGCTGCAGCAGATGCAGTCCGATAAGGACATTCCCGGGATCAGTTGCGGTCTGGTCGATAACAATGTCTTTGAGTGGGAGGTTATGCTCATGATTTCCGATGATGTTAAGTTATATGGAGGTATGTTCGTCTACGGCTCTGCTTAGCTGTCCAGCGTTGAGGTTTGCATGGGTTCAGCGGCAACCACACTGGCAACCGCATCACCCACTTGACCTTGGAAATGCAGACTGTGCTAACATGCTCTGCTTGCTCTAGGTGGTTTCTTCCGGGCTCGTCTTTCCTTCCCTACCGAATACCCCCACCGCCCACCCAAGATGAAGTTTGAGTCGCCCCTCTTCCATCCCAACAGTATGTGATCTCCCTTTCGGTGACGTGGATGTGTATATGCCGGTTTGATACTTGATATACTCACATGTGGCTGCTTTTGTATAGTTTATGAGAGTGGTGAAGTCTGCATCTCCATCCTGCACCCTCCTGAGGAGGACAAGTACGGTTACGAGTCGGCTGCCGAACGCTGGTCCCCAGTCCAAACCCCCGAAACCATTCTCCTCTCTGTGATTTCTATGCTGTCCAGTCCCAATGATGAAAGCCCCGCCAATGTGGAGGCTGCCCGCCTATGGCGTGAGGACCCTGCGGAGTTCAAGAAACGCGTTCGTCGATGCGTGCGTGACAGCTTGGAGGAGTAAATGTTGGAATGATTCACGGCAATTTAACATGGTGGCTTACGATTTATTTAACATGGGGTTGCTTGTTTTCTCTGGATCTTTCCTTTTGTCTGATCTATCGCGGTGTTGGTTTTGTGCATGATAGAGCGAACACTGGGTAACAGTGTTTTAGGGCTAACTGCAATCGCATCTATGGCCATGCTCTTGATCTGTTTGTTTGCGGTGCATTTCTTTGCGTTTCATGAAGGTGCTGGAGTTGGCTTGATTGGTTTACCTCGATTTCTGATCTACAGTATAAATATACTTGAACGTCTTGCTCACAATATATGCATGCAGTCTATAGACAAGTCTATTTTCTAGTTCGTACAGCAGCGGTAACCAATCTCTGCATAGCGGTGCTGGTGACGGTTCGATTTGGCTGGAGTAAGTATTTGACATTAATAGGTATCAAGAACGCTAATTCAACATGAAACTCAATGGGAGATGTTTAGGCACGGTTCTTGTACCCGGTGCGCATGGATGGGAGGAAGACTCCGGGGTGGCAGACAGTGAAGGCCAAACAGGCGAGAGCAATCATCCTGTAAGAGTGTCAGTTGGTGATCTTTCAAACATTCCATAAGTTACTCACATTCCATCCAGGACAAGGAACTCGTCCTCCTTCTGCATGAGGGGGTTTCCCCAGCCGCCAGCCATCTCGGGGATACTATATTCTTGTCAGCAAATGCGCATCTTCTAGTCCTACTACTGGACGCATACCGGTAGATACACCGAATCAATACGGTGAAGTAGGCAAAGACCTCGGCACCGATAACATATGGCATCCACTTGGGAGTAATAGCTGAAACACCAGTGTCCAAGTTCTTCTCGCCTGCAAGTCCATCGCCATGCTTGAACACTCTCCAGAAGAAGATGAGCGCAAAGACACCACACACGACCATTGTTCCCACCTGGAAGGCGATACCAGCGATGATAATATCGTCACCAGCCTTCAGCATGGCCATATCAGTGTTGCCAGCGGCTGCAGCGACACCACCTCCGGCGGCCTGCAAGATAAGAGATCCGATATCACAACCGATGAAGATCCAGGTGAAAAGCCGCGGCTTCAGAATCGAATGTTGTGGTCCCAGGTTAAGGATGATGTGCTTCAGCGTGAGGTAAACTCCAGCTGCGACAAAGGTGGGCGCGAGCACCAGACACACGATTTGGAGCTTGAAGGCGGGGGCAGACCACGGGTTGTCGTTCATAAGGACTCGGCCAATGTATCCTGCCATTTCCATGAAGGTGCCGATGAGGAGGGCTGTCAGGAATGTCCATGTCCGGTAATAGATACCCAGACCGGTTTGACATAATCCGAGGACACCAAAGAACACCGTGAAGAAGACATTGCCGCCGAAGTTGGGGTAATAGCCGTATGTTGTCGCTTCGACCGGACACAAAGGGCCTACTTCAGAGCAGGTTGCGTAACTCGCCATCGAGTGAGAGGCGCAAAGCGTAAGGGGAAGTTCAAAGGGTAGAGTGAAGTAAGGACAAACAAAACAGAGAATCGAGAGATGTGGGAAACGATTATAAATAAAGGGTCCAAGGCCCCCAAGCTCTGTAATCTACAAACTCCCATTTTCGGGGCCATGTCAACTTTTTGAACGGTCGCGTCCAGACAACGAACGGGCTTCAAGTGGAGAGTAAGCAGGATAAACTGAAGGCATCAAATAATGCGATTGGCCTTTCGCCATCGTTGTCGTTCTCGTTCGTTCTCGTTCTCGTATTCTTCGCTTACACGGCCCACGCGGCCCAGTCCGTCAATATCAGCGCTTTGATCCTTTGAATTTTTGCCCCGAGAATGTTTCTAGAAGGCAGTGCTCCTGAGATCTCATCTGGATATCGAGGAATTCTTCAGATCAGAGATTGTCGCCATTGAAATATGCCTGGAAGCAGTTAAACGGCTGTGCATAGAGTATAGACTGTATAGTAGAGTGACGTAAGGTCAAGATACGAGCTCTGTCTCGGACACGAGTTACCCAGACAAGACTCCAGAACTCCGAGTCTCCAAGATAGGAAAAAGGTGCAAAGTATGCAAGTCAACAGGGGAAAAGAGAAGTCAACGGTCTTTTTATAGTTAGTCACGTGCCGTCTCCGCTTGACTTCACATCTCGACTGACTCCAAGCCGACTGGTTAGGATCATAGGCTCCGAGGGTTCCGAGATGGCTCCTCGCCGAGCGCACACCAAGTCCCGCCAGGGTTGTGACCAGTGTAAGCGGCGTCGTGTAAAGGTGAGTGAGCCGTGACTAGGGGAGGCTCCACCGTATATCTCCATGAGACTAACGGTCGCAGTGTGATGAAAGAGGGCCTCCGTGCTCCAATTGTATCTCGAGGGAGCTAGCATGCACATATTTGAGAGCGCCGCCTCGGACCGAAGTACATACAAGCCATGCCCCAGCTGTGGTCAGTGTACCTAGTGTACCTAGTGTGGCCAGTGTCTCCAGTCCCCGGCCTCTGGGGATCCCAAGCCCAGCTGCCTCCACTCCTTCGAATATTTCCGGGGTACGAGATTTGGAGTTGATGCACAAGTTCTCCACTGAAACCTACGAGAGCCTGTGCACGTCCAATTCGGAACATTATGTGTGGCAAATCGCCATCCCTCGTCTGGCTCTTCAGTATGATTTCTTGATGAATGGACTGTTGGCCCTAGGAGCTCTCCATATTGCCACTAGCCTTGAACCACCAGCGTCTTTGGTGTATATTGATACCGCTCTCCAATATCACAATCTCACCTTTGCGCCATATCGGGCGGCAGTCGACAATATCACGCCACTGAACTGCGAGGCTGTGCTGGCGCAGTCCATCATTACTACTGTGATTGGTATTGCCTTGCCTCGGGTAAGTGCTGCTCGCGGGGAGAGTGCAAGTATAACCGAAAACATCGTCGTGGTGTTTGAACTCTTGCAAGGTGTGAAAAAGATTCATCGGATTGGTGAGTCCTGGATCAAACTGGAGCTGTTTGCTCGCCGACGAAATTATTGGGATGCGGGCTCGATTGGGCTTGACAGTGAGACACAAGCTGCTCTGGAGAGACTCGGTGCTTTGAACGACGAAACCCTCGCCAGCATCGATCCGGATCAGCATCAGATCAACAAGGACGCCATTATCTACCTGCGGCATTTCTCTACCAGAGTACTCACTTCAGTTGATGCGGCGAACGTTCTGGCTTGGCTGGCCATGGTCGACAAAGAGTTTGTGGATAATGTGCGACGCCGCCAGCCCCTGGCACTATTGATCCTCATGCATTGGGGAGTTCTACTTGGCGAGCTTGATGGTCAGCATTGGTGGGCCCGTGACTCGGGTCGAGTTTTAGTTGGCGAACTATTGGATGCACTGCGCCCTGCAGACCCTCAATGGGCGGAGGCTGTTGCTTGGCCCCAGAAGAAGATGGCGCTTTGAGGTTAGCCATCGACTGGACACCCACCTTTTTCTCTTGGAATTCTGGAATGCTCCCAGAATTTCGATCACAGCCAACGGAAGAAGCTCCGATAGCCCGGATCATATGAGACCAATTCAACCGCGATCACGGATTATAGCCGCATTGTTGGGACTGGCAATAAAATAAATTTGCCATAAGCTGGCCAACGCCAGATCCCAAGCCACACGCGCGTACGGGAATTCGAAATAGAACTTGCAGATGGCTCAGTGAGGCTCTTACTAGGATATGATCGCCTGGGCGACAACTACAGTGGGAGAGAAACATCTACCAGCCATTCCAGGTCGCAATTGAGTCTCAGGATTATTGACCGGTGATCCCAAAGGGACTCACTTGTATCACCCGCTGCCAAATTTGTACAATACTCTGAAAAAAGGCGTTAGTTTGCAGCTTTAACAAACACTATGCATTGAAAACATACTCAACCTGACCTATTTCATACATGTATACTATAGCCAGTCCTCAAACACCATGCGTACTTCAGATTCGAGCCTTCTCTTTCGATAGTCCAGAAACATCAAGAATCCGTATCTTGTTCAAACTATCGGCCTCGTGTTTGCATACCCGTATACTTAAAGGTCCACTGACCTGCTTCAGCCAGTAGGACCGGCCACAGTCGAACAGCCAATTGCGAGTCCCAACCTGGACCAGCTCTGCAAGGAAGCATTGAGGTGCACTGTGATCCTCCGTGAAGACCAGCTTTGGCATTTCTCGTCGGACAAGCGGCGTGCTGGCTTCTTGAGCTAGGTCGAAGAACTCGTCGAAGGTCACCGGATGGTAGAGCTGGGAGCCGATGTGGACAATCCCTGTTGTACGTGCTGCTGCGTGTAATAGACAGGCATTTGTCACCAGATCCACAGGTATCTCGTCAAGGATGTTTGCACCGGATTTGTAGCCTTCGGTGGCATGCCAGATCTGGGTGGCTCCGCGGTCGGCGTACCAGAATCTGGCAAATTTGGTAAGAGGCGTAGAATCTTCTGGTCCATATAACACGTATGGATGCTTCAATGCAGGGCCAAAGATCGTTGGCCGTAACAGCAGTATCGGGAGAGTTGGGAAGCGTTTCAGTAGCAGGCGTTCCATCATGTGCTTGGCCAAGGTGTAGCTGGATGAGAACTGAGCTGCGTATGCTGATTTTCCAAGTGCCATCATGGATGCCAATTCTTCCTCTGGATCGCCGTCTCCCAATGGGTATATCCGCTCTAGAACTGGACCATCTGGGAGATGGCTGTTGACATATGACGTAGAGAGCTGCACAAGAAGCTTCAATCGTCGGAACAACGACGCAATGCGTGCCATTTCCAGTGCAGGAAGACAGTTGTTTTCGAGTGCATCTTGAATGGGTCCCTCAAGTGTGATTTTGGCCGCCGTATGAATGACCAGCGTGACTTGGGCTTGGAGTTTCTGGAAAATGGCAGGCTGAATCCCGAAGTCGACATTCTTGACGTCCCCAATGACAAACTCGACTTTTTTGGTCGCTATAATAGCTTGTGCATGGTTAGGCATGGTTTGTCTCCATTTTTCAATCGCCTGTTGGGAGCTTCCTCGGACTAATACGAAGATCTTGCGAGTCGGAAGTTGCAAAGCCAACTTATACAAGAGACAGCCCCCTAAACACCCAGTGCTCCCTGTCAGAAAAACCGTGTGGTCTTCAAATATTTTTCCATACCCCCCTCGCACGACTTCATCGGCGTGTGCTATGCTCATGATTGAAGCTGATGATATTGAACAGTCTGTGGGGATTTCACACGTAAGATCTTGCTCGTGTTTCTGCGAAAAAAGATGGAGCACGACACAAAGGATCGGATACATTGTAATGAGCTTGGAAGTCCATGTCGGAGCATATATCAGTGATGCTAGAACATGAGTCAGACTTGATAGTCGAATGCGGGTAGCACAGTAGGGTCGATGTTACTCTTGCATCCGTGCGGGCTTGGATATCGGCATCTATTTGTGAAGCTGGCTGAGAAGTAGCCAGTGGCACTGAATCAGGAAATTAGCAATCTCTGGTACCATTGAGGTATTTCCTGTTTTCATGTTGAATTAAAACCGATATGGCATTGAGCCATGTGCAGCCGAGGTCCAGTGCAGTCGTGCAACTTAACAAAGGATCCTGTAGCACTTGATGGAGATCTGGATTGAGATAGATACAAGCTGCAACCATTGTACCTGAATATGTCCCAGCAGGGGAGCGTAAGACCCTATCCAGGACCGCCAGTAGCCGAGAAACGGGTCGTACAAGACACCATGGAACGATTGAAGAACGCCTACATGTGATGTAAAAAAGCCAGTTTGCGCGTTGTAATAAGATCGATGTCATTGACTGTGAAGACTATGTGCTGCTGAATGGTAAATCCACTGGGCAAACTGGGGTATCCAATCCTGTCTGTACAAGAGATATAGACCTCGGCCTGGTGACCGAGAGCGGAAATGCGCAGCGTATCTTGACTGCCCTTCGAATGAGTCGGTTGTTGGTGGAACCAAGATTGACTGTAACCAGTTACAAGCCCTTGCCTCCGCCACCACACCAACAGCGTGCATCTCCATCGCGCTCAACTTGGACCAGAATATCCATATTTCTTTCGCGGAGATAATCGACAGTCCTTTGACGCACATCTTCGAAATCTGCGCCCCGGGACGCAATGACGTGAATCACACCGAAGATGTTCTGTGGCTTTTTCTCGTGCTCGTGGTCATGGTCATGATCATGATCATGATCGTGAGCATGAGAATGGCTATGCGTATGGGAGTGGCCGTGATCATGGTCATGGTCATGGCCATGGTGGCTGTGACTATAATTGTGTTGATGTCCGCAATCGCCATGATCGGGGTGATCATGTGAATGGCTGTGCTCTGACGTTGTCCCGGTATCATCGAGCCAAAATTTGGGTACGGTATAACTGACCACGCCCCTCAAGGTGCTGACACCCGCTAAGGTTTCACGAACATTATATTCGGTATCGGCTGGTAGAGTGAGCAGCAAGGATTTGGCGGTGCTCGTGACCAGGGGAACCGCCGAGGCGAAGATTAGTATGGCAATAAAGCAAGATGCCAAAGGGTCGTAGCCCGACCAGCCAGAATAGTGCACAAGAATGGTCGATATCACAACAGCCACCGATCCAAGTGTATCTGCAAGAATATGCAAGAAGATGCCGTGCATGTTCTCATTGCCATGAGAGTGGCCATGCCCGTGATCGTGGCCATGATGATGACCATGCTCAAAGCTGAAGATGCCGACAAGATTGACGGCTAAACCAGCAATGCTGACAGCCAAAAGCTCCCCGATACGTTGCATTTCACTTCCTGATGACAGCCGTTCCACCGCCTCGTAAATGATCTCCACGCTGATGATCCTGGTACTTGTTAGATTTGACTTTTGAATGGCACCCAATAGTACTCACATGAGGAAAATGCCATTGGCAAATCCAGACAACGTGTCAACTTTCCCATAGCCGTAAGGGAATCGAGCGTTCGGAGGCCATTTGCTCATGACAGCAGCGCATAAACCAACCACAAGCGCGAGACAATCGAAGAACATGTGAATACTGTCACTAAGCAAGCCCAATGATCCAGTCAGGAAACCATAAGATAGCTGAACGAGCATAAAAGTAAAGTTTAAACTGCAACAATGTTAGTAAAGTTTCGATTGTGGAAGTTGGAACTCCGGAGGTTTGACTCACCACATGAAGTAGAAGATACTACGAGAGTCCTTCTCTTTCAGAATGCTATGTAGCAAAGGGTAGGGCTCGCTCTTATGGAGGAGCCACTTCGACACGCGCGACGCTTCGACGATGGCGTGCGAATGACTGTGACTGTGGCTTGTGTGATTGTGTGCGTGGGAATCGGAATGCAAATGACTATCATCCATTCGGGAAGCCAAGAACGAGGCCATGGATAAGATTCCACGCGCAGCATATAATATAATAAAATTATCCTGCATGTGAGGGGAGCAAAGAAGGGCTGCAGCTCCAGTGCTGATAACGAGCCCGGTTTTGTTGGAAGATCGAAGACCTTTGGGCAGAGACGCCATGAGAGAAACCGCAAACAGCCCTGTAGGGACGAGGAGATATGACGTATCTGACACGCCGAAGCCGATTCCTCGAGTGAAAACTAGAGTGAGCAGCGCAAGAGAGAATCCGGATATGACAGCCAATGGTGCGTCAGTTGTAACTACGATAGAAGACTGGCTTATGTCGGAAGTTTTTCCGTGCAATGCAACGAGACCTGGCTCAGGGATAGGGCCATCCTGACGCAAATAAGGGAACGGGGGAGCCAAAATGAAGATAGATGCCAAGAGAGCGACATATCCAAAGAAAGGAGACGAGTCCCAGGGATAGTTCAGCCCCAAAAAACTTGACACAGTAACCAGTGAAAGAAGAGCAAGGGACATCTTCTTTTTACTGTATCGTTCCTGGGCGCGGGGGTTGCTATTGATGACAGTCGGTACCCCTGATGCACTCACAAGGAGTAGCGCAAAGGCAACCAAAAAGCCACCGATTTTCAGCGCTGCGAATATCGGCAGTGCTACCGAGAAAATCTGTGAAAGAGAAGCTTGAGCGGTCTTCGCATTCACAGCCGGGAATTTGATTGACGATGCCCCTAATGGTCCTGTCTTCTGGAGGTTGATTCGGAGCAGCTGACCACAGCCGAACAACACAAGCGTGAATGCAGTCAAGATGCATGTTTTCTGTCCGACTTGCCCCACAGACACAATGGGAATTGCTGCTTTCGCGGTATCTGTAGGAACCGACCCAGGTGCTTGCGCAATCTTCCTGTTATACCAAGATAGCACAATCCAGGGCAAAACAATAAGAGCGCCATTCAAGATCTCATGACTATAATGAGAGTCAGTTATTATTTCTAAGCAACATCCAGCTCACGTACATTTGATCGGGGCTGGAATCTGCCTTGATAGTTGTATCCACGGGCATAAATCCATGGGCGCTTTTTGAATCGGGATTTTGCAGCGCGCAATTATGAACCGAAGATACACTATGGGTATGACCATGATGGCCATGATGGCCATGATGATCGTGATCGTGGTGATGGCCATGGTCGTCGTTTGCATGGTCGTGATCATGGTGATCGTGTTGGGCGCTCGAATGCGAGCGTTTATGGCTGTTCGAAGATTGATGCGCATGTCCGTATGAATAGCTTGAATTCACCCCATTGACGTCAGGTTGGGGGAGGCTGTTGACCGACTGTGGGATGGGAGGCGGAGGTTGCGCCCAGCGATTGGATCGTGAGTGACCGCGATGAGTATGGCCATGGTTGTGTCCATTGTCAGGCGGAGTGAGCTCCACACCCAGGGACGGTCCCCCCGTTAACATGTCGAAGGTTGGCAATGCGCGCTGAATGGGAAGTCGGAGCAAGATAGGAGATGGGGCACTATGCCAAGATATCGGGGAGGAGTGCGGATCCTCGCAGATCAAGTCAGACTCAGCATCGCCTGGACAGGAGCGTACAGGTATAAGAATATGGCGTCAAGCGCCCTAAGAAACAAGTTACTGAAGAGACAACAAGTCGTCAATGGGAACCTTGAAGGCCAACTGCGCTGCACGTGATTCTTATCTTATCGAGCGTGTTGTCCTTCGCGATTCATCACTTGGCTTTGCTCATGCCACTCCTGATATCAGGAGGGATCCCCTTAAAGCGTCATTATCACCATGATCGAGTCACTAATTAGCATAGCCTTCTGTCTCTCCAGCGTGCTCACGGTGTTGATCCTTCTACTTCCTTCGCAATATGAACCACAGCAACCAGCGTCTTCAGGCGCCAATAGGACCACAAAACCGACTGTTCAAATACTCGTTCTTGGGGATATCGGTCGCAGTCCACGTATGCAATACCATGCATTAAGCATCGCGAAACACGGCGGGGAGGTGGTGATCATTGGATATAAAGGTTGGATCCAACGCTTTGCAACATCAATGGATATCACTCTTCGGGATAATCTTGCTGACTGCCAAAACTCTTAAGAATCTGATCCCCATCCTGATATTACCTCCAACCCCAATATTACCATTGTACCACTTCGCCCACACCCAGCCATGCTACAAACTAGTAACAAATTTCTGTTCACAATCTACGGGCCATTGAAAGTACTTTTCCAAGTGTTTTGTCTATGGCAATGTCTTGCATACACTACAAAACCGGCTAAGTGGCTTTTAGTTCAGGTATGTTTTCCGGGTACTACGTGGGTGATATGGCGACTAATCAGCTGATCTATAGAACCCACCATCCATTCCTACACTCGCAATCGCTTCCATCACCTGCTTCCTGCGCCAAACAAAGCTTGTCATTGACTGGCACAATTTCGGATACTCCATACTCGCTCTAAAACTTGGCCAAAACCACCCATTGGTGAAACTATCGACCTGGTATGAGAAAGTCTTCTGCAAATCTGCCTCGGCCCATCTATGTGTGACAGATGCTATGAAGTATTTCCTCAAGAAGGAATTTGAGTTACAACACCCCATTTTGCCTTTACATGACCGCCCTGCAAGCCACTTCAGTCCCATACTTGACTCAAGTGTACGGACCGAGTTCCTTGCAAATTTACCGGAAACCAGGGAAGTTCGCTCCTTTCTAAATGCAGGAACTCTCCGTGTTCTTGTCAGTTCTACTTCCTGGACTGCGGATGAAGATTTCTCCGTCCTCATAGATGCTCTTCTCAGGTACTCTGAACTGGCCACTACGACTCAACCTCATCTCCCTGAGGTCTTGGCCATTATTACAGGCAAGGGTCCACAGAAAGATATGTATTTGGAACAAATTGCCTTATTAGAGAAATCTGGCAAACTTCAAAAGGTCACTATTCGAACTGCATGGCTGAGCGTGCCGGACTATGCAAAGTTGCTGGCGTCTGCGTCTTTGGGTGTCAGTTTACATACCAGCAGCAGTGGAGTGGATCTCCCAATGAAGGTCGTAGATATGTTTGGCGCTGGTCTTCCGGTCGTCGGGTGGGACCGTTTCAAGGCGTGGCCTGAATTGGTGACGGAGGGTGTCAATGGACTTGGCTTTGGTAGCTCTGAAGAGTTGGCCGAGCATTTGATCGAATTGTTCGGAAACAGCAGCAGGCTGGAGACTCTTCGTCAAGGCGCACAGAAAGAAAGTTCTCGATGTTGGGACGATGAATGGGATCCCATTGCGGCTCCTCTTCTTGGTTTAACGTAGGCCTCAATGATACAATCCGACCATATTGTTACCTGCACATGCAAAGAAAATAGAGCTTCTGTTTTGAGGGACATTACCGCGCAGCACCACGCCCTTCTATCATGCTAAATTATGCATAGAATCCTATAAAGCTGGCTGGAATTTCCCTCCGCAATACAGGCATGTGTCGAAAGCCTCGAAAAGCTCGCTGAAAGTTCGGCTCAGCCTGCCACCATGCATAAGAGCCAAGGAGTCTTCGTCGATGTATTCTGTGTGACACAGAGAGCAATATTTGGATATTCCGGGCTCTTGAATGGCAAGGAAAGACAATCCGCATCGAGCTAATGGAAAGAGTTAAGAAGCCTGCACCAATAACATTATCACGAGGTAGCTTACTGAAAAGATGACCATTTGCACACTTAGCCTCCTGGGGTGAGTGCCAACCGATTCCAGCGTCACAAATGTCGCACCGCTCGAAAATATGACCGCCTGGGCCATTGAGCTGATTTTCGGACCTCGGAGCGATCTCGGTTGATTCGTTGTTGTATTTGTGCATCTCGTCACTGAGATCAGCGCCTGTAACAACCGCGAGACGCTCGAGAGACTTTCGAGCATTTGTCAGAAGAGACTTGGTTTTACCACATGTAATGGCGCAGCAGATGGCGACATGAACCAGTCGCTGGCTGTCCGGATCAGGTTCGAGGTCACCATCACCAGGCAACACGCAATTCAGTGCCGATTCTCGCTGGATATGCAACGGACTTTGGCTGTTGGAAATTCGTGGTACGAAAAAAGAGGCGGCCAAGTCATGTTCCAACTCTGACGAGAAGATGATAGTAGATTTGTCGTCAGAAGCGACACGGTACTCAAGCATATCTGTCGGGTGTCTAGTGAAGAGGACCGCTGTGACATTGCGATAAGACGAAAGTCCCCAAATTCTGGATATTGAGTTTCCCCCTAAATCATGATCCAGATCGAATTGCTCTTGGTGGTCTTCGACGATATGTTTCCACCGTGGTCGTTGTAAGGGATTTCCCTTTCGAAGTTGGCGCAGTTCTGTGATCAGACCAAGTCCACCCAAAGTACCTAGGCCAAAGCTGCGTATGTTATTTTTTTCATCCACACAAGTGGTCATTGCTAGTATACGTCAGTTTCCGACCAATTAATGAGAAGAAAAAAAAAAGAACGTACCAGATATCGGCTCCCAGTGCCTTTCATTGCACCCCATATTTTCCTCTGTTTCCGGGTTGTAGATCGGCCATTCACGAACTGCGAGGGCGTCAAAATTGGCGTCGTGGCCACTGTAAGTGTTAGCGGGCACGGAAATGGTGATAAATCCTGCCATAATGCCAACCACGAGGGAAAGCTCGGTATACGGTTGCTGGTAGATATGTCAGTACGAAGAAGGGACAATGCAAAGACTAAACATACATCATATAGCCATTTTAATGGACCAGTAATGTTGAGACGTGCCAATTTCTCGCTTAAGAGACCCCAGTGATGCTCTTTTAATGCGACTGGCAAGGCGTATGAGTCCAGATCACTTAGGCGTGATTCTCCGACAATGACTTGGATGTTCAAAAGTCGAAGCTGCGTTCCGCATACAAGAGCCAGCATAGCAACAGCAGAGCCGGAATTTGTTGGGCTCGTCAGTGGTGAAACCAGCCACGGGCCACAGGAAGCTGAGCTGGCCCGCTCTTTCTCTTTGAATGCATTTTGAAGAAGGGAACTCGAGCAGAGGTGAGGATTGTTCACTCCTTCGCTTTCGAGCGGGTGAACTGCCAGAACATGCAATTGATGAGAGCAGAGAGAACCCTCTGATAATTCTGATCTACGGGGCCGTACTATAACGACTTCGTTGAGGTCATTCACCACTGTCAATAGGGGAATTCCCCAACGACCTTCGTACGCGGGCAGAAAAGAAGAACCGGCAGGGAGAGTTGAAGCCTTCAGAGGTTCACACCAAGTGAAGGATCGAATGCTACCTTTCCGAAATGCGAGACTCTCTGATTGCTTCGAATCTTCGAAATGGGACTGTAACGCGTGGTTGACGATAGAAATTCGGGTCCATTGCTTCTGTGGGCCGACAGCCTCCCAAAGGGATAGAAGCAGATTGGAGGTTAACACTGCTAGGATACTGCGTCGGAATTTGCCTAGTCCAGGTGGTGACCAAGCTAGTCCAACTACTATACTGTTTGATTGCTCTGCGGCGATTGAGAAGGCATCCCGGTCTTGGGCTAGGAAAGTAGGCCATTCAGAGTGCGTGAATAGATTGGCCTTGACGCGGATTCTGTGCCAATCCCTTGTTGCATTCGGTGTTGGCTCCTCTGGTTTGCCATATTTTGGCGTCTGTGAAAATTATCAGTCATCAATTTAGGCGATTCGAGCACATAGGCAGATACCAAGATCTGAAAGTAATCTCCGACAGCAACTGCAAGCTCGCCGTCTGAGGACCAAGAGATGGCATCAGTGCACGAGGGGAACCCCGATAGCTCAACGGAATCCAGCATATTTTCAAGACTGAGGGATCTGTATAATCTGCATGTCTTTGAAGTAGTAACGTGGAAGATATTGAAGAAGCTTGAGTTGTTGTGGTTAGACGAACAGCATTCTGCGGGTATTGCGTCCTGAGAAATCAGGTGTCTATGCCTCAGCGTTGAAGCTGTTCTTGATTTGTTATACATCAAATATCTTCAGATTGAGATGACTATGTGGCTACGTGTTGCTAATTTGATTTTAATAGGAACACTGTGTTCATCCCCATATTCAATTTGGGAATTTTCACGTCGGGGTATCATCAGGCTGTCGGAGACATGACAGCGCCTTGGGGAAATTAATCAACCCGATCCAATTTCTGCACAACCATCGCAGTTGCAGCACCACCTCCGTTACAGATAGCAGCCACGCCGTACTCGCCAGGTTGCAACTGGTGGAGCAAGGTGACAAGGATACGTGAGCCTGAGCTACCGAGAGCGTGGCCGAGGGAGATAGCACCTCCAAGCATGTTGACATTGGCGTTTTGCAAGCCGAGAATCTATATAATCCAAGTTAGATATGCATATTGTCAGATGGGACAAGCTGTGTACTTACCTTCTCATTGGCCTTGATAACGGCCGCAAAGGCTTCGTTGAATTCCCACACCGCGACCTGGTCCTTGGTGATACCAGCACGCTCCAATGCAATTGGAACTGCCTTGGCAGGGGCAACGGGGAAGTCTACAGGGTCGATAGCGGCATCGGCCGAGGACACAATGCGGGCCAAAGCACGCCCACCAGCACCATATGCACGAGCAAGCTCCTTGTTACCCAGGATCAGAGCTGATGCTCCGTCATTCATTGTCGATGCGTTACCGGCGGTCACGGTACCGGTACCATCCCGCAGGAAAGCGGGCTTCAGTGTCTTCAGCTTGTCGGCACGCAAGTTCTCGAATCCTTCGTCACGCTCAATGACCGTGTCGCCCTTCTTACCCTTGACAGTGACTGCGGCAATCTCATCGGCGAATTTGTTGTCCTTCCATGCCTGCTGGGCTCGCTCGTAAGACTGAATGGCATATTGATCCTGGTCTTCCCGGGAAATTTCATATTTCTTAGCGGTCTGCTCCGCGCAGATGCCCATGTGGAACTTGTTGTACACATCCCACAGTCCGTCCTTGATCAAGCCGTCCTCTAGCTTGATCTCGCCGAAAGGTGGTAATTGACTGGCACGAGCCATGTAATATGGGACACGAGTCATGTTCTCCATACCGCCTGCTACCTGTGCCTCTGCCAGACCCAGCTGAATGTTCTGTGCAGCAATTGCCACCGCCTTTAGGCCAGAAGCACACACTTTGTTGATAGTGACAGCTTCGACAGTGGAAGGCAAACCGGCGAAGATGGACGCCTGACGTGCGGGAGCCTGACCCACGGAGCCCTGCAAAACATTACCCATATAAACATCTGTGATCTTCTCTACGGGGATCTTTGATTTGCTGAGAGCGGACTTAATGGCAACCGCGCCGAGCTCAGGTGCTGACACTGAAGCGTATGAACCATTGAACTATGCCAATGAGATCAGTAGGTTGTCTTTTGAAGTCTTGCCAGAGCTAGCTCACCTTGGCAGTTGGTGTCCGAGATGCACTCAGGATGTAGGCATCCTGAATCTCCTTGCATGTCGGACGTGCGGAGCTGAAGTGTCTCTGGGTACGGAATGCGGGGAAGACCCTTGGTAGACGAGCAGACAAGCCCGGAGAAATCATATTGAAATGTGCGTAGGGGAAGATTGTACAAAAGGGAGAAAAGAATACAAAAATAAAGAGAGGAAGAGGGGAGAGAAGCAAGGCCAAAAGCACATGAGTATACGGAATGCCGCCGCGCAACCGCCAGTAACCGCTTCTCCGCCTGGGCCGAGGCTGTTTCGATTATGACATAAGCGTGTATGACATAATGCCAGTCCCGTGATCTGCGCATAGAGCTAGGCCAGGTGGGGATAATTTCTCCATTGGGACATCTATTCCGGACCTTCCCCTCCATCGCATGTCGCTGTATCAACTCGCAGACCTTCATCCTCCTCTCCGTCTTCGACCCCCCCGAGTCTGTACTGGTATCAGTGTACAGAGGTCAAGCTTCTTTTTCAATTATTCTACCATATCCATACCTTACGGCCAATCAATCATGTCTACATCCGCCCGCCGCCGTCTCATGCGGGACTTCAAGGTACGCGTGACAATTACTTTGTCTTCGAGCTTTGACTTGAATTATATGGCCCTGTGCAGCAAGAAGCCGACTTGCTCAACATGTCCAAGACTTAATCCGCTTGCTTCGCATCATGCCCATTCCGTTCCATCAAGGTTATAGTTCGCCTCTGACATTTTTGTGACTACAGCGCATGCAAACCGATCCCCCAGCCGGCGTCTCTGCATCCCCTGTGGCCGATAATGTGATGACATGGTATGCACACGCCTCTTCCTCCACACCGGAATTAATATCTGATAAACTCTTAGGAATGCCGTCATTATTGGCCCCGCCGACACTCCCTTCGAGGATGGCACATTCCGCTTGGTCATGAACTTCGAAGAACAGTATCCCAACAAGCCCCCTGGAGTCAAATTCATCAGTCAGATGTTCCATCCCAACGTATATGGAACTGGTGAGCTCTGTTTGGACATTTTGCAGAACCGCTGGAGTCCAACCTATGACGTTGCTGCCATCCTGACTAGTATCCAAAGGTAAGCTTGCCCGTTCGGTCCAACGGCTCGCAAGTGCTAACATAATTATGAATCCAGTCTTTTGAATGACCCCAACACCTCATCTCCCGCCAATGTCGAGGCCTCGAACCTGTACAAAGACAACCGCAAAGAATACACAAAGCGCGTGCGGGAGACTGTTGAGAAGAGCTGGGATGATTGAAAACCCCATTCAATGAGCCCAAATGAGGCTGGTTGGTATCCGGAGATATATCACAATGGCCTGACCGTTTGATCTGCACAGCGTGGGGTTTGGCGCTTGGTCTGCTTTACTCTTTTTTACTACATGTTCTCATAGTTCAAGTCCCCCGGGCTTGAGGCCGGTTGCGCGTATAGTTTCATAGTTGCATTAGTGCATTAGCCTGCTTTTTCTGCATCTCTCCAAACAAAATAGGCTCATGCACGCTTCCCAGGGTGTTGCATGTCTATAGAGATTAAGCTTATGCATCCCGAGTCCGGGGCGGTCGGCCAAGAAATCCCGAACGGGCGGCTGTCAACAAATCCCACGATCTTCCTCCCCCTCCACCGCAAGTCCCAGCTGTACTTTCGGTGTCTTCACTCTCCTTTTGGCAGCTTCGCTGCTGTTTTCATTTCTTCATTCTTGCTTAGTCTGTAGCGTTTTGCTCCACGCCTGGTGCGCGTGGACCCCCTGATCCTTAACCCCTCCGCGTCACTACACCGCAACAGACATTCCAAGCCCTATTTCAAACGCCTCTGACGAGTTCCGCGGCCCACATACCCCTTACTGGGGCTTCTTTTTCACTTGATCTGTTATACCTGAATCGCACTCTACAATCATGGCGTGAGTATAACCCCCGACTCGATCATGCGGCGACGCTGACTGAGAGTTCGACAGGGCTGCGGGGTCAAACACCATCAAGGGTATGCATAACTGGGCTCAGTGATCAGAAGTATTCGTTTGGAGCGCAAGGCTGACTATACACGAATAGTGGTGGCCAGATTCCGTCCGCAGAACAAGGTCGAACTGTCCTCCGGAGGCCAGCCGATTGTTGATTTCGAGAATGAAGAGTCATGTAGCATCAACGTGAGTTGTTATGAAAGAAATCCTTCATGGCCATACTGACTGATCTTCCAGTCTCGTGAGGGGACTGGGTCATTCACTTTCGATCGTGTGTTCCCCATGAACACTGCGCAAAATGATATCTTCGACTTCTCGATTCGACCTACCGTGGACGATATTCTCAATGGATATAACGGAACAGTTTTCGCCTATGGTCAGACCGGTGCCGGAAAGTCGTATACTATGATGGGTTCCGACATCGATGACGACGAGGGCAAGGGTATCATTCCTCGAATGATTGAGCAGATCTTTGCCAGTATTCTGACTAGCCCGAGCAACATTGAGTACACGGTACGGGTCAGCTATATGGAAATTTACATGGAGCGAATTCGCGATCTTTTGGTGCCGCAGAACGATAACCTGCCAGTCCACGAGGAGAAGTCTCGCGGAGTCTATGTGAAGGGATTGCTCGAGGTTTACGTGTCCAGCGTCCAAGAGGTCTATGAAGTTATGCGCCGCGGAGGAACAGCACGAGCAGTGGCTGCAACCAACATGAACCAGGAATCATCTCGTTCCCACTCCATCTTCGTTATCACTGTCACTCAGAAGAATGTCGAGACCGGGTCGGCCAAGAGTGGCCAGTTGTTCTTGGTCGATTTGGCTGGTAGTGAAAAGGTCGGCAAGACCGGCGCAAGTGGCCAGACCCTGGAGGAGGCCAAGAAGATCAACAAGAGTTTGAGTGCTCTAGGAATGGTCATCAACGCTTTGACAGACGGCAAATCGACACATATTCCTTACCGTGACTCTAAGCTTACCCGAATTCTACAAGAGTCCTTGGGAGGTAACTCGCGGACGACCCTGATTATCAACTGTTCGCCCAGCAGCTACAACGACGCCGAAACGATCTCAACCCTGCGATTTGGTGTACGTGCCAAGGCAATCAAGAACAAGGCCAAGGTTAACGCAGAGCTCAGCCCAGCTGAGATGAAGCAACTGTTGCGGAAGGCGCAGAGCCAAATGACAAATTTCGAAAGCTACATCTCTGCTTTGGAGGGCGAAGTCAGCCTGTGGCGTAGCGGCGATAGCGTGCCCAAGGACCAATGGACTCCCTCGCGTGGAAATGAAATTGTCAGTACCGCAAAGGCCGAAGCACGTGCCCCAAGGCCTGGTACTCCTTCGCGTCTTCAGGAAACTGCTCGTTCGGAAACACCGCGTCCGGATTCCCGAGTTGGGGATCGTTCCAGTACTCCCAGCCTGGTGCTGGAGAAGGATGAACGTGAGGAGTTCTTGCGCCGTGAGAACGAGTTCCAGGACCAGATTTCGGAGAAGGAGTCTCACATTGTCAATGTGGAACGCAGCCTCCGCGAGGCACGGGAAGAGCTCAGATCCATGAAGGAGAATGGTGCACGAACCGGCAAGGACAACGAGCGATTGGGAACCGAGGTGAACGAGCTCCGCATGCAACTCGAGAAGGTCTCGTACGAGAGCAAGGAAGCGGCAATTACCATGGATGGCCTCCGGGAGGCCAATTCTGAGCTCACCGGCGAGCTTGATGAGGTGAAGCAGCAGCTTCTGGATGTTCGCATGCGAGCTAAGGAAACCACTGCGGCACTTGATGAGAAGGAAAAGAAGAAAACAGAAAAAATGGCCAAGATGATGGCTGGGTTCGACCTTGGTGGTGATGTGTTCTCCGACAACGAACGCAAACTACAAGATCTGATCCAACGCGTTGACTCCTTGCACCAGATCAGCGCAGAGGGCGAAACAATTGCCCCAGATGATATTCTCGAGCTCCGCACGAATCTACTTGAAGCACAAGGCTTTATTCGTCAGGCCGAGCTGACAGTGAATGATCGAAGCGACTTTGGCGAGCTGCAGGACAGCCGCCGCGCAGACCTGGAGAAGAAATTGGATGAACTTCAACAAGACTACGAGGGACTTCTGACCCGCAACCTTGCTGAAGGCGACGTTGAGGAGATTCGTGGACGCCTGGAGAAGGTTTACGCGACGAAGAAGGAGGCCGAAACTGCCGCAGCTGAGGATCTTCGCTCTGATATCTCGCGCAAGGATGAGGAGTTAACGAAGTTGCGCCAATCCCTTGTTGATACCCAGTCCCGCACGTCAACCAATGGCGCTGCCAGCAAGACTTTGCAGCAGCAAATCACCGAGTTCGATGCCATGAAGAAATCTCTCATGCGTGACTTGCAGAACCGCTGCGAGCGAGTGGTCGAGTTGGAGATTTCCCTGGATGATGCGCGAGAGCAGTATAACAACGTTCTTCGTTCCTCCAACAACCGCGCTCAGCAGAAGAAGATGGCCTTCTTGGAGCGCAACCTTGAGCAACTAACCCATGTTCAGCGCCAGCTTGTTGAGCAGAACAGTAGTCTCAAGAAGGAGGTGGCGATCGCTGAGCGCAAGTTGATTGCACGTAACGAGCGCATTGCCAGCTTGGAGGCCCTGCTCCAGGAGAGCCAAGAGAAACTGACCCAGGCCAACCACAGGTATGATTTTCTCCAGCTCTCAGATACTCGGTCACTTAAATGCTAACCGCTTTCATAGATTCGAAGCTCAGCTCACTGCCGTCAAGGAGCGCCTGGAGGCAGCCAAGCAAGGCTCCACCCGGGGCTTGCCCAGTATGGACGGCAATGCGAGTTTTAGTTTCGGGGGGTCGCGCATCGCGAAGCCGCTACGCGGCGGTGGCACCTCGGACGGGCCGGCGAACGCGAGTGTCGCGGGTGTACAATCGCAAGAGGCGACTGGCAAGCGCAGCAGCTGGTTCTTCGACCGTCGATGATCCCATCGCACCTTCGGAGAGCTGCTCGTCTCTTGCATTGCTCCTCTTGAGACTTGACGGATGCCTGCCATGTACTCCGGACGTCGTGCAATTCGTGCTCTTGTCATTAGCATTTGGCTGATCTTGATTCCACTTGATTCCCATTAACGCTGTCTCACGAGTTTCTTCTTATCCTCTTTTGATCTTTCTGGCAAGCTTTTTTCTTGTTCTGATGTGATTTTGACATACTCCTTCCCCCTTGTTTCTTTTTTTTTCGTTTTAGTACATTAGATCGCGCCCTGCATGCCGAGGACTGGAGGTTCTTGGATCTTCCTGATACCCGTGTACATCAATTCCAGATAGAATGCAGACAGGAGCTTGTAGGTAGTCTGCGAAGGGGCATTTGATGTGATTTGACATACTATATACGAGTTCAGTCCTGTCCTTCTGTTTCCCTTCTGATTTCCTCTTGTTTTCTAATTGCCCAAACAGGTTAGCATATCATGCTACGCATTTGGAAGGCTTTCGTTGCTCCCAGTCGACAAGATCTTCAATAGAAATCCTACTGCGTGCAAGCCAGCTGTAGCGAGAAACAAGACACCATATTTGCGTATCATAATAACCCCGCAAAAGTATTGAACTGAACAATGGTGTAGCAACGACAAGCCATTCGCGCTAGTACAGTACTCTCTCACTAGGTCATGGCCAAATCCAAATAGATACAACAGAACAGCTGCCACTCGCACAAGCGAGCCGCTTTGTGATATCATCTTCGCTTTGATTTAGGAATTGGACAAGTACAATTGTAGTTGTAGGCCGAACAGCCAAAGAGAAAACCGGAGTCGAAGTGTTTCGGTCAAACCATCTAACGAGTAATGTACTTCACTACAATATACAAAAGGCATAGGGGAATCCAAAAGAAATAACACAAACATGCACATTCGTGCCTTTCCATCTAAACCAATCCATCATAAAGCGACAGAGCACTGACAATGGTCTCGTCTCGTTTGCTGCCCTCCTTGAATTCCTCAATATCAAGACTTCCATTCTCGTCCTTGTCCATCATCCGGAAAATCTTCCGTACGCGCTTCTCCGGGGTGTCTTCATCTTCAGGGAGCTTCACCATTGATCCCACCTGCAAATCGGTCAGAAGAATTCTTCCGGATTGTATACACACTGCACATACCATTTTATAGATCGCCTCGACAATGGCCAGCATCTCGTCGTAAGTGATCTTTCCGTCTCCGTCGATATCGTACAACTGGAATGCCCAGTCTAGCTTATCCTCCATCTTGCCCCGCGACGTCACCGAAAGCGCGCAGATAAACTCTTTGAAATCAATCATGCCACTATTGTCGGAGTCGAACACGCGGAAGACATAATTTGCGAACGATGATGGGTCGCCGAAGGGAAAGAATTGTCGGTAGATCTTCTGGAACTCTTCCTTGGTCAGGGTGCCGGATGGGCAGTCCTTGAGGAAGCCTGGATAGCGCGTCCATAGTCAGCGATCGTTCCCCAAGCTTCAATACGCCTCAGAGTGGTTGCATGCCTTTGTACCATTGCTGTAGCTCCTTCTTATCGAAATGTGTGGCTCTTTGCAGCTCGTCGAGCTGCGTCGGCGAGAGCTTTGATTGACTGCAGGGCACGAGTCAGCGCATGGTTACATGCTGCAGCGCGTTCAAGTTCTCCAGCGGCCACACACAACCCACGCAAGAGGTATAACCTTTTGGTCTGAGATCTTGCTCTGGCGAGGGGGAAAAGCGCCGGTCTCCACTCATCCGTTCAGAGCCGCGGGAGGGGGCGACACAGGTGGCACTTACGACTTTCCCATGGTCAAAACTGAAATGCGGTATATTATGGCCCAAGAAAAGAGACGCTGCAAGTTCGGAAAGCGATGCGAAAACGAAAGCGGCGAAGATGGTGACGCGGGGTAGAAACGGGATGTGTGGCTGAGTCTTGGTGGCGTGGAGTCAACGTAAGGGGGAGACGCACAGTGGCGATTATCAGCGAGAGTATAGAGACAAGAGAGACAGAGACAGAGAGATAGAGAGAGTGAAGAGTAGATGATGAAAAGAGAGCAAAGAGGAAGAAGTTACAGATCGAAGTGGCGAGAAGAAGTCCAGAACATCCGGGGAGGCTTGGCACTTTATTCATTACTTATATACATCTCTACTTATACATTTAGTCCACCTTGATCGAGCCATAGATGCGATGAATAAATGCCCAACTGGCAAAGAAGCCGATAGAGCCTGAAAAGTCAGTGAAGCCCAATTGGAGACAGAAGGTGACTTACCAGTCAAGATGAACACGACGAAAGCGATCAGCGCCGAATAGCCAACATAAAGCACTGCCCCAGTCAATCCACCAAAGCTCACTCGAGTGGCCCAGAAGATGAGCGCATTCACAAAGACATAGCCTCCGGTCATACCGGCGCCCGCGAAGGCACGCCAGTGCCACCGATAGTTCTCTGCGCACAGCAGGAAGTATACCAGCAGAACAGTTGTGGCCGCGGAGGTAATGATCATCAGCCCGTAGCAAAGAAACAAGAATCCAAACATGTAGTAGATCTTGTTGGTCCAGAGGGAGGTCATGATGAAGTAGAGCTCGACAAATATCGCACCGAAGGGCAGAATTCCGGTCAGCAAAATCGACGGAATTGTGCGCAGGCTGCCAGCCATTGGAGGGACCTGACGAGGGATCTGGTTTGTCTTTGTAGGGCCTTCGATTGGCTGTAGAAGATGAAGTTAGTTGCAAAGAACATGGAATTGAAGAGGAATTAGATATACCGATTGCTTGAATCCGAGCCAGCTACCTGCCACACTCAATGGCACACTGATAACAAACCAGATCATGACGAGTGCAAGCATGGTTCCAAACGGCACAGCACCGCTGGAGCCCTTGGCCCAGACGAACAGATTGAGAATAAAGAAGCTACCGAAGATGATTCCGGGCGTAAAGAGAGGCGTCAAGATTATGTTGCGCCTCCATGCCTCGCCGCCAAACGCCTTGTATGCGCGTGCTGATACGTAGCCGCCAATGGAACCGAAGAGGGCGGAAATGAGGAGGATGGCAGTAGCCAGGAAACCACGGTTGGAGGGGGAAAGGAGGCCAAGGAGGGCGAATGCTACATAAGAAAGTCAGCATTAAGAGGGCAAAAAATAAGGGCCAAGATACATACCAACAGTGACACCGGTCATCATAAACAACTGAGCACCGTTACCCAGCATCACACTAAGGAGAAGCGGAGACTTAGGGCACCGGAAGACATCGCCATGAACCAATTTCCAGCCAGAATCCTCCTGGACTCCGTCCTCAATCGCAGCCGAGGTACCATCCAGATCCTCCAGGTTGAACGAATCCAGGCGGTTGTAGCGAGCAATGTCCTTCTTAAGTGCGCGGACAAGAATCATGCTGACCATGCCCACAAGGAACACCACAAAGACAGCCGAGTTGATGAGAGAAAACCAGTGAATCTTGGGGTCATAGACATGGAGGTATTTATCCCATCGGGTAGCCCAGGCAGTTGGCGATTCCTTCCAGTAAACACTGTATGTCCAGGTAACAGTTGTCTCGCCATCCTCATTCAGCGTGAGAACATCACCCTGAGTTCCGCACTCAGCAGTTCCATCATCCAAGTTCCGAGAGTTCTTGCGAGATTCAGGCTGGACAAGCACTCCAACAACGCGGTATTTATCCTTGCCACCGAAGCCCACCTTGTGGTAATCAATTACAATATCATAGTGGTTGTTAAGCAGGGCTTGTCCACTGTCATCGAGATCACCAAGGGAGAAACCAGGGTTGTAGAACTTGGTCTTGGTAACACCGTCGTAATTCCACTGCGCGGCCGGCAGTCCATCCACAAGCCAGTTGATTTTGTAGCCTTGGGAAATTCGTCGATTGGTAAATTTAGCGCTGCGGGCGTCGAATTTGGCCTCTGCACAAATCGATTTGCAGGTCTCGTTCTTTGCCATGTGGAGCTCGAATGGGGAGGTACGAATCCGGTCACCAAACAAAATGCTTCCCAATGATTCTCTTACATCTTTGGGGCCATCTGCAGGGCGACAAAATTGAAACGCTGGGTGGTAGTAATCGTAGGAGAAAACGGAATGTAGCTGGTCATCGCGCGAGAGACCGGGTGTCAAGTGGTTGACGTAGAGCGGAACTGACTGACCCTCATCGTAGGATGTTGGGGCGACACCGGGGAGGTAAAAGGCCGATGTGAATGAAGGAATTGCAAGTAGAACCGATGAGAGGAGCGAGGCCCGATCGGTAAACCGCATGGTGAGCGTTCTAAAGAATATGGGCGCCTTGTAAGTCAACCTCGAGGGTTTGTTTAAAAACGGGGATAGGAGTGGGGTTCGATGAATGGATGACAAAATACACACACTTATAGCTACCACGAAAAGAGAGAATCACGTTCTCATCCGTGGGAAATCCACCAAAGCAAGTGAGGAAGAAGAACGAGTTGACAGTTGACACCTGGACAGCTCCGGCAACGCCCTGTCACGTGACTGATAACGATAAGGACAAAAATTTCCCGCGAATTTATTGATCTTCGCATCTTCGCATCTTCAAATCTGCACAGCAATCATGACTTCTCAAGCGCCCTCGCGCCCTTTGAGTCTGGCTGCACTGCTTGAGACACTCAACACATGTCTATCGAACACACCCCCTTCTCTACCTAAGCCACACAAAGATGCGCCTACCGATGTCACGATTGAGCCTCCGCAGGATGGCATCTCCCTTCTCGACACCAAGAGCGAGATCCTGCTTTCGTACCTACACAACCTTGTCTTTCTGATTATTTTCCAATTGCGCCAAACCTCGAAGCAAGCCTTGAAAGAGAAGGCTCTATCGGCAGACGACTCCCTCGAGGATGATATTCGGAAGAAATTGATCGAGCTTCGGGTTTTTCTTGAGCGTGGTGTTCGCCCTCTTGAGGGGCGTCTGAAATACCAGGTGGACAAGGTCATTAAGGCCGCCGAGGATGCGGAACGATCTGAGAAGGCTCAGCCCACCAAGAAGAGCCGTAAGGCCGCGAAATCGGACAGTGAAGCCTCTGATGACGAAAGTGGTAGCGAGGAGGAAGACATCGATGAAATGGCGTATCGTCCCAACGTTTCTGCCTTCACCAAACAAGTCGCTGAGCAGAAGAAGGCCCAGCCCTCCAAGACAGCCGACGAGGGCCCTGGAGATGGTATTTACCGCCCCCCGAGGATCATGCCGACTTCTTTGCCTACCACCGAACGTCGCGAACGCCAGGACCGCAGACCTATTCGATCCAATGTCATTGACGAATTCGTCAGCGCCGAGATGTCTTCTGCGCCTATGGCTGAGCCCAGCATTGGGAGCACAATTATCGATGGTGGCCGAACTACCAAGTCCAGGAAAGACCGCGAGCGCGAAGCTGAACGCACGACCTACGAAGAGACCAACTTTGTTCGTCTGCCGAAGGAGACTAAGAAGGACTTGGCCAAACGCGGTCGTGGAAAGGATACCACATTTGGAGGTGATGAATGGAAGGGTCTTAATGAAGGCGCGGATCATATTGAGCGCCTTACTCGAAGAGCCAAAGGCAGCGGTGCTGCGTTGGAGAAGAGCCGTAAACGAAAGACCAACGAGGATGGCCAACGGGGTGATGGCGTGGGCATGGGCCAGATCTTCGATAAGCGACGAAAGAAGGTCGACAGCTGGAAGCGGTAATTTGTCGCTCATATGGCGAGCAATTTCCAAGTTCAAAAAGGCGTTTCTTGTGGATGATGTTGACCATTATCGGAGTTTCTTTTGGTTGAAAGGTCGGTCTTGACCAACTACATACCTGTATCCATCTTATATGACACCCTGTGAAGCATATGCCATATCTACCTATGCACTCGCATCTTGCATGCAATATAGATAGCTTAGTAGGTGAGGGGAGATAGGCGTTTGACTTATTGAGGGAAGTCAGAATAACTACCCTCACCATTGACATTACTTGCGGTTTCAAACTTGCTTGCTAGGTCTCATTATAGCAGTTCAAGTACATTTCTGCTCATTTCCGACATTAGAACAATTTGAGAGCGCTGTTCATCCACTTATGGCCACATTCTAGAGGCCATCTTATTGGGATGTCACCCTCAATCTGAGACTGTTAATTACATTCAACTAGAGTCTGATTAGTTTTTCCATGCAGGTCCTATATTTGTACCATTCACCTCACAGGACTCTCCTGCTGTTCGTTTCTGTTTTCCGTGGTCGTCCCTGAAGACCCATTCGCCCTTTTATTGGTGACGGAGTCACCACCATGCATTCATTCGTTCCATTTCTTTTCGCGGCACCCGTTGATCCCAGCTGCACTAGGGATCCCAGTATCCGACTCTTCCATTGAACGCCGAGATTTCCCTATTTTGAGTGGCTTAATCCACACTGCGAGAGGCTTGATATATCTTGGTCAAGGCATCGTCCAGGAGCTTGCGCTGCTCGAAGCGAGTCTCCAGAAAGTAGTAGATGGCAAAACAGATCCTGTCCAGAATCTGGACAGGGCACTCTCGTCGCTTGCTGCTACTCCAAACGCCAGTGACTATAACGCTATCGAAATAGCCATTTACATAGTGTCAAAAGGGTTGGTACCTGCGAACATATTCAACATCATCCACGGTATCACGGCCCAAGATATCAATTCGGTCCACAACCAGTACTTTTAGTTCCAGGTACTGCTGATCCAGCGGGATCTACTACTATTTCAGCTATGAGAAGTTGCTTGCAGCAAGCGACTTTGCAGACCCAGTTTGGGTAAATATCCCAGGCAATTCTCCTGGAGACGTTCAGACCAATGCAGAGTATGTCGCCTATGCAATCAATTATATCTCGGGGATTCCAAACAACTCCAAGATCGGCGCGATCTGTTGGTCCCAGGGTGGATTGGATTTTCAATGAGCGCTGAAACATTGGCCGTCTACTAGGGAAGCCCTTGAGGATTTCATGACGATCAGTGCTGATTTTCATGGGACTCTAGCTGAATTGCCCTGTATAGTCCCTAGCTCATTATGCACTCCGGCTCTCAAGCAGCAAAGATATGAAACCAAATTTATCCAAACTCTTCGTGCCGATGATGGAGATTCCACGTATGTGCCAACAAATGGTGTCTATTCTGGCGTTGATGACGTTGTGCAGCCTGAAAATGGCCCAAATGTCTCAGCGATTCTCCATGACGCTCGAAATGTGGGCGTGACAAACGCGCAAATTCAACTTGCGTGCCCTGGAGAGCCTGCTGGGGGGTTCTATCTTCACGAGACGACGCTGGTCAACCCAATTGCTTATGCCTTGTTTGTGGACGCCTTGACTCACGACGGCTCAGGTGATCTATCCCGCATTGATCTTAATACTCTTGCGACCAGCTAGTTTCTCCAGGATTTTGCTTGGAGGACCTTTTGGGCACCGAGGCCATGGCATTCATCCTCGGTGTAGTTAACACATTATCTTCTGGATATATGGGAAACACCGATACACATGTGAAGGCATATGCCCAAAGCTAGGAAAACAGGAATAGCACAGCCGGGGGTCCTTTATACGATCAGATTGATTCGCCCGAAGCATTCGACGATGGGCCAAAAGAGGCGTAAAAAAAAAAACAGAAAGGCCAAGTTAGGCCAATGTATACGAGAAATTTCTTATAATCTCATGATTCAATGAGCCAACAATTCAACTATAAGAAGCGCTACATAAAATAGAAAACCTCATAACTTGGTTAGATGGCCCATTCACATGTGAGCGGACATGATGTCATAGCTTTTGATATCTTGCTCGGCTCGTTTCATCACTCTGCAACACCCTTACACCACAATGGAGAACCCAGGTATGTTACAGGTGTGCTTTTTATTGTGGCCGAAATAACATTATCTACAGTTGCCGAGATTTCAACAGTCATCCGTCTGTTGACGCAGTCGCCGCCGTCTCTACAGGAGACCGTCCTGGAGCGGTTTTTCACCAACAATGCATCTTTTGTCCATCCCTTTTGTCGAGTTCCCAGCTTCCATGGGAGCCGATGGTGGGTTGCAAAGATATTTCAGTGGTACAAGATTATGTCGCCCCGAATCGAGTTGGAGGTCCATTCTATCGGTATGTCACAATGCGACGGTGCTAGACGAGGAAAGACTGACGTCTGTATAGCATTCGATGAGGAACATCTGAAGCTTTATGTGAACATGTCCCAAATATTCTCTATCTGGGTTGTTCCTTTCCATGTTGCTACAGCCACCCTCACCACGGTCTTGGATTTGACTGTTGATTCACCCAAGAGTGATGCCACAACCAATGGTGACCACAGTCTTTATTACATCACCAAGCAAGAAGATCTGTACCAAACCTCAGAGTTTATCAAGTTCCTCATGCCACACATTGGACACTGGCTCGTGTTTGGCTGGCACCTCGTTGCAACACTGTTCTGTGTTCTTGGTGTCACGTTACTCTGGCCCATTCTGTGGCTGGAAGAAAAGCGTTATATCCCAGGTCACTTTTTACGAGGGGGAAACTTGGCTTACAACATGGATAAGAAAATATCGGAGATAAAAGAGTAATGATATCAAGTATAGCTTTCAAATACAGTATCGCACGGTTGCTTTTAATGGCTCCTTGTTACTTAGTATGTGTACTGGGCCTGCTTTGCCTCGTTATAAATGCATTGAGGTTTGTTTTTCATTCAACATAAATAAAAGTCTAATACCTGGCTCCATCGCTTCAGTGCCTTTGCTCCACATAAATTCAAAGAAATTCTTGCTATGTCATTCGCCACATGTCTCCTTGCCCAAGTTCAATGGGCCTTATTATTCTTTGGCTTGCGTTGCTTCTTCAGCTCCCGGCGGAAGGCGTTCTCCTGCTCGACGACCATCAATGGTAAACCACGGCCGATTCCGAAGAACACAAACAACGCCCACTTCCAACGGAATGGGTTGATGACCAAAACAAAGAGGTACCAGTAAATCAGTTCAGCGTAGGTAAAGAACTCAAAGGCTCCCGTGGGTGCCAGACGCTTCATGAACCGTGTGAAATCAATCCAGGTCTTCATCCAAGCCTCAGTGGGACGGGTCAATGGGTCAGTCAGGAACATGAGCAAGAATCGCGTGTAGATTCCGATATGCATGTTGCCAACTGTGCCAATGGCATCAACATAGGTGCTGTTGTTTGCGCAGATGTCCGGGTATTTGGGTGGGAAGACTTGGAGATACCAGCTGGGTGGGCCGTACGGTTCTTCGAAAACCTCCTCCGGCAAGAAGTTCAATGAAGGTCGTTTGAAACCAGTCGCCATGACAATAATGTCACCTTCAACCAGGCGCTCCTTGCCAGGGCCTCCCTTGGGCACACCCTTGGATCGGAAGTTGAAAGTCACACCCTTCTCTTCCACTGAAACAATATCGCCGCGCAGCCAGTGCGCCTTGCCCTCTCGAATCTGGTCAAATAGCTCGGAATTGGCCATGGGAGTCTGCGTGAAGATTCCCTTTTCAGTGGGCGCAATGTCTTGAAGGTCCCGGTAGAAGAACTTGCGCAGCAACCATTCGGGAATCCATGAGAGAGAAATCTCCTGGCCAAAGATGTTGCAAGCAAGCAGGGATTGCACAAGGACGTTTCGAGGGATGATCCATTTGTCTGACCGAGACAAGACATCGATTTCAGCGGCACCGTTCTTGACTGCAAATTCCAGTGCCTCGATGGCGCTGGCGCCACCGCCAACAATCAACACCTTCTTTCCCTTGGCACTCTTGCCATCAAGATTTGATGAATGGTAGATTTCTCCCTTGAAGTTGTCTTGGTTGGGCAGTGGAGGCATCTTGGGATCTCCACACACGCCTACTGTAGCCAAGATACCGTCGAAGACGCCATACTGGGCCTCATCATCGTTAATGATCCATTTGCCATGCTTGTTCTTTTTCACGGAGGTCACAGGGGTCTTGAAGGCGGTACGCCGCTCCAAGTCATAGTGTTCCCAGACCTTGATAATCTGTTCCTTGATCTGCTGCTGAGAAGGATATGCGCTGTCAAAGTGGACAGATGGGTGGAACCGGTACATCAGACTGTGGACTTGCAATGCAGAGGTTGAGTTGACTCTCTGAAGCTTGTTAGTTGAAGTCCCATTCCATTGAACGGGGCGATTCTTACACTCCAGATGCCTCCGAGTCCTTGTTCCTTGGGTCGTGATTCAAACATTTGCACATCGAAGCCGTGGCCCACACAATGGGCAGCAGAGGACACTCCAGTAAGTCCAGCACCAATGACTGCAACCCTCTTCCGAGGGATGTTGGCGTTCTGAGAAGTCGGGGGTGGGGGAACGGGGGAAAAGATATAGACCAGAACTGCCTGCAGAGCCATGTAGAACCAACTGAAGGTTTCCACAAATGGATGCCGGATCAGCGCCAGTATAAACGACTCATCGCTAGAGGCCGCCATGTTTGAAAATAAGAAGAGAAATGGAGGAGGGAGAGAGAATATTTATGTGACGTGTGGCTTTCATGTGAAGGCATGACATCATGTCGGAAGATTCCAAGAATTTCATACTTCGATCATCAGGGCTGTTTGGTCTATCCACATGCTTCATTCGCCATTATTTGCTTCTTCGGGCTCCAGAATCCACTGATATACCCCTCGGGATGCTGTCGCAAGAGTCAATTCGCAGAAGACTACAAACTAGGCATTTCAGGTTGTAAATGGGACCTTGGGCAAGCTACGCAGCTCTAATGTGTTACTTTCACATGCTATTAGCTCGAAAGATACACGTCAGCTCGACTGACACTCAATTCAAACTGTAACAGAGGACCAGCTGGTCTTCCCGGAAATAACCTAAGACATCTCGTGGTCTAATATAGTACATTATATGTTGATCTATAGTACGTGAATATCAAAACCGCAATTGATAGGTGATACGAGGAGATGTCCTTAGTATTATCATGCCACTACAAAAAGTAGAGGACAAAAAAGAATATTCATGGAGCTAAATTGTCCAATGGCCTTGGTAAATTGCGTAGAACCCAGCTTCAAACATCTCATGGCCACATACAAACCCCAGGCGGTCAGCCTCGTTCTGCCGCAATAATGCTAGGCCCGTCTTTCACCTAGACTCTTTCTTGCCAACTTCCCAAACGCCATGATCTTTCATTATTGAATTTTTCCGACTGCTGCGACACACAGCCTGAGCGCTCAGTACCTTCTCTCACCATGGGTCCAACCCCTGTTCTTGACCAATTCCTCGGCAGCCTGGGGGAGTTGGTCCAGAATCGCGACGGTGCTAAGGTGCAGGACTTCCTTCAGATCGAGCCACCGCTATCGGAAATTTACGAGCGCATGATTGAGGAGCTACGAGGCAACTTCACCCCAGGTCCCCAATCCGATGCCGAGCTTCTCCAACGATGTGAACGTCTCGTGCCGCGATCCAAGGGTAGCTCCTCGTGGTCCGCCTTTCCGACCTTTCTCAAGCTCTACCTGACCTTTTTGCGTGATGTCAAGACCGAAAACTTGCTGGAGACATACAACTTGTTGAAAGCATTGCTTAAGTAGGTTCCCCCCCATAGAAGTCTACTGCACGCGCAGCAACATACCCCGCGATAATGCTACTGAAGACTAACTTGATTCTTTACAACTTTAGCCAATGCGTGCTCGCTCTTGGAGATAGCCAGATGGGGGTCGTTGTTCTTCCTACTGTTCTATACTTATCGAAGGTCCTAGCAAAATTAGCAATGGGTCTCGATCGTCGACCGGACTTGATTGCGCATATCCTACGAATGGAAGGACAGTCAGACCAAGATGATACAATCGAGAAAGTTACTTTGGTGGAAAAATCCGCCAACGTCGTGCGCGAAGCCTTTATAAAGTGCCTCACTGACCGCACTGGCACTCCTGGCCCGCATGGCAAGCCAGAGGGAAAACGGATCGGTATTTATCTCATGGCCAACTTGTGCCTGAAACTCCTCTTTCAGGTATGCAGCCTTCTTGGCTCTTTCTACCGAAGCTCATTATTGATGAAAAACAGTGCGGCAAGCTTCGCAATGCTGAGCAGATGTTCGCGAGTATCACCGCCCAATCGCCCCCTTTGGCCTACTTCCCTGCTTCACAGCGTGTTACCTACCTCTACTACCTCGGTCGTTACCTCTTTGCCAACAATCTCTTTTTCCCCGCCCAAACAGCCCTGCAGGCTGCCTATGACCAATGCCACCGCCAGGCCACAAGCCAACGACACCTCATCCTCACTTATCTGATACCATGCAACATCATCCTGGGCCGTTTCCCATCCCGGGCGCTTTTACAAAGACCGGAGGCACAAAGTCTTGCAGAACAATTTGGACCTCTATGTCGATTGATCACCCGAGGAGATTACCTTGCCTTTCGACAGCATCTCTCCCTCAGCTCACCAACTGCTGAATGGTTTGCCCGCAAAGGAATTTTACTCACTCTTCGCAATCGGTGCGAGATTTTGGTATGGCGCTCTTTTGCGCGCAAAGTTTTTATCAACGGAGGTTTCCATGGAGATCCGCAGGCGCAGGCGCAACGCGGACCACCCCCGTACCTCTATCTCAACAAGGCCATTGTAGCAACGCGATGGCTCCAATCACAACATGGTCACCCAGAGAGTGGCTCGACCGGTGCCACAGCTCTCGACAGATATGGTTCGCAGATCATTCTTGAACCCACAGATTCCGAGTACGCCGGCCTGTCAGGGGGTGTTGAGACTACTGGTCCCCAGGATAGCGAAATTCTCGCAGAATATGGCGACTACATTGCCCCGGGGGGGGTTTTATAATGATGAAGGGCACTGGCAGCTCAGTGAAACCGGTCAACTGGTGGATGGCGAGCCATATGATGATTATGCCGACTGCGACGTGTATCCATACTCCGACGAACCCCAAGACAGCAAACATTCACATATACCGTCTCCTCTGATGCGGGAAATCGAGTCAATCTTTGCATCTCTCCTGACACAAGGTCTAATGCGCGGATACCTCACCCACCGCAACCCTCGATTCGCCATTCCGGGTGCCCGACTCCGAGGCGCCTTGCCTACAGGTTTCCCGAATGTTTGGCAGACCATATTCACGCATGAGAGCGAAGATCCTAGCGTCCCTGGCTGGGTCCAGCCTCCACCTACAGGGTTCAACGCGCCTAGGGCAAATGGCGCAGCTGGAGGAGCTGGAGCAGGGGGAGGTGGCCGGGTGGTCAATCTCTCAGGGGCCCGCCCAGTTGGAGTTCAATAATGAGTTTATGATACCAGCATTATTTCAAGCGATTCCAATTTATCTGTTCTATGTATTCTATTCATTATATACCCATCTCTATCATATTATGGTCTACACATAGTGGACAGCCCTAACCGTATACGTTTCTTATCGATAACGACTTCGCGGGGAAATCGAGCTGCCTGATTTCTCCAACTCCAACTCCCTTGCATTGTACATCCAAGATCTGCATTTTGCATTTACATTGCCTCATGACTCATTCTGAAGCTGTACAGCAGATATCCGCGCGGGTGGCTGAATTCCACCGCCGTCAACAGCCCTTTCGCATTTACCATGGCGCAACCAATAGCACGCGGCCCTCCAATCACTCCGCATCCAACACGGTCAGCACAGCAGATCTCACCAATGTCTTGCAGATCGATGCAGACAGCTGCACGGCACTGGTCGAGCCCAATGTCCCCATGGATGCCCTTGTGAAAGCCACCCGAACTATGGGCCTGGTCCCTCTCGTCGTAATGGAATTTCCGGGCATCACGGTCGGAGGCGGATTCTCCGGAACCTCGGGTGAGAGCAGCTCTTTTCGGGAGGGGTTCTTCGATAATACGGTCAATTGGATTGAAATGGTTCTTGCTGATGGCCAGGTGGTCAAGGCCTACAATGACCGCGTCGAATTGAAGGATTATGTCGAGGACAAACGATCGGACTTATTCTGGGGCGCTGCATCTTCCTTTGGTACTCTCGGAGTGGTCACGTTGTTGGAGGTTCGATTAAAAAAGGCGGAGCCCTTGGTTGAATTGAAGTACTACGTCAGTTCAAACATGAAAGATGCATTGCGCGACTTCGAAGAGGCTCGGGCTGATCCGGAGACTGAATATCTCGATGGCATCGTTTACTCAAAGAACAAGATTGTTGTTTGCGCTGGACGACAAGTGAGCAAAAGTCCCAATTCAATCATCCATCAGTTTACTCGTCGACAAGATAATTGGTTTTATTTGCACGTCGAAAGGATGACCAAATCTCTCACCAATCATGCTGGTTCTCACACTCCAGATTCAGTAAACTATATTCCTCTAACAGACTACCTCTTCCGCTATGACCGGGGAGGCTTCTGGGTTGCCCGTTACGCTTTCCGCTACTTCTGTGTGCCTTTCACCTCACTTACGCGCTGGTTCCTCAATAGGTTCATGTACACCCGGGTGATGTACCACGCTTTGCATGTCAGTGGCCTCGCACGCCAGTATGTTATTCAAGATGTCGGTGTACCAGTGTCCACCGCCTCCGAGTTCCTCGACTGGCTGGACCATCCAGAGAACTTCGGGCAATACCCTATCTGGCTCTGTCCACTACCCCCTGGGAGCGCCGGTGGATTGGAAGGACAGACGATGAGGGACAGCAAAGCATATAACTCGGAACCAGGGAGCAAAACTCTGATGAACTTCGGAATCTGGGGACCATCAACCGCCACGGGACAAGCCGAATTTGTGGCTCAAAACCGGCAGCTCGAACACAAGGTTCATAGCCTTGGGGGAAAGAAATGGCTCTATGCACACACTTACTATACAGAGGCAGAGTTCTGGTACATATACAACAGGAAGGACTACGATGCTTTGCGTGAGAAGTACCACGCACAGCATCTTCCCACTCTGTATGATAAGGTACGTGTGCGCGAATCGGATCTCCCGGGTGCGCATCGCGGAGAGTTCGAAAGTGGATGGAAAGGAATGGTGAAACGGGCTTTATGGGATGTCTGGCCATTCAGTGGATTGTATGGCGTCTACAAAGCCTGGAGAGGAGGAGACTATCTATTGCACAAGGATGTTCCTAAGAAGAAGGCCAACTAAACCAAAGCCTGGCCAAACAGCACATATAGAAAACAGGGTATCCATGCATCCCATCTCGTTAGTCGCAAAAAAACGCCGAAAGGCCTGATCCAGTGCATATGCAAGATGCAAGATAGTGAAAGCACGCAGTTTATACCAAATGTGAAAAGAAAAAAAAACCCGAAAATGAAATTTCCAAAAGGAACGCCGAGGGCGTGTCTATTCCTCCACAATTCGTCCCTCCAGTCGAGGAGAGATACCTGATGTCCAGGCTGGAGTGAACTCGCCTTCACCATCCATGGTATTTAACGTTGTAGGTTGAAGTCCTGCATGCCGCATCCACTTCCGGACAACTCGCCGCGCAATTTGCAAGCGGTGCTCTTCGTCGGCGGAGGACTGCGCAGGCAAGGTAACGTAGTTCGTGAATGGTTGCGATGAGGTCAGGATATCGGGATCCTCATCGGAATCAGAGTCCATGGCATCGCCATTGGTCTCATTCCCAGTGAGACCCTTGCTATCCTGTCCAAGCTCTTCAGGGAATCGACCGTAATAGTATGCTGCCCGGGTTGTCCGCTTAAGAGCAGGTCGTGACCCTAGTTTCTTGACCGGGGGCTTCTCGGTCTTGGGAGATGTCGCGGCGGATGGCGGTTTCAGCCATCCGTCACCGTGCAGGTTACGATGAACAGTACCCCAGTGCCGGCGCAAACTGGCACTCCAACGATTCCACTTACCGAGCACCTTCAGACTTAAGAAATATTGGCGTAGAATAGTGCTAATGAGAACACCGTTTTCCTCGTCAACAAGCTCCTCGACCTCACCTCCTTCCGACTGGACGAGTAATGAAGAGAATCCGTCTTTGCCTCGCGCCATGTATCCACGAGTCGCAAGGACATAATCACGCTGCAGATCAATGGGCTCACCACCGACACGCGCGAATGTGATGCGTGACCCCGCAGGCGCTGTGAGCTTGAACCCATAGCTAATATTCGACACTTGCGAAAACCGGCCCTCGAGTGCAGGGAGTTGGCTAACTCCATTCTCAAGTGCATTCAGCAATGCCTGTCCACTAAGGCGAAGCAGCACAACGGGATCCTCGAAAGGGAAACAATTCAACAGATCTTTAAGCTTCAAAATCCCGGGTGGATAGATTTGATCGCCGCGAATGGTGCCACCAGCCATCATGGCACAGTCGGCGGCGTAGTAGAAGCGCATTAAGTCACAAACAAAGTTTCCCAAATTAGATTCACGCTGGCGCACAGTAGAGAAACGGCCATCGAGCGGACTAACAGTAAATCCAATTGGCTTGTCCAATTTGGCCTTGAGGCTGGATGTGAGCCGGGCCACCAATGTCACCGTGTCAGGGTCCTCAGGAATCGAGCGAACTACATCTCGTCGAGTGATGTTGAAGTCCCACCTAGTTCCGCCAGGTTTGCGGAAAGCCTCAATATAGCTTAATTGTTTGAAATCAGTCCCTGATCGCAAGACATGGATTCCGTTGATAACGGAATGCGCATAAAAATGGTCGTGCCCCCCGAGGATGATATCAACAGAATCAGGCGATAAATTGTTGGCTAATTTATGATCGTTTGGTTCGCGTTGATGAGTAACCGCGACGACAAGGTCTGCTCCTTGCTCTCGGAGTTGCTTCGCAAGTATTCGAGCTGTTTCAGATGCGGATTTGTAAATCAAATCAGGCGGAAGTGCGTTAATTGTGCTAAGCCTAACAGTTGTGTTAACGGAATACGCTGAGAATGTATGGTTTGAAATGCATACCATTCTCTCTCTCCTAGACCCAACACACCAACCTTGATCCCGTTCGATGATGTCAATATGCGGGTCTTAGCACAGTCGGCGATTGGAACATCGTCTCCCAATGCCGGGTCAAGGACATTTGCCAAGAGCCACGGGAAATGACATTGACTCGCAAGATGCCGAAACTGGGCGACTCCAAAATCAAGGTCATGATTCTGGATGAATTAGCGGTGTACATGTCAGGCGGGTTGTTGGTTGTCATACTCACACCCACACACGCCACATCGGTGCCCACTGTGTTGAGGAATGGCACCATATGTCTGCCTTTTGTAATCGTGCTCTCGATACTCGGATTGAATGCATCGCCGGAGAAGAAGGTGAGGATATCGGGATGCCCGGCGAAATGCGGATGCGATCGGTAGTAGTTCACGAGGGATTGAAATCGAGATATTCCGCCAATAGGCTCTGCAGAGCCAGCCCTATGTGTACTATGTTAGTATAAGTCCATTCAAGGCAGTGTGGCGAGCTGGGCGAGAGAGGCGCATACTCGACGTGATAAACATCATTGTAGTGGATCAGCCGTAGATCCGGGGATCCAGTTCGATCTGAACAGTAAGTGACGGAGTGACCGTCTGTGTCGAGGTTTGCCATGTGAAACCTAATAAGTCTAAGAAAAACGTCAAGCAAGATACGGAGAATGAATACGGAGGAGAGGAGAAGGAGGGACACAATGAGGGGAACCGCCACCCGAGTACCTGGGTGCCTGAGTGCCTTGGATTTGTTGCCCGAAGATTGGGGTGTCAATGTTAACTAATGTTAGAGCTATAATGAAACCCAAAAAAAAAAAAAACAAAAAATAACAAAACGCCCACCATGCATAGAGGTATCCTAGAATTTAAACATAACTTCATAACTTCTGCTCCGTCACTGTCCATCGTCGCTTAGATCCACCCTCGCGATCCTCCAACGATTGCGCGCTTCCCCATAAACCACGTTGCGACAGCGTCCGTTGCGGTAACTGTTTTGTCCAGCTATCCACAGGCTTCTCAGGAGGCGCTGAATCTTGGCTAACTGGGCGGTCGCCAAAGTTTGGTACAAAGTCGTCGTCTGTGTCGTCGACCTTGTCGACCTTGTCAGTGTTTTCAGACTTTTCAGTCTTTTCGGTCTTTTCAGGAGACATGGAACCCCAGAGGCCAGAGGCACTGCGAGGGTTAGTAGACGAGCGCATGGCCAGCGTCCAGCCACGAGGGCTCGTAATGGAATTCGGTGGTGCTTCAGTTGTCAATGGGCCCTGTAGGAGCGATGGACGAGAAGTAAGTCGATTTCGATAGGACGAGACCGGAGCTGATGGAACAGGCTGTGGCACAGAGGAAGATGCCAGCGAGGTGAGTTGTGAGGGGTTGATTCCTGGCCGCAGATGATCAGTGGACGCCACAAGCTGCAGGGAGTATTCCCGTGAGACCGATTGGCTCCCCTGACGCTGCGGAGAATTACGCGCATCCTCCGGGGCGGGGCTCTTGATGCGGTTGCGTCGTACAGCCATCGTGAGTGAAGCCGTGTTGATATCGAGGAGGACCGAGTGACCAGTCAACGCGCTGATCAATGCATTACAGTCTGCGCCATGTGTGATTATAACGAGGACCGTTTGCGCATCACGGTCGGCGCTGGCGCCATTCGAGGTGGTCCCAGACCTTCGGTCAGATGATCCCTGCGCTCGGTACCAGTTCACCATGTGCTGGAAGCCATCATGCACACGTTCATGCATGGTGCTCCACTCTTCGCCATATTCACCTCCAGTTCCCCAGTAGGGTGTGCGCAAGCTGTCCCATTGGTAATCAATTTTCGTGCATGCGTTCCGTGCATGGGCAACATAACCAACAGGGATGGGGTCGGAAGAAGAGACCGCGTAACTGGGTGTGGGAGGTACATAGAACGCATCTAGAATAGGGGGTAGGTCCGTATTCAAACGGTCCAGGGACTTCTTTGCGTTCTTGGCATGGACCAAATTTTGCTGGGTATCATAGGTACTTGCACGTTGTCGCAGACCGGGTTGGGTAGTTTTAGAATGCAGACCCTCCTCTTCCTCGGTTGTGGGTGAACTGGGATGGGATTGACTGCCCCAGCCACCGGGAAAATGACCTGACAAGGCTCTCGCCGACCCGTCTGCAACAGGGATGACTTCGGCACGACGCAGCAGTTCCGCTTTGGCAGACGCCACCATTCTATCCGAGCTAGGAGGTGGGGTAATCTGGTCAAAGTAGTCTGGTGACAGCCATTCTCCCAAGAATGCATCCACCCGAAGCAGACATCGCGGGTCGGGGTTTGACGAGACTGCGACTGGCGAAGGGCTTGACTCATTTGTCTCAGCAGGATGTGAGCTGATACCCGCACTGACACCAATGGCAGTTTGAAGACATCGCAGATATGGAGAGGTATGGACAATGACGTTATATCGGCCGTGCAGGTCCGATGCGGGGGCGGGTTTTAGGCTGGCCTGATCATCTAAGGCCGGATTATGCTGGTCTTTCGGCTCTTCTCCAGTGAATTTCCGGGCTCTCAGTAGACTTCCGATCCGTACACCCAGGGCGCGAGCTTGCATCCACCCACCGTAGGAGAGAGGGGGGTCGTAAGGCGTAGGCGAGGTAAGATGCCAGTCTTTGTCTGCAGCATCAAGGCGGGCGCCATGTCTTCAGCCCAGTTAGCAGCGCAAATTTTATGCACGGGAAGAAAAAAACTTACCTGGCTATGAACACAATTGGTGGTGATTTTGTCATCGAGTCAAGATGTAGACTTGGAACCCGCGGCAACTTTTTCCCCTAGGAATGTTAGGTTATCAGCAAAAGCCGAGCCACGAAAACAAGAAGTGAGAATGAAATTTAGAGAACGCGCGCCATGACCAACCAAGGCATCATGGCGACCATAAAATGAAAGCTGGAAAGTGAAGGAGAAAAGGACGGAGAAATTCATGCCAATGTCCGGGCATGTGATTGGCTTATGTAACCACCTCTTTGTATGAAATCTTCTAAGGTTGAAATCAGTTGATACTCACATTTGGTTGCAGTTGGAGGCCATAGCACAGCTTAATTTGTTTTGAATCTACTATTGTTCAATATTCTGGCCTTTTTTTTTGACCAATACCACCTTCGAGGCAATTGCAATTGCAGAAGCGCGTTTAGAATCTGCCTTGGATTTCTTTATTCACCTGTAAATGTTAGTGAATGACTCTAACCAGTCACTCAGTTGCTTCTCACCTGAGTAATGCCCAGTGCTTTGTAGTTCTCTGTAGTTCACTGCTGAATTAAGCTTAATGTCAACCGTCGGATGCGGACCCGACGGAAGTTAAGCTCGGGATCCACTCTAGATCTGATAAAGAGACCTTCTTGCCATGTTTTTGTAGCTTCTTTACTCACTCGATCTTGTCTTCTTTTTGAAAATGAGCTGCTCTAATTCATCCCATGACCAAGTCGACCACATTAGTCCAGAAAAGTCACCAACACATGGAAATGGCGAAGCTTTAACACGCCTTGAGACTTCGCAATCTCGAATATCGCCACCGGATTCGCTGCTACGGGAGGTCAGTTTTGTAGCTGTGGTGTGTATGGCCCAATTCATGACCCAGGACGGCCTCTGTCTCTGTATGTCTATTGCTCCAGTACATATAATCAGCCATAGCTTTGGCACCACAAATTCCGCGAATCTGAGCTGGTTTGCGGCTGCTTATAGCTTGAGCGTCGGTACGTTCATCTTGGTGGCCGGCCGACTGGGGGATTTTTATGGCCATCGTCGCATGTTCGTGCTTGGCTTCTGTTGGTTTAGCCTGTGGTCCTTGTTGGCTGGCTTCAGCGTCTGGTCAACCCAAATCTTCCGTGCTCTCTAGGGAATTGGACCGGCCATACTGCTTCCTAATGCTATTGCGATTCTAAGACGTACATATCCCCGGGCTTGCGGAAGGAAATGATCTTCAGCCTGTTCGGCGCTACCGCTCCTGGGGGATTCATTGTGGGAGGTGTCATTTCATCCATCTTTGCTCAGCTTGTCTGGTGGCCCTGGGCATATTGGGTGATGGCAATCGTGTGTGCCATGCTAGCCTTGATCGGGAGGCTAGCGATTCCCGACAGTCCTCGGCCACATTTTCATGACGATCTTCGTTTCTGGCAACGCCTTGATCTCCTCGGAGCCGCTGTAGGTATCTCCGGCCTCGTGCTGATCAACTTTGCCTGGAATCAGGCCGCCCTTGTGGGCTGGAACACCCCTTATACTTATGTGCTTCTCATTGTGGTGTATTCAAATGTACATTTCTGATTCATCACAATGCTTGTAATAGCGTCAAATTATCTTGTTACAGCTTCAAGTGCTTCTCGGGTCATCGTTTTCTCGACGCGACTAGAACATCTGACTTTGCGCCTCCGGAATGTTGATCGAAGGACAAGGGATGCGCGTCACCGGGCAAGGAAATCCATGTTGCATTCCATTGACGTCGGCGTTGACACTGCACCTGTCAGAGTCTTTTTTTACAATAAAATGAGTTTCCCTTCAGGATTGTGGTGGCGAGAGAAGTTTGAGATTGACAACTATTTCACCACGACAGGCAACTTTTGTGATAATCTCTTTGTTTAACTTGTTGAAGTACCAATTGTGACGTTGGAACTGCGAAATTCTGACGACAAAGGACCTGATTAAAACGCGTCTCGCCTATATAAAATCATCCTCCATGGTTCAATCTGAACAAGAACCCTCTCACCAACGATCAATTATCCAAGCCAAGTCCAATTAGGCTGATTTCAACTTTTGAAGCAAGCCACTTCTTATCCAATATCTATCATGCGTCTTGGATTGGGCATTGCCCTTTTCATAGGGGTCACCATTGCTATTCCCTATGTTGGTGTCCAGGAAGTACGTCTCATCTACCCTGATCGTTTACGCTTGACTTGCTGACTTCTATTCTTGCAGTACCAAGAAGTATGCATATGACAATAATCACATACCAATTATATACAGCCTGACCCCTTTTAGGATATGCAACAGCCCGCGAGTTCATCCGCATCCACATCCGCATCCATGTTGATGCCGATGAAAAGGGCGACATCTACCGCTCAGGCCACCCCTTCGGCTTCAGTAGAAGCCCAGAAACGAATGCTTCCGTATGAATATGAACTCCTGTAAGAGGAGACCAGAAGCTTATAGATTTACAACAGGTTTTGAAGGCAGAATGTATATCGTGGGAAGCTGAAGGCTTGATGGTTATTTGAGCTGCTCACTGTCACTCCAATGCAATGAATTATGCGATATACGCGGGTATGGATATGTTCTTAGTTGAGGCCAGAGACGCTCTATTGGGACACATTCATTTATCATTTACTGAGGTCGCCCGGAGGACGGACTCTACCAAACTCAGACAAGGCGCTGGATGTCTCGCTTCTCCAAGATTTGCAAGGATTCCCCAATTACAGAATCATAGTGAACCATATATACGGTCCGACTGACATGTTGCGGTGGTCATAAGAAGCGAACCGACCAAAACGATCACTTGGACCTGAAAAGTCCAATGGTCAAGCAGTATTTTATTTAAATGTAGAAGGAGAGTAGAGGATGCAAGGCCTTTCCCGTCTCTACCCTTATTTTGTTTGATATGGTCAACCCGCTTGAGAATGAGCAAACCAGAAACGACCAAAGAGAGGTCAAAAACGAGCGAAAAAAATACATGGAACGAGATACCAGTTGGGTCTTCGAAGAGAAGTGCCCCATACTTCTTAGCACTGTCTACAGATTTATGGTCCCTATCATAGCACTGCTATTAAACTTGGTAATGTTGGATCCCGCAGAGGAAACGGTTGTACGTAAATCGTGCCCACAGACGCAGCATCATAGCCAAAGCGTTAGTACCAGTCAATCTATCGGCCGAAATGTTTGTTATTGATTGAACCTTGAAACCTTGATTGTTCGGACCCCCAATTCCGTGATTGATAGAAACAAATTAGGGCTAGGATCATCAAGTCAGACGATACGGAAGCTCGGGATACATGCCCAAGAATCCACCGAACTCGGGCGAGAGACAAACCCGGAGTAAACAGATCCCCCGGATTCCAAGTAAACCAAAGCTCACTTCTATGCATGGCAGATGTGCTAAGCTGTGAATAGTAACTCGGCGATCGCTTTTGCCTAATTAGGACAGCCGAACCAACAGAGTTCGACAGCCGGCGCCGAAGTCGGCCCCGTACAGGAGCCGGTGTTATCAAAACCATTTATATCCAATTGAGGTTTCTTTACTCAATTTTCTCTCTGTAGTTGATTGAAATTATCTTGGGAAACAATTGAAAAAATGGCAGCCAAAACACTCCCCGATCCTTCACTGTGTGTCACCACGACGGACTTTGAGAAGGTCGCCAAGGATGTTCTCTCAGAGAAGTCATGGGTGTATGCGTCGAGCTCAGCAGCATCAGGGCTGTCAATGAAGGCCAATCTTGACGATTGGACTTTGATCAACTTCAGGCCTCGCATCTTGAGGAGTGTGGACAAGATGGACACCAGAAAGTCCATTTTGGGTTCGACTTCACAATTCCCTTTCTTCGTCTCGGCCATGGGCACTCTTGGTAGCTCTCACCCAGGTGCCGAGCCTCTGCTCGTACGGGGGGCTACTCGCAAAGGCTTGCACACCATGATCAGTACTGCTTCGACGAAGACATTGGAAGAGATCATGGATGCACACATCGACGAACAGCGGCTAATCAACAACCAAAGTCCTTCTAAGCTTTCATTCCAACTATATGTTCCTGTTGATCGCGCAAAGGCAAAGTCCCTTATCCAGAGGGTCCAGAAGGCCGGGTTCCAGAGCCTCTGGGTCACCGTGGACACTTCGACGCTGGGCAAGCGAACGGCAGACCGCTACCTTCAGGCGCAAGAGAATCTAGCAGGGCCCAAAGAAACCGTTGTGAAAGTAGGAACCGGAGAAGTCAGCCGTGAAAATAGTTACGCGCCTGCATTCGGCGGCCGACAGGTTCCCGGCTCAGTGGATGCCGGCCTCACTTGGGAGGACTTGGACTGGATCTCCAAGGAATGGAATGGGCCGCTGGTTCTCAAGGGAATCCAGAGCGTCGAAGATGTCAGACTGGCTGTCGAGCATGGTGTGCAGGGTATTTTGTTGAGCAACCACGGCGGTAGACAAATTCATTCCGCCCCGAGCTCGTTGATGACTCTCCTGGAGATTCGAACATACTATCCGGAAGCATTCGAAAAGCTGCAAGTGTTTGTTGATGGTGGGCTCCGCGATGGCTCAGATGTCCTGAAGGCTTTATGTCTTGGAGCAACTGCTGTAGGAGTAGGTCGGCCATACTATTATGCACTTGCGGCATATGGTGCTAAAGGAGTAGAGCGATGCACAGATAGTAAGTCATGCCTGGATCCAAAAGGTTATTTCAAACAATAACAGTTTTGCAGTTCTCGCCGAGGAAGTTGAAATCACAATGAAGATGTTGGGAGTTTCCTCCCTCGACCAACTTCGGCCCGAGATGATCAACACCAGTCGACTGCAGAATGAGATGTGGCGACCAGCATTTGGAAGATCGAAGCTGTGAAACAATTGTGATAATTCATGGGGCATTATAGACCTATTTACATCTACCTATGTATTCTAGATAGCTTCTACACAATGGCAATTCCGCTGAGCAAGTCAGCCATGTAGCCTTTACTGAGGAGAACCCCAGCCACCACCACCGGCAGTCTGAATGACAATCCGGTCGTGTGTTTTCATGGAGACGGTGTTTTTGCCGCCAATGTTGATGCGGCGCTCTTCGCCAGTTTCGTCGTCACGGGTGATCCACTGGTTCAAGCCTGGCTGCGCATCATGACCACCCGCCAAGCCGTACGGCCGATGTACGCGTCGCTCTGACAAGATGGAGCACTTCATTGGTGACAAGAACTCAATCTCACGGATCACTCCCTCACCACCAGTGTTCTTGCCTTGACCACCGGATCCATCGCGAAGGGTGAATTGGCGGAGCATGGTCGGATAACGCTTCTCCAGGATTTCAGGATCGGTAATCCGTGTGTTGGTCATATGCACTTGTACGCCGGACTCGCCCTTCCAGGTAGGGCCTGCACCACTTCCACCGGCTATTGTTTCGTAATATCCAAATCCTGGAGTAATCACGGCACCAGTAGATGGATCAACCTTGGGATCGGTACCAAAAGTGAGGTTGTTACAACAGCCCTGGGAGGCAGCACATGCCTGGAAGGCCTTGAAAACAACGTCAGTGATGCGCTGCGAAGTAACAACATTACCGCCCACGACGGCAGCAGTTTTGGTGGGCGACAAGATGCTCGGCGATGGAACACGAATGTCAATTGGGGCCAGGCATCCTTGGTTGAGCGGAACATCTGCATTGATCATACAGCGTAGGCAGTAGATGATAGCGGAGTGAGTGATAGCAATAGGCGCATTCCAGCTCCCGTATACCTCGGAGCCAGTGCCTTCGAAATCGAAGACAGCAGATCCATCAGTACCGTCGATGGTGATCTTCAAGCAGATAGGAGTACCATCATCCATGTAGTCGACCGATTCTAACGGCCGACCGTCAAACTTCTGATACAATTCCTTGAGAAGATTGCGGACAGCAGTCTCGGCCGTGGCTTGAATGGCATACATGTACTTTTGTACGGTCTGAGTTCCGTACTCGTTGAACAGAGTCTGGATCAAGCTGATTCCGCGAGTATTAGCAGCAATCTGAGCCTTGAGATCGGACAAGTTATCGCTGATGCACCGTGCTCCAGCACAGCCAGGGTATTGTGAAGGCTTGGTGACCAGAAGCTCCACCAGACGCGCCTCGTCCAGAACGCCATCACTAACAATCTTATCTCCTTCGATAGCAGCACCTTCTTGCCAAAGTTCTGTAGACTTGGGGGGCATAGAGCCAGGTAGGATACCGCCAATATCAGCATGGTGACCGCGAGATGCCACGTAGAACATAATCTCGGAGCCTCCGGGCCGATCAAAGACAGGAGTAATAACCTAAATCATGATCAGAGCCAGTTGAAGTATCTACGGTCGGATAGTGACTTACTGTGATATCGGGGAGATGGGTTCCGCCGCAGCTAGGGTGGTTGGCGACCAGCACATCACCATCCTTCAGGTTACCTAGCCACTTCTGGTGCTGGTATCGGACGGCAAATTGCATCGATCCCAGATGAACCGGAACATGCGGTGCATTGGCCACCAGACCTCCATCAGGCGAGAATAGAGCGCAAGAGAAGTCCAACCGTTCTTTGATATTGGTTGAAACAGAAGTCTTCTGCAGGGTGCGACCCATCTGCTCGGCAATAGACATGAATCGATGACCGAAAATACTGAGTCTGATAGGGTCAATCTCTGCTGAAAGAGAGTTCCCTGTGGGAGAGGCAGTTGGCTCATTTTTGAGATCAATAACGATGCAGGTATCGAGCAGATTTGCCACTGCGTTGGGAGCGACAACAATTGTCTGGGTCTGGTCAATGATGACTGCCGGGCCGGGAATACGGGAATGCTTCTCTAGCTCGCCCAGAAGATATACAGGTGTGTTAAAGCGACTTGAATAGCCGTCGAAATAAGCTGAGCTGGTATTTGCTGGAGCCGTGGTGACGTCTCGCATGTTGGCATTCTTCAACTGAACCAAAGGACTTTGTTCCGATCGCAACTTGGACGAAGCAATACTGCGCACGCGAATGTCATCGACGAGAACTGGTCGCTCGGAGTTGAAGTTGAATTCCCGACGGTGGCGCACACGGAATTCTTCAAGGAAGTCTGATGAATTCTGGGGTTTCAGGATCATGAGACTGGTATCGGAACCTTCGTAGCGCATGTTGAGATATTGCTCGTGGCGCACTTGTGCGGCCGCAAAGCCTTGTATTTCCATCTCTTTCGTTCCCGCCGCGGCCATCTCATCAAAGCGTTGAAGAAGAGTGGCATGAGAGGATGAGTAGGTGGATGATACCGGTTCCTGTGCCTCCTTGACAACTTCTGCTAACGCGAGACCGTATGCCGACAACACTGAGGAATATTTGTGAATAATGATCCGTGAAATACCGAGCGAGTCAGCCACCGAGCATGCATGTTGACCACCAGCACCTCCAAAGCATGCCAGATGGTGAGATGCAGTCTCGAAACCTCGCGCCTCCGTAAGATTACGGATAGGCCGAGCCATGGACTCATCCGCGACCTTTAGGAAGCCAAGGGCAACTTCCTCGGGAGTGTACTCTTGTTGGCCCTGCTCGCGGCGCTCAACGTTGATCTTCTGCGTCAAATCATTGAAAAGCTGTGCGGTCGTCTCCCTGTCCAAGGGCTGATCCTCGTTAGGACCAAAGATGTGTGGGAAATACTCGGGCAGCAAGCGTCCTAAAAACAAGTTGGCATCGGTAACTGTCAGAGGGCCGCCTTTGCGGTAGCAGGCTGGGCCAGGGTGAGCACTGGCGGATTCAGGTCCGACATAGAATAATCCGTTGCGCCAATTCAGGATAGATCCACCGCCAGCAGCGACAGTGTTGATATCAAGCTGAGGGGACTGGATCAGAACTCCTGCAACTTTAGAGCCGAAGACGTGCTCCAGGTGTCCATCAAAGCGAGATACATCAGTGGATGTACCTCCCATATCAAAGCCAATGACGGGAGTCTGTTCGATAGGATCCCAGCTGGTGGCTGCAAAACCAACAACTCCAGCTGCAGGGCCAGACAGAATTGCTTTCAGTCCGCTGAATTTACGGAAATCGACCAGTCCACCGTCCGACTGCATAAACTCGAATCGGCAGTCATGCTGACTCTCCAGGCCACCGTCAAAGCTAGCAGAGATGGAGTCGATGTAGGTCTTGATAACGGGAGTGAGATAGGCATCAGCGGCGGCTGACATGCCACGAGGCACAATTTTGATCATAGGTTGAAGCTTTGAGGATAATGTAACAGAGAATCCCATCTGCTGGGCCAGTTCGCCGATTTGACGTTCATGCTCGGGATACGCGAAAGAATGTAATAGTGCTACCGAAAGTGACTGGTAGCCTTGCTCCTTTAATCGCTGGAGCTCTGTCTTCACTTGAACGAGGTCCAGCTCTTGCACAACCCGGAACTTCTCGCCAGTGATGCCCTCGACGACGCGACAATCGGAGAAACATTCTTCATGGGCGGAAGGATGGCAAGGGAGTACACGTTCGTTGACTTCGACCACGCCCTCTGGTAGCACACCTGGACGAGCCATCGACAGATCGAAAATGGCTGGTCGAGACTGATCACCGATCTTTAGTAGATCTCGGAAACCTTTCGTTGTGAAAAGCACTGAGCGAGCGCCTTTGCGCTCGAGCAAGGCGTTAGTTGCAACAGTTGTGCCCATTCGTAGACACTCAATGCGGTCAAGCTTTAATGGCTGGCCTCGAGGATATGATTCTCCAGTGGCCAGCTCTAGAACTTGACGGATGCCTTCAGTGGGCGCATCCTGATAGTGGGAAGGGTCGACAGAAAGAAGCTTCAAGATGATGTCTGGACGACTGGGGGCTTCTGTAGAATCGTCTACTGCCTTTCAGCTTTCATTCGCAAAATATATCGCTTCCTGGTCGTCCACTTACTTTGAATATCTGGCCGCCCTATGCTAGCCCAGATATCAGTGAAAGTGCCACCGCGGTCAATAGCGATGGTGATCTTCCCCGAGTCAGACATCGGGACGGGCATGATTGTGATGGGTTAGAACAGAAATATGGGAGTATGAGGATTCAGAGAAGCGAACCCCTTCATTTATGTCAGAAAGAGCGTTCCGATGTCCCACGCTCTCCATTGATCGTCGTTGCTGTTGTACTGACGGTCACGTGTCGGGCCGATGACGGCGCATCGGGTTGGTCGGCCCGATGATAAGCCGCGGGGTAGAAGTAGAGATGGAGATGGAAATATAGAGAGATAGAAAATGGGCCCTGGAGTGTGGGTAAAGAAGGGGTATCATTCTAGGTAGAATTAGATTGATATTCGTGCACTGTGGCGGAAAATCAATATATTCGGTCTATGTCTTATGGATCAGGCCGCTGTATAGATCGAGAACAACTTATAATATACATATAACACTACCGCTTTAATGTATTCTCAATCCAGTCCGTATCCATATCAATATCAATCTGATCCAATGCCCCTTCCCACAGTGCCGGGTCATCGTTGAGGTCGAATTGAAATGCGATATCCCGGAATGATGTGAGGTCGTTATGTGGCCACTCAGGAGCAAGCACTTGCGAAGCTCCTATCTTGGATGCTATATCTTCCTTCTCCCCCATGATACTCGTACCGTGCTCTGTTGTCGGCGTTAATGGGGCCTTCAGGCCTGCCGAGCTTGCTCGATCGGTATCATTAGCAGCAGACCTAGTTACAATGGCAGCCCGTAGTTCCAGCAATAGCGAATGGCGTGAGCCCAGATAGGTGTTTCCACGATCAGCCATGCCCCGAAGAAGGTTCAGTGCGGTCTCCATGGCTCGTGCACTGGTTTCGTTGGGCGGGAATGCAGCGTTCACCATGACGAGCAACAGTGCAGCGGAGAAGATGTACTCGCCGTCAAGGTAACCATATGTAGCTGATTGATTGTGAGTAGATAATCACATGGTGCGGCATAGGAGCTTTCCGTTCATCGCTTACCAATGAGATTGTGTTTTGCGGCTGCATCCATTATCAAAGTGGTTGCTCGTGCAGCTGTAATACAGCTATCAATGACAGCAACAGTGTTGGGGGCGAGCCCTTCCTTCCAGTCTTCCGTGGCGGATCCAAGGGCTTCTGCATCAAGTCGTCGTTGAATGACATAAAATACCAACGGACGTGCAGTCATGTTCACACATGAGTAAAAGTGTAAATTGATCGATACGGACTCCCGATTAATATACGTGTCAAGTGTGGAGAAATCAATACGGAGACGATCAGGGACTTGGCGTAGCCATCCAGAAAGATCGTTCGTCATACTCTGAACAGAAGCAATGAGATTGGACCCTGATCCGGGCTTCTTCCGGTAAATTTCTAGCACAGCCCTTGGTCAGCCTTAGTCTGTAATAAGAGACCACATGTACTCATACCTTCTCCAATCCGTCCCAAAATACGGGAGAGCTTTGTGTAATGAGTGAGAACTGTTGACGGCCATGGATCCACAGTTGTTCCATCCTAATTGGAGAGAATTAGAACACATCTCCCAGATATACCAATACAACATACCACTACTGCGGGCCACGTTATTCCAATGTCTTCATCATGTATGGTGATCGGATTCCCAGACTTGACTGAAAGTATCCTGTTGACGAATATCAGCTGTATTTCCAGATAAAAGGCAGGTCAGTGGAACGTACCGGTCTAAGCTATAGACAGACCACCAAGCCCGGCGTCGACGATTGCGATCTGCCTCACTTATTGTTGGGTCTGAAACCTCCTGGTGAAGACCTAGAGAGATGGCCATACGTAAGGCCAATCCAATCTGATATCGTTAGCAATGTCGCAGAACAAAATTAGAAGATATTCGTACATAGAGAAATGCAGCATCACGTCGGTTCAGATTTTGCATGTAGTATGCTACATAGCATAGCACCTCAACAAAGAAGATTGAACCCTCCTCGTGGATATCAGGCAGAACCCGTAGCGCATGCTTAAAATACTTGAATCCCGGAGGGCCGTCATCGCCCGACCACTGATTTACAGAGTACATCAAGCCAAATGCAATGACGAGTAGAGTCTGACAATATACCAAACTTGATTCTCGATGCGAAAGGTCAAGTGGTTGATGGTAGACCAGGTCAAGTCTTTCTTCGAATTCTGCAGGGTGGATGAGTGAGAAGATAGTGCCAATATAGGCATACTGCACCCAAAATAACCGCTTGGCGAACTCAAAAGGAGGTAACTGAGGAAGGGTACCACCGACTGGCCGTCTTAGTGATGAAGGGTCATCATAGAGTGGCCGTACATCCCATGCAAGATTGGTGGACCCGGGGTTGAGTCGTTTGGCAAGATGAGTTGTGGATGAAGCACCCACGAAATCTTGAAAAATATCAGTGAGATGATATATTCTTCTCATAAAGTTGAACACGTACGATGCTCTCCAGACCGGTCAAGAAACAAGTTGTCTGTTCCCTTGTACCACCAATCGTCCCGTTCTGGGGGCGCCTCGCTCTCGGAATAGCGAGTGGATGTTGATGGTTCACTAGAAATTATTGTTTGGCTACCTTCTACACTGAGGTTAAAAGATGTTGAACCATGTGTGGTGGACAACGTACCTGGGGCTTGTGATTGTAGTTGACGATAGTAGCTGCACATCGTCAGTGTCCACCATTAACAACTTGCGAATTTCGCAAACCTCTCAGTGATAGAGACACGCTTTTCTGCTTCCGAGTACACGCATGTCTTTCCCACCTCCACACATGCAGCGCAGGGATGTGGTGGATTACCGGCGCAGCGCGTTTTCCGACCTCGGCATCGGTTACATCTGTACCTCTCTCAGCGCACGATCAGAGACTCCCTGTCCATGCTACGTACGCTACCATTGATCTCCTTGATCGGTCTTCCGACCGACGCGACACGCCTGCATTGCCAAGTACCATATTTGATGATGCTAAGGGAGAGTTGAAGTTGAGGGGCTTCTCCACTCTTATCTTTGTCGGGCCGAACACGAGAGGTTTCAGGGTTTACATCTACAATTCCTACACGGAGTACAGTGTGTGTAAAAACACTCCGTGTCATTTTCTAGCCAAACACTGGTCTCTTACTGGCTGACGGGATAGTCTACTCTGGAAATTACAAGCCGAAGCGCATGGGCAAAACAAAGGTGAAGAAAGACATGAGAAAGCGAGTCTAAGGTATAGCGACCAATCCATAAAGCGATACGTTCGCTATAACCGTTTTGTGTAATAACTATACACACTTGCACTTGGAAACTAAAATCAGAATATGGCCACACCATTTGGAGGACTAGCAACTCCGCCAGGAAACTGAATATGATCAGCTGTGAAATTAAAATGGAGCAGATGGGACTATACCTTTAATGGCACACTACTAAAGAAGAACGTCCAGCGATCTCTCTTGCGACACTCCTGGCTCAGTTGCTCCAGGTCAAAAAGCTCTCCGATCGGGACACCCCAACCAGCCAGCAGCCACTCGTGAAGGAAGAAGTCCATGTTCTGGCATGGATATGCTTCAAAGCTCGGCATATCTCCCACAACAGCAGAGAAACTTTGATCCCAAAGCCAGCGCAGCATAGGCTCTGATGACTCTACTCCAATGACTGGAGGCGCAGTATAAGCAGCCAGTTTCTGACATTCGGCATGAGACAGCCTCTCGTACGCCCGAGTCCAACCAGTGCGGATGAACAAGATATCTCCGGGTCGGAATGTGGTTCTCTGGCTAGCAGCCACTTCTTGAAGGATGGAAACTGGAATTGACTGAGTTTCAAAGCACTTCACGTCGTGTCCCTTGGCTTCTGCCCAGCCGGCATAGTCCAAGAGAACACCCCGTCCAACAATACCCCCATTCTCAGCCCATACTAGCAACTGGGTCAGTATGTGGAATGCTATCGGCTGTACTAAACTCACCGTGAATGCCATTGCGGGTCGAGTTCTGGATGTCATCCTGCGTGCACCCGTTGTAGTATGTTCCTTGTTTCGATCCGTAGTGTCGAAAGCCATCCCATTGAGAGCTACTCTGCGTGTTAAAGACTAGTATATCATCGTTGACGGCCCGGGGAGCCTTGTTCTTTATAACGTGTTCAAAGGCAGATCGTCCAAAGCAAGGGGTAGCCATGCTATTAAGAGCCCAGTCGGTTGAGACACGCATACCTTCGACAATCTCACGGGCAGCCGCAGCAGTATTCTCGGTGGTCAGAAGGTTGAGCATACCCAACTGATCTTGATCCCCAAACATACCCCAAGCGTTACCGACCGGTCCATCTTGTCGCAAGGGCAAGCAATCAAATGGGGGTCTTTGGGCTGACATGCTGGTCATTGTACAGACTGGATTAGCAGAAAACGACTTGCTTTTTCAACCTAGAACTTCCAAGGTGCGATCTTCCAGGGTCACTTCGATGGTCATATCCCGTTACCCCGCATAGTGCATCGGCATCCTGTATCCCTCGGCCCTAGCATTGGACATGATACATGATATGTCATATATACCTAGGTAGAAAGTCGACAGAGACTGAGAAACCAAATGATACTAGATAATAACAAGTAAATGTATACTAGGCTTACTATAATGGGTTTGTTATGTAGATTGCCGGTATAGATTCACCTAGGAACCCTCGCAAAGAAGTCCGATATGGGGTTTGAGCCCGGATGAGAACCGAAATATTCATATTATTATAGAAATGCCAGCAATACATTTGCACGAAGTTTGCCAGTAGGTAAAGATTCAAAGCTCGTTTTTTTCTGTTTCTGGCGAAAAGATATTCGACGAAATTGGCGATTATTATATTTTTCGCAACATATATATCGCCAAAATTTAGACCCTTAAATTTTTGTTTTTGATTTTAAGTTGCCCGCCACATACAGGTACATACAATCCAATCATTTGGGCAAGTTACCCTAAAAATAACACTTGCATAAAATTGGCAACTGTATTGCATAGTAACTGTGGATGTATCATCCGGCCGCGTACGCTAGGCAGACATTTTACACAACTTTGCTTTTTTGCAAGAGACAACCCATTTCAAGTTATATGCGAAGACTATTTAATTCCTATTTCATAATGAAACCCTGTGATATATCATAGGTTCTAAGGAATGCAAGAAAATACGGGTTTATGTACTGTAGTGTATGCTCAAAATTTCTTGAATTATACTCAGCTTGATATCAAAGTACATGTGTACATATATTTTCTACTGAGACAATGATCTAATTATATGTTTACTTCAGCGACGTGCGCGTGTGAGACTACAGAAATAAGACGAGACACGTATACATCGACACCGGACCTCACGTGACGCACAGCCACGTCGTGGCATGTCGTCTCTTTTCCTCAAGAGGCTCCCGCATACCCAATCATAGCGACAATTGTGGGCCACAATGGACCAGTCGCAGCATCAAAATTCAGCCCCTGGGAGACACGGCCGATCCTTTCCTCGCCGTGTCGTCATCGTCCGGCAGTCCTCGGGGCCCCCAGCCGCCACTATGGATGCTTGGCACCCTCGTTGCCCCTACAGGGTGTGTCGCCCCAGCGTGTTTCAGAAAGATCGAAGGGATGAGCAGAATGTTCGAGTGTGATGGGCCCGTCCCATGGGCCAATATTGGAGGCGCATTGCGCTGTTGACCCGCCTTGGATCTTCTTGACGAGTTACGCGCACAAAGCCTCGGATCCCGGAGTCGAATTTACACCCGTACCGTGGAAAAGTGGGAGACCAAAAGAATAGCACAGGAGGGCTTACTAGATCCACGCATTTCGGGTCTGCGCAGGGGAACGGCCAACCCCCTCTGAGTACGTTGGTGGATCTAGGGGAGGATGGATGACGAACGACATACTGTAAGCTGCGCTGGGGTCCCCACTCGCCCTTTCACAGCCCATCATCGGCACCTCCAATCAAATTCTGCACCAAAAATATCTCCTGTCTAGCGCATCTTCGATACATCTTCTCCTGCACATCTCTTTACGCTTCTTGACCTGGGAAGCCTGCCCTATATTGGAGATCTCTGGATAGGTCGCCTGTCTCTAACACCACAGATTGCGATTACCATTGAATGTGTCCAAGTTAGGTGTTGTGAATCGACAGTTCTGAGCCGCGGGCTTCCTTAGGACCGACTTCTTAGTCCTTGGATCTATTCGCAACGAGGATTGCTTCTACTGGGGAGCTGCGCATAATGTCTTTACCACCTCGAGGAACCTCTCCCCATTCGCCTGTCTCGGGTAACTCGTCTCATTCGCCCCAGGCGAGCGAGGCCAGTCTGTATGGAACCCGTGAAGTGAGTGAACGGTCCCTTGAAACAAAACAATCGGCCATAGGAGGAAAAGCTAACACACTTCGTTTTCTAGCAGCAAGCCTACGGCTACGAAGAGAAGAACGATAACACGGAAAGCCAGCAATCTTTGCTTTACCGCAATCAGCCCAGTCCATTTAACGCCCCCTTCGATGACCCTTACGCCTCGACCGATTCCCTTCGTCGCTACACTCTCCATGACCCCGGTGTCACCATCTTCCCTGATGGCCCATATCAAGAGTCAGCCGGTGGGTTGAACCGCCGCTCCGCCGTTGGATCACCCATGTCAGAGACGCCGTCAGAAGCTTGGCAAAATCGACAGGCACCTGGTTCCGGGCTGCGGCGCTATGCCACCCGTAAGATTAAGCTGGTCCAGGGCTCTGTTTTGAGTGTGGACTACCCCGTTCCAAGTGCGATCCAGAATGCGATCCAGAAGGAATATCGGGAGTCAGAGGAAGGATTCCCGGAAGAATTCACCCACTTGCGCTGTACGTTTCCCAGCTGCGATTTTGGACGATATTGATCCTAACCCGATATAGATACGGCGGCCACTTGTGATCCCGACGAGTTCACCCTGCGGAACGGATACAATCTGCGACCGGCCATGTACAACAGACACACAGAGCTTCTCATTGCAATTACATATTACAACGAAGACAAAGTTCTGACAGCTCGGACGTTGCACGGTGTTATGCAAAACATCCGAGATATCGTCAACTTGAAAAAGTCCGAATTCTGGAACAAAGGTGGACCGGCCTGGCAAAAAATTGTCTGCTGCTTGGTCTTCGATGGAATTGATCCATGTGACAAGAACACTCTTGACATGCTGGCAACGATCGGTATCTACCAAGATGGTATCATGAAGCGTTCCGTCGACGGACGGGAAACCGTTTCCCATATTTTCGAGTACACCACACAACTTTCGGTGACCTCCAATCAGCAATTGATCCGGCCTCAGGGCAACGAGTCGACCAACCTTCCTCCCGTCCAAATGATCTTCTGTCTCAAGCAAAAGAACAGCAAAAAGATCAATTCCCACCGCTGGCTCTTTAATGCTTTCAGTCGCATCCTAAACCCTGAAGTAGTGATTCTGATTGATGCCGGAACTAAACCCGGAAAGAAATCGCTTCTTGCTTTGTGGGAATCCTTCTACAATGACAAGAACCTAGGTGGATCGTGTGGTGAGATCCACGCCATGTTAGGAAAGGGATGGAAGAACTTGATGAACCCTTTGGTCGCGGCGCAGAACTTCGAGTACAAAATTTCCAACATTCTCGACAAGCCGCTAGAAAGTGCTTTCGGATACGTCAGTGTGTTGCCGGGAGCCTTCTCTGCGTACCGTTATCGCGCTATTATGGGTCGTCCTCTCGAGCAGTACTTCCACGGTGATCACACTCTCTCGAAGCAGCTAGGCAAGAAGGGTATCGAGGGCATGAATATCTTCAAGAAGAACATGTTCCTTGCGGAGGACCGTATTTTGTGTTTCGAGCTTGTCGCCAAAGCTGGGTTCAAGTGGCATTTGACCTATGTTAAAGCGTCCAAGGGTGAGACCGACGTGCCAGAGGGTGCAGCAGAATTCATCAGTCAACGTCGTCGATGGTTGAACGGTTCATTCGCTGCTAGTCTCTATGCTATGATGCATTTCGGACGTATCTATAAGAGTGGTCACAACATTTTGCGGCTGTTCTTCCTGCATATCCAAATGTTGTACAACTTCGCTGGTCTTGTCATGACCTGGTTTTCTCTCGGTATGGGCATTCGCTTCGTGTCTTCAGTAAAATTGTTACTAACCCATTGTTAGCTTCGTTCTGGTTGACCACTACTGTCATCATGGATCTTGTCGGAACGCCTAGTTCCGCCAACAAGGATAAGGGATGGCCTTTCGGTAACGATGCCTCTCCAATTGTGAACAACTTCTTGAAGTATGGTTACGTTTTCTTCCTGATGCTGCAATTCATTTTGGCGCTCGGAAACAGACCTAAAGGGTGAGTCTATGAACCAATCCATCTCACATGGTTACATGCTGACTTGCTTAGTTCTCGTTTGGCCTACACGCTCTCGTTCGTCTACTTCAGTATCGTCCAAACCTACATCATGGTCCTGTCATTCTACCTTGTCAAGAATGCCTTCACTGGAGGTACCCTCGACTTCTCCCTGGACGATGGTGTTGGGGCATTCCTTTCATCATTCTTTAGTTCCAGCGGAGCCGGTATTGTTCTGATCGCCTTGGTTTCCACCTACGGTATCTACTTCATCGCCAGTTTCTTGTACATGGACCCTTGGCACATGTTCACATCTTCATGGGCCTACTTTGCTGGTATGACTTGCTCTATCAATATCTTAATGGTTTACGCTTTCTGTAACTGGCATGACGTTTCTTGGGGCACCAAGGGATCCGACAAGGGTGACTCACTGCCAGTCGCCGAGACCAAGAAGGACGATGCCAAGTCAAACTTCATTGAAGAAGTCGATAAGCCGCAGGCCGATATTGACAGTCAGTTTGAAGCGACGGTCAAACGTGCCTTGGAACCATATGTGGAGCCCGAAGAGCAAGATGAACGGAGCATGGACGATGGTTACAAGGCTTTCCGAACCAACCTGGTGTTGATCTGGATTTTCAGTAACCTTATTCTCGCGCTGTGCATCACCAGTGAAGGCATCACCCGTCTCTGTCTTACTGTATGTCTCTTTTACCCATTCGATCGTTAACCCCCACTGACATTCACAGAACACATCTACCGTTCGTACCTCCAAATACTTCGCTGCTATTCTGTGGACGACCGCCGGTCTGTCGATTTTCCGCTTCATTGGATCTCTGTGGTTCTTGGGCAAGTCTGGTATCTTGTGCTGCGTTTCCCGACGCTAAAAAAAATCTCTGGGTCTTGCGAACAGGCTGTAAATATTTCCATTTGTCTTGGCTTTGGGATTTGGGATTTTGGTTGCTCTCGTAGAGGGCTTGATTTGATAGAATTTGGTTTGGTCATGCCCGGTATTCCCCCACATCTGCAGCTGGATTGGCATTTCTGTACTTCATGCATGTACCATGTATATTGTATCTTGGGCGAGTGTTCTTTTGTTTTGTTGCATCTACGATAGACCTAATTGATCGAAGCATTTCACAAATTCCCGCGGTCAGATCCCTGTGGCGTTACCATTTCCCGTTTTCCCCGCCACACCCCCCGCATATGCACCCCAGTCGCAGCCGGCTTTCCGAATGGAATGGACTATCTTGCATGTTCTCCTGACAGGTTTAGGCAGCTGTCACAAGCAATGAGCCACGGCCAAGCACAAGAGGCTTCGGACCACAGGCATCCGCGAGGCCCCTGAGGCTGGCCAAGGAAGCCCAGAAGATTAGCAGCCATACAAACGATGCTATTCAGGGGAACCGGACACTGATAGCTCTTAGACCCATTCTGTGCCGTGTGTGCGCAAAGTCCTGGTCGTTTCGGTTCTGCTGAGCGTCATCGCCCCCCCCCCGCATTGTCCGCATCACCTACCGGATCAAACATATCAAGCCAGGATATTGATGAGGCCCTTGTTTGCTGCCCACCCCTAACCTCCAAACATTCGGCTGAGTTTCCGTTCCCCGCGTCCGAATACAAGGCGAAGTGATGGATTCGAAGTTGGGTTGCGTTGAGTCCGGCTTTGAGCCAGGATTTATGAGGCATTTTCATTATCTTCCTGGGCCAGTAACCAGTCCAATTGGACTCTATAAAAGCAACCCTGTTGCCCCCGCGCGTCGTCCACCCTGTTCGCATATCTCTTGCTCTACTTGACTCCACGATCTTCGCTCTTGACCCACTTCATCGTCAAGTCTCCGCATTGATCTGCCCCTAATGTCACAGTACATCCCCAGTATTTCTTCCGATTCTCTTTATCGCAAAGTTATCCTGATTACAGGTATGCCAAACCCCAAGAGCGCCGTCCTGTAGTCTCATTATACTAACTCAGCCCAGGTGGTGCCAATGGAATTGGTGCCTGTCTGGTGAAACAATGCCTGGAAAGCGGTGCCAACGTCTGCATTGGTGACTTGGATAACATCTCGGGCGAGCGTCTGCTAAAGAAAAGCTGCGAGGAGTTCCGCTCAGAGGAAGAGGATATGCCCCCGCGGGCAGTTTTTCAAACTACTGATGTCACGAACTATCCGTCGGTGCTGGCGCTGTTCGACCTGGCTTTCAAGACATACAAACGCATCGACCATGTCGTCTCTGCGGCTGGTATTGTAGAAATCGGCAACTGGTTTGACTTTGGACTCACGCTGGAGGAAGTTCGCCAGGTATGTGGAGTGAGGCAACGGCCCTGGTTGCTGAATTTCTCAATGGCATCCCAAAGTAATGCTTTTTCTCAAGACTCCAACCCACAAAGTCCTGGACGTCAACCTCCTTGGCTCCATGTACGTTTCCCGCATCGCATCCGTATACTTGCGCCACAACCGCGGAGGGAACTGCGATCGATCTATTCTCTTGTTCTCTTGCGTCTCTGGTTTCAAGGAGAGCCCGTCCCTGTTCATCTACCAGGCTTCTAAGCACGGTGTCACCGGACTCATGCGCTCCCTACGCAACTATATTTCCTCTCCGTATAAGCATTCCCTCCGTATCAATACGATATGCCCATGGATGACCCAGACTGAGAGCATCAAAAAGGTTGAGGCGCAATGGAAAAATGCTGACCTTCCAACCAATACCCCGGACGAGGTTTCGATGGTGGCTACTGGAGTGTTGAGCGACAAATCACTTAACGGTACATCTATGTTCGTTGAAGGGGGCCGTGCCTGGGAGATCGAACAAAACATTGACCGACTGGAGTCGGAATGGTTGGGCGAAGCTCCGTCCAAGGTTCTTGGGCTGGGCCAACAACTGCTCGCCGACGGAGCTATTTGGACTACCCCAGAACGAGCCCGGAAGAGGAGCAGCGTCTCCTGCGGAATTCCGCCTGGTGTGCCTCTTCATAAGCTCAACGGTCTCTCGAATAGCTTAAAGAATGGCATCTCCAATGGCGCGAACAATAGCAAAGCGAACGGAATAGCCGAAAAATTGCCCAACAGGCTTGCCAATGGAATGACCCACGGAGTTACGAACGGAGTGCATTAAGGAACCATGTTAGACTACGTTGATTATTGCAGTCTACAAATATTTGTGACCTCCCAAATCAAGAGTGAGATCTATTTCGACCACTGTTACAAGGATTACAAGTGATGCAGGGTACTCCGTAGAATGAACGGTTGTTCTGTGTCAAGAACCTTATACTTATACAATCTCTAACATTTAACCCCCCCCCCCGGTTTTAGCCCACTTTTCTACTAGACGCTCAACAGATCGGGTTTCCCCGGAATCCACCATCGTGCAGATACTCCACATGATCGTGCTCATCTTAGCTAGTGCAAGTCTAGATGTAACAGCCAATTCTTCCTCGCGTTGACATGTTGATCAAAGCTTATTGTAGAAATATGCGAAACCTGCGTGACTTATTAATAGACCGCAAGGCCTGCTAACCCTGCATTGATACAATTGTAGTACTATAGTGGTGGGCAGGCACATTTTTAGCTGAAACAGTAACTAAGAAAAGTATTAAAATTATTAGCCAACGCTATCTATATGCAACCTAAATACAACAAAGAAACATGTCGTATCCCCCATCTATTACGCTTGAATGTCAACCAAAACGCCAGTTCTCCTCTTCCCAATGTATGCTCTGGATTATTTGAATGACTCCCGGGTGTGCACGCGGTCAATGTTATAAGGATTGGCCTCGTACGTAGGGACCCGATGCATTGCATGTGTAGTGTGGGTGGATGCGCGCGAGAGTGTGCGGTGAACAGAGTGGACATCTGCGAAAGTCTGTTCCTTTGGCTCGGAAAGCGAAGCCACGTCGTCCTCCTCTGGCTCGCTAGCCTCAGGCTCTTCCTTCTCTGAACCTTCCTCTGAGGCCTTTTTCATGGTGGCGAGAATGTTCTGAACAAAGGCCTCAGACTCGGCAGAGTATTTGCAATGCTTTCGAATGGAAAGACCATACTTGTAAAGCAGGAAGGGGAAGGGCACGCATGCAAGGGCCAAAAAGGCTGGAATACAAGATGCCCAGTGAATGCCAAGGTTTTGGAACATATACGAGGTGAACAGAGGGAAGGCAAAGCCGAACAAGGACCGAAGAAGAGAGTTGGCGGCCAAGACAGAGGCTGCAAAGATGGTGTATGCATCAATCAAATAGTTGAAGACGCTGAGGAAGACCAGGACCATTCCGAACCCGAAAGGAATTCCAGCAGCAATGCTCGCAAGCCAGTGCACTGCAGGGGAGTTGGTCCAGGCAAACCAGAAGAGTCCAATCGGAAGGGCAAGAGAGGCCAGCATACACGGAGGAAGACGGGCTTCCGGAGGCGCATAACCTCCCTTCTTGTCGAGGAGTTTGATATAGCGTGAATTCTCGGGAATCGAATAGGCGATAGCACAGAGCATACCCACCATAACACCAAGGAAGGCGAGACCAGCAACACCCTGGTTCCATCCACGATGAAGCTCATACACAATTGGGAATGCACCGAAGAGCATGTAGAGGGTTCCGTAGATGATAGCAAGGTAAATGGAGAGCAAGAGCACAATAGGCTCACGGAACAGAAGGATGAAGGGCCGCGAAAGAGAAGTCTTCATGGCGGCCTTGAGAGTGACACGTCCCTGATCGATGTCTAGTTTGCTATAGTACACCTGGCCCGTCAACTTGGAGAGGGTCTTCGCGCGCTGACGTAGGAGAACGGGGGCATAAGTCTCAGGCTTCAATGCCGCACCCAGGAACCACATCACACCACAGAGGATGGTCAACAGGCCCATGACCCATTTCCATCCGGCAGCCATACCAAGGAAACCACCGGCGATAGGTCCAATTACAGGTCCGAGGAAGGGTGCCAGTGCAAAGGCCGAAAGGGCCAGGCCTCGCTGGCGGGCCATGAACATGTCGGCAATGACACCACCAGAGTTGGTGAAAGGAGAAGAACCGAAAGCGCCAGCCAAAAATCGGAAGATCAGCAGACTCTCAATATTCTTCGCGCCGATGCAGGCAGCACAAAAGATGGTCAGGCCACAGTATGTGGTGATGAAGACAGATTGACGGCCGAAAAGCTCACTCATGGGAGCCCATAGGAGGGGACCCAGGGCGAATCCAAGTACATAGAGTGATACGCCCAAAGTCGCAATCTCCGTCGTCGCGCCGAATTGTTCTTCAATCTGAATGATACCTCCAGTGTATGCCGAGGAAACCAGAGCGACGACCAGTGTTTCGAGGGCTGCGACGACAGTAATGAGCCATTTCAAAGCGGGTTTCAGCTGGAGAGGGTTTCGAAAATCGTTAGGAAGCCACTGAACCACATATGGATCATCTTCAGTTCCTGATCCGGCGTAAGGGTGGTCTGCCACATCTTGGGTGATCACGCCAGGGTCGGTAACGAGTCGCCAGAAAGGAACCTTGGTGGGCAGCTGCAGGGCCTTGGCTGAGGGCATCTCGGAGGCCATGATCGACAGCTGTATAGCTTGAGCTTGTGAAATCGAGGGGCTCAAGAGAGTTTGATCGGCAGATTCAGTATTTTTAAAAGAGAAGAGCCCTGGACCTCGGCAGACAGTGCTAGTTTTGTTTTATAATAATGTACACCGTAGTTTGATCCACTACAGTATCAGGCCGGAGACACTGCTGCATTAGGGGTGGTGAGATATAAGAAGTGGACCCATCAAGTAGTGTTTTGCTATCAAGAAAAAAGAAAAAACAAAAAAGAACAAAAAAAAGAGGTGAATAGTCTCAACCATTGGCTGTTCAGTTTAGATCCCGACACTCGGCCCACTCACTCGGCCCGATCAGTAATCTCTCGGCCTCGCCGATGGGCCTAATTGGGTGGAAGAGTTTTAGCCGAGGTCCATTTGCCTTTATACAGGTACAATTTCTAATTTCTACTACATTTTGCTAAGTATATTTTCAATTGTCTTGCATAATTATCCGATCCCCTATAGGCGCATCTTGGTAAATTTGACTATGAGTCTGGAACGTGCATTCGTGGACATTTACATTTACGTCTTTGTCCAAGCCATGTACATGTACAGTACATGTAAGAAAACTTCTTCCGCACATACGGTTGGCTGTCTACTTCCATCATTATTGGATTGGTAAAAGCCACGACGCGTGTGATATGATTTAGCGTTGCTGTTAGCCGTTGTGATGAGAGACGCTCGGTAGAAACCGGAGCAAACGGCCCCAGGGGGGCCAGAAAGCCCATTTGTTGTGTTGTTTCTAACAAAATCTGAATTTAACCGGAGGCTCAAGTTTATATTATGTTCAGAATTGATCTAGAAGTTTACAGTAATGATCTTAACTTGTGGTTGCTGGGGTAACATGGAAGAGATCTATTGAACTTAAGCTTATTTCTAGATTTAACTTTTATACTATACTGTCTGGTCTGTTCTTCTCTACAGAGTCTTCTCAATCTCGCTGACTTCTGCCATCACCGTTCGGATCGCCGTTTTGGCCCCCTCACCCACCTCTTCGTAAGGATGTCGGGGGGCCAGGTTTGCCGCTGCATCCTGTATCCCTGCTAGTTGGGCTGAATAGCATGCTACCGCATGCTTAGTGGATGCGATCCCGCTCTTGATAGGGCTCTCTGCGAGGGCTGCCTTTCTTTGTAGCTTCACAGCCTCGTCCACTTGTCCCTTTTGGTACAATGCATAGATCCGAGCTGCTGTCTTGGGGAAAACATTGGCAAAAGCTGCGATGCACCCCACGCTTCCTGCGGCAAGGCCTCCAATCAAGAAGTCAGACTGCCCACCATAGGTCGCAAAGGTGCCGGGCGCAAATGTCGCTGCCAGTCGAGTAATCTTTCCGACCGATCCACAAGTAAGCTTGACGCCGACCACGTTGGACTGTCCGCTTGGGTGAGACGATGCCGACTCCTGCACAATAGCGGTAATGGTCTCAGAGTCTATGTCAACCCCATTGCAGACGCCGGGGAAATTATATACAACCACAGGAAGAGGCGAATTTGCGGCAACTTCGGAAAAAAAGCGCTTGACCACATTCATGTTTGTGGCCTTGCCGAAGTATGCAGGAGGGAGAACCAACAGATAGTTGGCCCCAGCGGCGGCCGCATCCTGAGCAAATTCAAGGGTTTGTTTGGTGGAGTGTGCACCAACTCCGGCCATCAATGGGAAATCAGGACCCACAGCTGCACGGGCAGTCGCAATCAACTGCGATCGCTCTTCGCGAGTAAGGAGGAAGGCCTCCGAGTTGGTGCCCAGAATCACTAGACCTGCCAAGCCGGTAGTGGACAGATAGGCGAAGTACTGGGACTGAGATTCAAGATCTAGAGAGTCGGTGCCGTGGTGGAAGAAGGTGACTGCAGGACACCAGACCCCAGAAGCGGGCACATGAGGCTGAGAGGAAGTAGAGTGAGAACCCATGATGAAAGATGAAGTATGTGAAGTGAGTATATCGACTTTGACTCATTCTCTCTACTTATAACTGTTGAGGGGAAAGTAGTCGGATGCCAATACCGAAGTCCCCCACACTCTACCACAAAGTCCACCTTCGGGCCATCGACCCGATGATCGCATCACCACTCCTCTGATATTGATTCGGTCACTCTTCCGACCAAAGATGAGGGGAAATGGCGAGAAAGCGACTCGGCCAGCAACCCGAGATCTACTGCGACATCCTGGCTTTTTTAAGTGTCCTTGTTTGGCCAAAATCCCGTTTTAAGAAACCTATGCAAAATGGCTACTGAAACAGAGATCCTCTCGCAATCCTGGTTCGACCGGGCTCGCTTTATCCCGCCCGATGCGATCTTTGCTTTGACTGCTCAGTATTTGGCAGATCCGTCGCCTCGCAAGGTCAATTTGGGCCAAGGAACATACCGGGACGAAAATGGAAGTCCATGGGTACTTCCGTCGGTCAATAAAAGTCGACAGCTGTTATCTACACAGGGGCTGAACCACGAGTATCTCCCAATTGTCGGTCTGGCAGAGTTTCGCAAAGAGGCAGCGAGACTGGCATTGGGGGACGCACTTTTCAGAAGGAAAGAGAATCAGGCATGCATAACCCTGCAGTATCGAATCAAGGGGCTAATCCAGAACAGCTCGCAACGTGCCAAAGTCTCTCCGGCACTGGAGCTCTGCATCTTGCTGGGCTATTGCTACGAGCATGCAAGACACCTTTGCCAAAGATATACATCCCTGAGCCGACCTGGTCTAACCATCACCAAGTGTTCTCATCGCTCGGATTCCAATGTGAAAGCTTTAGATACTACAGTCCCGAGACTAGAGACTTGGATATTGATTCCTATTATGCGACTCTGAAGTCGGCTGAACCGAACTCCGTGGTTATCATTCATGCGTGCGCTCAGAACCCGACCGGATGTGACCCGAGCAAGGAACAATGGCGAGAGCTTGCGCGCCTTTTCAAAGAGAGACAGCTGTTCCCTCTTTTTGACGCTGCCTATCTCGGATTCAACTCGGGCAATGTGGATAGCGATGCTTTTGCCATTCGATTGTTCATTGAGGAAACAGGGTTAGAAGCTGGAGTTTGTCTGTCCTTTGCGAAGAACATGGGACTTTATGGTATGAAAATCGAGTCACCGGACGTACAGAATGATATCTTATATTAATTAGGGGAGAGAGTTGGTTGTTTTTTACTCGCGACAAATACCGAGCAAGCGGCCATCAAGACCCAATCAATGCTCGAAATGCTTCAGCGATCCGAAGTCTCAAATCCGCCGGCTTATGGTGCGAAGATTGCCAGCACCATATTATCAAGCACTACCCTGAGGCAGGCTTGGTATGACGATCTGATCACCATGAGTAACCGTATTCGATCAATGAGGATGGCATTGTATGACAAGTTGGTTTCAACGGGTAAGTCTACTGAATATGGAGTAAGCAACCACACTAAAATGGCCAGGTACACCGGGGTCCTGGGAGCATCTCATTCGCCAATCCGGAATGTTTGGCTTCTTGGGGCTGTCCCCAAGTATCGTCCTTACGCTGCGTGGTTCGTTCCCCCCCTGGAAACCACGGCTAAGATGCTGACACTCTGCGGATCACAGAGCACTATCATATCTATATGGCAGACAACTCTAGGATCTCCATTGCCGGACTCAATGAGGATAATGTGGAGTATGTTGGACAGTCCATAGCTGAGTGTTTGAAACAGTGTTAGTCCGCGATAAGAGATTGGCATGGCGTCAAAGTTAGGATATGTATCGACAGGGACCATGTTTTGTCGCACATAGAGACAGAATGAACTACAATTCCTCTGACTTTTGTCTTCTTTGAACTTGCAAGACTAGTTGCTCGTCATGTGATCGAGTGAGTCAAGAGGTCTCCCTAGGGATATAGCTGGACATACATCGGCCCAAAACGCATGAGATGGCCATTGCTGCAAGCCTTGTTTCACTGTCCAATTTTGAAGTATTTTTTGACCGGTCGGAAAACACCTAAACCTTCAACATGGCCACTCCAGAGCAATGTGAAGAGACAGAAGCAGTTCATTTCCGCCGGCAAGCCGAAACCTGTTGGCAGCTCTTCGCAGATGACATTATTATCCAAGACATGCCAAGCGGGGGCGTTGCCATCCGGACATTAGCGATGTCCCAGGGGAAATTGAACCGAGCCGTTCGTGTTGGGGAATGAGACGGAGGGTTGAATGAAGATGTCAAGAAGCTGAAAACTTTGTTTGCAGGGGTCGGACTTGGATCTGAGATTCACCCCAGCCCGTTCGCACCTTCGTCTGCTACCCAGGACCTGTGTCTTTATTTGGCCAAAATCAACAATCGAGTTGCTGGCACTGCTGCTCTTGCGATTCTGGAAACTCGCATGGGAAAAGTAGCTCACCTCTACCTAGATTGTCCATTGTCCGAGTACCGCGGCCAGGGGGTACACCTGGCACTCATTAGGGCGCGGCTACAGGATGCCCAGCAACTCGGGGTCCACCTGGCAACCGCTATCACTAGAGTCGGAAGTGGGAGTGCGCGAAATGTGGAACGGTCAGACATGCAGCTGGCGTACACGACGACAGTGTTCACCAAAGATAAGTCATGACAAAAAATGCCGCATGGTGAGATTGAGTGGAGTCGGGCTACACACTCAGTTCGTATAGAATTTTAAGCCGTGAAGAGAGCTCTCAACATCTCAACATCTATGAGAATCGGGGAAAGAGGCTTTATTACGTACAAACACCCCGGAATGAGTCTGGGGCAGTTGGAGGAGGTGTTTTTCAGGGCAAATCTAGCG